TTAAACAGTCAGGGCATGGAGATAACATTGGGGCATTTACAGATTATACCTAATGCCTGATTCAAAAGAATTCCCTAAAATTGAGTTTACAAACGTGCATTGTAATTCAGAATTCGAATATATAAATATGTTTGTGGCATTTTGGTATTTAGATTGAAATTAGGAAACAGTGATATAAATTTGCTCCAACATTGGCTGGTAAACGTAACGGCATAGATCGGGGGTGGGCAATTACCTTCCTAAGTGGGCCACTCACAGATAATAATATTGGTTACTGGGCTGGACGTTCAAAACTCAAGATGATTGAAAAACGGTTTATTTGCAAGTAACTAACATGAATAAACAATTGCCTGCATGTTGTTTCACTGATGTAATGAAATAGTTACATGTCGCAGGAGATGTATTGAATAGCATTGAAAATTTAGCAAGTGGTGTGAGTATACCAGGTCCGCGGCCGTAATTTGCCCACCCCTAGACTAGACGGATTCACTTGGTCTGAAATGATCACTTATTTTTTCGTAGTATCGACGTGCCCAGTTTATTACATACCCCAGTCCACAGTCACACAGGTATAGAAATTGAGTACGTATTAAATGATGACTTAATTACTCTATTCCAAGTCCTATAAATGTTATTTGGTCTTGAATGTACTTTTAGCAAAATCATACCAATGTTAAATATGAAATAAATTTGCAGCAAATGTCAATACAAAAAGGGCACGGGAAAACGAGAATTATTATTGTAACAAATTGTGCTATAAATAAAATAATTATATAGCACCAACCTGAAGTACGGATGAATTATGGTTCCGGTACTTTAATTTCAACATGGATCCATTTAAATGAGCTTTTCGTCTCAAACTTGACTGATTCTGAATTCCCATTATTGTAGGACCTTTACGATAAAGAATGAAACTGATAGTGCATTTTCACTGCAGATTGATTTTGAATTGTCTTCTTTGTCATTAAAAGCATGGGTATGGGGGGGGGGGATTTATTCCTATAGTTTGATGATAAAAAAAAACTTTAAGAGTATTTTGACAAACTCGCTCAACTGTAGTTGATTTCAGCTAGATCCCGTTATGTTAAGCAATATATAATGAATTACTATCTCCTGGTAGGTCATCAACAGATGTTTTTGAATAGTGAATATTACTCTCTTTAATGATAGTTGGGAATCAATTATATCAACTGAAACCTGCGAATCTCTGAATATAATGCAATGAAAACTTAATAATAAAGAATCAAACTTGCCCATATAATTGGTAACATCTCTCATTGTCTTTCTTTGTGTGGGAGACAAAATCTCAAGTGCTCTGAGTGCAATATTAGATTCTCCAACGTCAACGAGATTCTTCATGCTTTGAAACCATTCTTCCTCGCTGTCTCTCAGGGTCAGGATTATCTAAACAAGTATTGAAAGCATAAATACATTTGGAAAATGATTAATTTTGGTATGCAAAGCCAACGTTCGGACTTTCACAGCCGTTGACTAAATGGAAAATCGATTTGGATAAAGGTCGCAGCTTCAAAGAACAATAAAAATAGCCAGACGAATTATCAATAAACGTTTACCTGAGCATCTACTCTCTTGCTTAATTCACTGTTGACAAGGACGCAACGACTGAAAATTTAGCAGTCGCTCAGACACTGTTCACTTAGACAGGTTTTCACTTTTCAGCCATGCAGGTGTGCAGAGAATCAGCTCGTTTTCGTTGTTTGCTAGCTATTTGTCAGTTTTTAATTTCGAAATTTAGGTATGAATCGAATAGGTCAGTTGCCAATTTTGATTTCCAGGAGTTCAAAAATTAGTTTAAAAAATTGCATTCAATAAATCGAATCGCCAGGCCTACCTTTGCGTCGGGAAAAGCTTTATGAATTTCTTCCCAAAAATAGAACGCTGGTATATCAACGACTGCGTCAACATTTTCGTACATTCTTCGGAAATCCTCCGTCGTCCAGCCTTGTGTAAATATCTTTTTGTATTCCTTCTGCAGCAAGTACACGTTCTCGGGATAATCATAGACTTTGTAACCCAATCTGGTGAGAGCCCAGTTCATAGATTTTGTTCCCGTTTTGGGGTAGCCAGCCACAATCACCTTCATGTTGCAGCCTGTTAAGTATCAGTTTATCAGCGACCAAAAGATGTCTGTCAAATCACTTCAACAGCGGACTAAATTAGTCAGGTCTGAGTATAACACGGACGAGGTATTGCGACATATACCTAGCAATAGTCGTACAGCGTGTTGCCGATTACTTCACTTGACGAACAACAGTGTATGAGCAGCGTGGTGTTTCGCGTAAAGCGCACAGTCAACAATCTGTATTTACAATTAATGTGCCTGTTAACCTCTTTCTTTAGTTTCTGCAGAATATACAAGGGAAGATAAACATGACAAATAGTATAGTAAAAGATACGTTGCGACAGATATAGGTAGCCGTGCGCAAAAATACACGCATAACATAGGAGATCCTCAAATGACTAACTAACGTGGCCTACCATTACTGATATAAAGGAATCTGGTGGATACCCTCACAATAAAATAACAAACGGTAATGTTGTGTTCCGAATAACACAGTGGGGCTTATAGAAAATGAAGATGACAAAATGAACTGTAAGAGTTCAACCGCTCAATTTGGACCGACGTTCACTGAAGTAATGTAGCCCACGTTCTCCCGTTTTGTTCATGAAATCTTCGCTAACCTCTAATATGCCGCCGACACAGAACCAGGCTGATTTGGATTTACGTTTTTTGAAGGTTTGGGATATAACTCGGTTGTCTACTCTATACCATTGGTTCCCAACCGCCGGTGCCGGTCCGCGGGAAATTTCGGTGTTTTGTTGTTTTATGCCGTCTAAATCGCTGTACCGAAGGCGAGGTTGCGTTGGTTTATTACGCAATTTCTCTTCCGCCGTCATATTGCGACAACTTGGCGCCGAGTAATCATACTTTTCGCTTTTTCGGCACCGATTCATCTCGAATGCGCCCCGATCTCTTTACCGAAGACGAGGTTGCCTTGGTGTATTACGCAATTTCTCTTCCGCCGTCATATTGCGACGTCTTCCTTGACATCTTGGCGCCGAGAAATCACACTTTTTGATTTTTCGGCTCCGATTAATCGTGAATGCGCTCCATCAATTCTCGCAAGATTCAGAAACCTGAAAATTGGCACGCGTGCTCTTTCTGTTCTGCATGCTTTTCCTGATTAATATGACCATCCAAATAAAACGTTATGCATATTTCTTTGTTCAAACCAGAAAACAGTCAAGAAAAGTATAATACTCCAGTAAAATACGGCAGGTGGTCACGAGGCGCGCAAAAACGCATGAGCCGCTGACATCTTTTCCAGTATCTTGAGCAGACAAAGTAGGATTTTGAGCCTGGTGCCAAGTTACCGACGACTTTTCCATTGTGATGTAAATTCATTTCGTTTGAAGTATCGATCAACTGCAGAGGGATTAATATGATAAACCAGATGAAAAAGAAAAAGCTTGATTCAAATTGTGATTCCACTTTACAGTCCAAATTTAAAAAAAGAATCACTGTCACAATTTTGGATATATATCTCTCGATAACAAATACCCATCGCTAAGTAATCGAGCAATCAAACTGTTGTCCGTATTTTCAACGAGTTAATCATATTTTCAATAATTATATATAAAAATATTTTCATCACTAGCTTTAATTAAAGCGAAGCGGGGAAATTGGCTGCCCGCCGCTGCAGAGCTAAACGTGTTGCAGAAACTTCCTTGAGGCATCGTCTGAAATCCTATATTGGAAACTAAATAGAAGCAAAATTCTCACTAGAGTTAATTGCGTTTGTACATGATTTGGCATGTACATGTTTTTTATGTGAGATGTTTTATATATATGTGCCTTTCTTACGCATAATGAGTGCCCATCACTGCATTTCATTACGCAAATATAATATGGTATTATGTTATGTTTCACCCATTTCAATTTTTGGCCGCCACATTTGATAGTTTTTCTTCGTGTGAGCTGTTTTTAAGTGTTAGGTTAAGTTTTTGTCTAGATGCATATTGAGTGCCCGACAATGTATTGTATTACGCAAATATATGTTATTCTTTTCTGTTCCAGTCATTTCAATTTTTTACCGGTCCGCCGATCCGCGAGTACATTTAATTTAGTTTTACCGGTCCGCCGGTGCAGAAAGGTTGGGAACCACTGGTCTATACAGACTCATCGACGATACCAGTAGTGACTTGTTCGTTCATTCATTCATGCGCACTTATTATATTCAACTTGTTCGTAAGATTGAGCTACGTTTTATTAGTAGGTTATAAATAACATGTCGTTTACGCAAATATTCAGGTTCAAAACCGCGTGGTTTGTAATAACAACCTTAGATATATATTTAGAAGTCAGAAAGCATCTAAAAATGAGGCCATACATCCGAGCGCGTGACGTCTCTCATTGTCCTCTCTATCCCCTATAAAACATTTATCTGCGTAATACTACACATAAATAAGCTATTCTGCGACTGGTCTGAATGTTGAAATCTGCTTTAAATTAGTCATTTTTACATATTTAATTTGCTTGGAAATAGAAATACTTCATAATACACAACAATTTTACAGGACATTCGTCGAACCCCTGGTACAGCCCCACCGAACTTCAGAGGTTCGGTCGAACTCAGATTAAGAAACACTGCTCTAGCAAAAGCTTACTCTATAAAATAATACTCTCGGAAGTCCATCTGCGTAAAATTATCCTTTGGGCAGGGCAACAGGCTGTTTTCGAAAAATGGGCTAATGCCATTTCTGTATTATATACGCCAGGTGGAATTTACGTCAAATACGCTACTTGGTTTTCTCGCAGGACAAATTAGCCAAATATTGCATACAGAGCCGGCCGACCTGGTCATGCGCATCATCAATGCACGGCTATATGCGTATATATACATGAGCGACAGGTCGGGCGGGGTAAAGATCTAATAAGAATATACCTGCACATAACTAAGTATATAAAAGACGAACAATCTCAGAAAGTGCCGAACACTTGATTTTATTGCATGAATATTGTTCCTATATATCGAAAATGATAGTTAATAAAAGCATTATTAAATAACTTCATTTTCAATAAAACTGTTGCTAAAATTTTTTTAGATAACCTGATAAAACAGTAAGTTACCTCAAAACTCACATTTATCATTATTTTCATACAAAATCGCTTTTTTCACTGTGTTAAGCAATGTTGCAAATGTTATTTTGCTTAATTTGAAACAATAAGGAAGCATAATTGAAAAAAATCAGTTTATAAAAATCGTTTTCCAATGATTTAGTTCAACCATTTCGGAGAATCAAAATTTTTTTATCAGTGCCAATGATATAAAAATCGTCAATGATTAATCATAGGCACATTCAATAGCTATTTTTGTTGGCTAGTTTTTGATTGGAGCATCAAATTCGGGCATTCACAATGAGAGAGTAGGAGAAGCGCAGAAGCTCTAAAAACAGTAGAGCTCGTATGCAAAACTTCATTACAACAAAGTTCAGGAACATTTGGAAAAATAAAAGAAAAAAGTCACCTCAATTTTTTATGATTGGTTTTATTACTTTTATTGGGCAGGATTGTATCGTATGAATGAAGATGAAAATAAATCAAATTAAGTTCAAATAGGCAGCAAAACATTTACTAGAGGCACTAAAATGGAAAAGCACATGCAGCATAACCATGATGATAGTATAAAATAAATAAAACACATTTATCTGTTAGTAAATAATGAAACTTAGTATTTAAAAAAAAAGAAAACAGAAACGAAACAAAAAAACAATATAGTGTCGCCTGGCGGTGGTCACAACTGCACAAAATAAACAAAACAAAAAAAGATCTACCACACCGCGCAACATGTAAAACATTAACTAAACAAAAATAAAGGACGTAAGTTTTAGAAAAAAATAAGGCAATACTGGATATTTACATAATTTTGAGAACATTAGGCAGGGCAGAAATGAAAGAACATAATTAATTGAAATAGGAAACAAATTAATAAATTGAAGTCATGCTCATACTGCGACAAGTCTTTTTACCTAAAAGTCTATTAGTTTTTCCGCCTCGCATACTGCTGAAATTTTTGCGTAATCCAGTTGACATTCCCCTTCGGCCTCCAAATGGAGTTTTGTTAAATTGTGATTCTTGCTGACTTTGTCTTGCTTCCTCCAACTCTCTTGCGAGTATTTCATTTTTGAATTTTTCTTGGTTAAGCTCTTTTCTCAATTGGTCTTTTGATTTTGAAGAACCAGGGCATAGGAGAGGGTGTTGTGTGAGGCTTGCTGCGGTTGGTCTATGAGCAACGATGGGGTGAACCATGCTTTGCAAAAGTTTATTGAACTCATCTGAGCAGTGAGTGAGTGTCTCGAGGCCTTGGTTACGAATTTTGTGCCATGAACTGCCATTTTTGGGAGGCGTTCTTCCACTAGCAAGTTCATGAACTGCAACACCAAGTGCAAAGACATCAGCTTTCTGTAAATGTGAATATTCTTCCTGGAGAACTTCATTAGCCAGGTAACGACAATCGCCTTCTTCAACTTGTGGGTCTTCAATTGAAGTAACATGACCAAGATCTCCGATTTTATAAACATGGCATTCCTTGGTTGTTGTCACCTTTTCTTCTTCGTCTTCGCTATCTAATTCACTCTGATGAGAGTCCAGTGAAATATTCTGCTTTTCATTACAAATGAAGATATTTCCTGGTTTAATGTCCATATGAACCAAATTTTGTGAATGTATATATTTAAGTCCTTTAGAAACTTGCAGCAAAAGATTTTTTGCTTCTTCTTCAGAGAATTTTTCGCCTTCTTGTTGATTCTTTGCTGCTACATCAGCCAGGCTTCCGCCATTACAATATTCATTTTGAATGAGCATATGATCATTTTCTGCCCAAGCTGAATAATAACGAACAACGTGTCTGTGTTTTCCAAGGACAGCATGAGCGCAGACTTCACGAATAGCATTTGCTCTGCAAGTAAAAAAAACACAAGGTTAGCAATTGCAAAATTAAAAGATCTCAGTGTATGGTATTTGCTCGAGTTAATTCAAATGTTTAATAAAGTAAACCAAAAGATAAACTAATACGATGTTTTAATATCATTAATGAACTTACTCGTCAACAGATCCAGCAAGAGGTTTCTTTGATCTTTTTACTGCGTAAACACACCCATCAAGACGATTGACACATTTAAAAACGGAACCAAACTCGCCATCTCCAATTTTTCCAATTTCGTGAAATTCTTGTTGGTAACGAGAGATGTTGTTTTCACGTAAATGAATTCTCTGAAAATAGAAAAAGTCAATTTAGGAATGGAAAAGTACCAGCAACAATTAGACATAACTATTTAAACTCTGGAGACTCATGATGAATATATAATACAGAAAAAATGTTCTATTTACCTTGGCAGGCCTCATTTCATCTTCCTCGTCTATGTCATCCAAACAAAAAGAATGTTTCCTTTGTTTTCCAGTTCTTGAACGTTTTGAATTTTTTGGTCTGTTATCGGGTGTAAATGGGTTTACATTTACAGATGGAGTAGTGGGTTCTTTGAACTTATTAAACCTGGGTAAGCTCTTTGAACCCCGAATTATCTCACATTCTTCATCTGTTGTGTCTGTTCCATCTGCGCTTATTCTAAAAGTTCTTGGCATTGAAGGTGTTGAATGTGCGGCATCCATTCGCAACATACGAAGACGACTTCTCGACTTGAAAGCACTGGTTGGACTTGGTGGTGGAACTGGTGTGGGACAGTTTTCAGAATAAGAAAATTGTAATGGTTTAGGTAAAGCTGGTTTTCGGGAACGCATTTTGCGTAAAAGAGTTTTTGGTGTGGAAGGAGAATCAAAGAGTGTGAGCTCTCGAAGTTTTCTTGTGTGTGGTGGAGTGTCTGGAGGTGACCGACCTGGTGAGCAACCAGAAACGCCCGATGATGATGCTGGTGATTGTTTTGGAGATGGAATACATAGCGGCTTGCTGCTGGGTCTGGTTGGAGAAGAGAAACTGCTGTCACTGTTATCATCACCACTACTACAAGAGTTAAATTCTAGAACATTCGATGTGCGAATGCTGGATGAACTCGCTGGTGTATTTTCATCGTATGAAACATTTCCAGAATCTCTACGATCGCAATAACTTGAAAATGGAAGCTTTCTCAAAGCTGGTGAATGAAATTCTTCATCTTCAGAGGCTGATTCCATGGCATTCAAAGCACAAATTTTCCTCAAATCATCTTCATTATTATTGTGTAACATTCTTCGTAAAACTCGAGAATGTGTTGTTGAGCTGATTGGTGTTCCTTCACAACGACTAACTTTAGATTTAGGAGGAGAGAAAAGTGAACGTTTTGCCGGGGAAGGTGAACTGATTCTCGAGCGGCTATTTTTCATTGAGTCAGGTGATGGTGTCAAAGACAATTGCATACCTAATAAAAAAAAGCGTGGGGTTAGTCAATGAGGTAATATCATATAGCCAATTATTGAAAAGTGAACAGCAGAACTGAGCTGCTGTGACATGAATACCGTAAGTAATAACGTTAGGCCTAACTAACAAAAAATTCCCAATCAACAGATCAATGAATTGCTTCTTATGAAACACAATATTTGTTGTTGTTATTTGCAATAAATCTAGTCTACTAATATAGAAATAGCAAATTACCTGAGTCGTCATCCATGAATCCATCATCACTAAAATCCAATGCCATTCTGATACTATTTGATCCAGGTAAATCCTTTGATGGACTGGCACATGGCAGTGCAAAAGACATAACGGCAGTTCTATAAATCCGATGCAAGTAATTCCGATGATATTTGATTCTTTTGCCCTTGTCTCAGAGTGTGTAAAGTTCAAATGTCACGCAAGAGTTGATTTTACTGATATCACGGTAATATAAGATCTAAACAATATAAATAAACATTATTAAACTGAAATATATTGATGTACATTTAGATATCACCTTATTTAAAACTTTATCAAAAGTATATGATAAAGAGATAAGTCCTGAAGTCCGTAAGTCAAAGTTGTACGGTACCGTTACTACAGTACTATAGACACTGGCTACTGGACTATATTTCAGACGATTGTGTTTTCATATTAATACCGCAACCCATTCTCATAAAACTGTAGGCTAGTTTTCACTGAGCCCGTCCTATCTGTACATTTTAATAATCCAGAATGTACGAAAACCTGGCCGTTAGAGTCGACGGTTGTGGTATCTGAAAACTGCTTGATCTGATTATAAAATTATACGCTAGGACTGGTCTTTTTGTCTCATAATTCTAATCTTCATAAACTGTTAGCAACATTCCTCTGATCTAAGTAATGTACAATGTGACACCATACGTCATTTTAGCACAAATGATTGAATCTGACGTCACCAACACGTAATAAACCCATGAAAACATGCCGCTAGTCGACTGGAATAAGCGTGAACACCATTTGAACAATCGCGCCGCGTGCACGGCGTGTAGAATGGCGGGAGTCTAACGCTCTCAACCAATCATATCACTCGTCATATGACGCAAAACGAGAGAAAGAAAAACGCGACGTCATTAATTCTTTCATTAACTATTATATCGATGCTTTTTTCCCTCTGGCGCTTTGTAACTTAGCGTCGCATAATGAGGCAAGGCGAACGTCTGTTCGTTATCGCTACGTTTCCCGCAGCGCGACACTATCTCAATAGTTTTGCTGTGCTTCCTGTATTTTTAAAGCAACATATTTTATTCAATATGTGCCCCTTAATTAACTGAAGACACGAGTCTTTAGCCTTTATTGTTCTTAAATTATGCTTCGATCAGACTTCATGGCTCGTGCACTTGCTAATGAGCAGGTACAATCTATCACTAAATAGATTGTATCATTGTCGGATATGCAACTCTAATTTGTGTCATTGTACGCATAATAAACCAAATTCTTGTAGGAAGTCAAACCTTATCAATTTTCATTATACAAAATTCATATCACTCCTTTGCAATTCTATACAGTATATATCTTTTGCTAATGTAATTATTACTATCTAATATATTCAACGAACATCCTAACTTAATGAACTCATTACAATTGAGCTATGAGAGGGTATAACTTGTCACTCAACGGACCACAGTGAATATAATTTAACTACATTATACCTGCTAATAAATACTAAAAGGACGATTTCTTAAAATAACATAAGATAACTTGCTACAAGACATATCTCCGTTGGGCCATGCGTACAGGAACAGGTTCTTGATATATTTTTATTGGTCTGGCCGATAGGGTGCATGCGCAAACAAACCCTGTTTACCGATCGGTGATGTTATCTTTAATGTGCTTTCAATGAAGGTCCGGGATTACATTGATGTAACTAATAGCGATATTATCAAAAGATATTTCGGTACTATAGTTGGAATAAGTGCGGAAATAACCTTTCGATTGATGTTCCAAATTGAAATAATCAAACTTTTAGGTTTCCGTAACCTTGTATGACAGAGTTAATTCGAGGGCTCTTGAGCATGGCTAGTAAAATTCCCTACCCTGGAATAATATATTTCGCGAAACTCGAATAGTCCATGCTTAAAGTTTTTATCTCGGTAGGCAAGCAAGTTGAGAATAACACAAAACTGGGAACACCCGGTATGAACCTTATACTACGCGGGTGGAATATTCAATGACGTAATTACAACGTGATTTCCATAAAAGGAAAACTTAACACTCAAATAAAAACGATGATTCATTTTCGCAGCCAGACGGGTGTAATTGGCGGATTTGTGGATATAGCAATGTGACATTTCATAAAATTCATCTGTTCATACCTGACGGTTTCTGTACCTTTACCGCGGTGTTAAAATTCCGACCGCGGGATTATAGCACGTCGCTACCCAAGGGTGGAGACTAAACGTTCCACTGCAGTGGAGACTAATCCATGAACCGCGGTACGATCAAATGGCGGTAATATCGCAACAATATCGTTTAATGCAAATCACATATTGCAGCGGAAGCAAGCGGACAAGGTGGACCAATTTCCGGAGTATAAGCATGAATATGCCATCCACATGCAATCTGATGCTGAGATTATCGTATATTCATTCGCCTTTAATGTTGCAATCAAAGGAAATGGGCGATATGTCATGCGCAACATCAAGGTCGTTTAATATGCAATACAATAATCACAATAACCTATCTGTAAAGATAATTGACCGGTGTTATAATCCCACCGGAGCAGAAATCGACCAACTCACATTACTCCAACGCCCCTATTCATTCACATGAAATTAAAAAGAAGTAATCCTTGCTTATTACAACATATAGTAATTCTGAAACAATTACAGTACTTAGAAAAGCAGGGTAATTCCAAAATCCCACTTGAAACAGAATACGTAATTTCTTACAGGTAATATTCCCATTCCCTATCGTCAACGTAAATTACCTTAGAGTTGAACAAGTTTGGGCGATAGATGAGAATGTGGCGCCGGTAACCATTTTGGTTAATACGCCGTGACCAGTCATGATTTCGTCCTAACTTAATTGACTATATTAGAAATTGAAAGGTAAATTCAGGTCCTCCAAATACATTATTGTTAATTATCCGAAGAGGTAAATCGATAGCAAATTTAATCCAGAAAGCGCGCTAATTTGGTAAAATGACACCTTTCGTATTATCGCCCTCATTTCTGTGAGAAAACAAACACCTCTTATATTGTTTATAAAGTGCTAATCAAAGTTTAGCGACTGTTATATTTTAACATGTCGCTGATATATTTACTAAATTGTACTTCCAATTTTCAAATTAAACTGGCCATGTGTGTGCCCCTGTTTCTTATCAAACATAAGAACATGCCATATATGTTTCAGGCTTGTTGTGTAAGGCTATCAATATGATAAAAATATTCTATGATATCAACAAATAATTAAATAAATGAGAAACAACCTCGTAAAATTATTTGAACAATATTTCACACATAGGTGCTATTTACATTAATGGTTAAAAATATCGCTCACGTTAAATCGCATCTAATCATAAACTGATATTGAAATATTATAATTAGGATGTTTGAGATAGGGTATCTAATGCTAGGCATGTCATTATACGTTATCATGTAATGTTATACAGTTGATTGCCGCTTTCCTTCCAGTTAAAGTTAATTTAGATAAAAAAGATTCGATGTTAGTATGATAAGATAGTGCAGCGGACGTCTATTGATTAGTAAATCATAGCACAGAATTAGTAACAATTTACTAAAATTTGAGCAAATGAAAAACAAAAATTGTCAACAAAGCGTGGAGTTATAATTGTATTTCAAGCGAACCTATTCAAGTAAAACAATAAAGCTATTGACAATAAATAGTAAAATGCACCGAATTTCATCTCTAGCTAATACTGTTTGCTCGAAGCAATTCAACGTACCTGGGTAAATTCAAAAATTAATTATACACAAGTGGTCTGAATGCATTTCGGTTGTATATCCCAATATCTCTCGAGTCGTAAGTCGAAATCCAAATATATATTACATTTGATTAAATACAGGTCAGTACTTCATTTACCTAGACTACAACTCAAATATTATAAGAACTAAATCAAATTTTTCTGCGTGTTAATCTGCTTTATTATAATTGGCTTTAGCTTAGGCCTTGACTGACCTACTTTAAACTGGTAATAACAAATATGACATAAGCACATTATATCATATTATATTATTTTTCGTTCTGTAGCAAGGTGCAGTCAACATGTCCGCGTATTTACATTTATATCAATAAATAAATAAATAGCGACTCGTGACTGTACAGAAATTGTTTATTTGTTTTTGTGAGCCGTTTGTTCAACTACCAAAACACTTTTGTTTGGTTACAGGTCTACGGCAAAACAGGTCTCCCGCATAGATAAACAATGGACTAAGTTTATTCGGGTTTTCAGACGTAAACTCTGCTGAACCTGCAATTGTAACCAAGTCTGTGTTTAAATTTGCTTTTACTTTAAGTTTACAAACATAGTCTGGTGTTGTACAGGTACGCAGTAATTTTTAAAACATAGAAAAAAAATGAGAAAACCTTCCAACAACAAATGCGTATTTGTGAATAAGATAAAATTAAGTAATTTCAAAGATTTTGTCAATAGTTTCAGCTGAGAGATACTACAACCAGTTAGACAATGCCGAAAGTGTGTTCTACAATTATTAAAGTAAAAGATGGATGTTCTAGAATCTAGATTTAGAAAGATTGTATGTAGGCCTACGTGAAATTTAAGAGACGCAGTAACATTATAACTAAGTCTAGCTGTTATTATAATATGATCCCTTAATTTGGAAGGTTTATAAACAGTTGTCCAATAGCTACTTTTTTAAAGAACTTAAACCAGTGTTTTAGCGAATCAGTACAGTGGAATATTTAAAGTTAAATAATTCCATAATTTTGAAGTGTTTCTCATAAATTGATATATACATTACATGCTATTAGGATAGTACTAGTAAGCAACATATAGTTGAAGGAAGTCCTATAGCCACCGACTAGTTTAGAGCCAGAGAGTTAGTTGCCGTTCTGTGACACGTCTAAGGTGTTAAATGTGGAGGAATGGTAATTATGAATGACCCAATTAGAGGCAGAAATTGGCACAAAACGTACAGGGCCGACATTCTGCGAGTATTTAACTTTCGTACTACATCATATTTAGTTAGAGAATTTAGTATTATTGTGAATCGATTTTTGTGTACGAAAACCACATTACTATTATGTATAATACGTAGCTCAAATATTGTATTATGCAATCTGTGGTACAATCGATATTTCCATGAAAGGCATTCTATTTACTTTCACCGTATCTGCAGTTGACATATTGAGTATACATATTCAGACCAGCTGTTGGAAATGCAAGAGAAATGATGGGGTAATTTTATTGAACACATTTACTGTCATTTTCAGATATAATAAATGCGAATGGATGCTCTATCAACTGAGAGAACAAATTACACATAGATTAATTCATGTGATATTTCTGAAATATGTGATTATTTTGAGTTGCATAAAAGCATTTGACATGTGGACGGTAACTTTTCGTGGTACATAATAGAATTCAATGTAAATATATGAGTTTGCGTTATTTTGCCCGATTTTGAGTGATTTATTGAATAATTTCTATTAAGAATAACATTGTTTGTCTGTTGAAGATAAGACCAATAATAGTGAACGTGCGTGCGTGATATGATTTCTCATCCACGTTCAATCCTACGCATGTCGGTTCCAGTCACGCACGCAGCGAAAACATTCAAGGTGTTAACAATCACGCTGATAAAACAACGCAGAACAATGGAACCGCGATTGTCATTGATATGTTTGAGCTGTCATGCAGATATGCTTGCGAATAACTTCCATCAAACGGAGATAAAACATGGGAATATGTTGACATCAAAAGGCTTCCATGCCTAACGTCATGAATTTGAAACTTCTGGAGGAGTCCTAAAATTGAATTTTAATTTATTTTAAAATTCCAATTTTTCTATTTCTAATGCGAAATGTATTAGTGATTCAATAAAAATTTCGATATTGATATATATATATATATATGTCTCGAGTGTGTTTTCATAGTTGTATGACTGAAAAGCATCTGGAAATTTTTGATATTGCTCTGTAATTTGGGTGGTTTCATCGAATTAATATCTCAATCGGTATGGGCGGAAAATTAGCAGGTATCGATTGTTGATTTCAACAACTTTTTCATATATTCAGTTTTAAAAGATAAGCGCAGAGATGTAGCTGTAGATCTTGACAATTTAAGATTTCTTCATAAAATAGTTCGATGAAACGCTAAAATCGTATATATTCAAAAACGAAAAATTTTCAAATTTGTGCATTCTGGCCGCACACTCATTGTATTTATCACCGAGAAATCACAAATGTTCACGCAATCATAAAATAATCTTTTAAGAGCGTTCTATGAAATGAACGCGACAGAGCCCACCTGATTATTACGCGTAATAAAATTCCACAGAGAAAGATCAGCCGAAGTGCTCCAGTCATTCCCGCTAAGGTCTCGATCCTACTAAAGATCAGATGAACACTTGGAAGATTATGATAATACAACCCTTAAGGAATCCAACCGAAGAGTACTGATAAATAATAGGTGCGTTTGGTGAACAAACAGCGCCCTCCATGATTGGCATGGCCCGATAGTCTGAACGATCTTGTTGAAATTTATTCATATGCCAGGAGAAAATATTTTAACGCCTTGAAGATGCGTGTCGTGTTAACGAAGGATTAGTAGTAGCTCCGAAATTTCAAGTCAGTTGATGTATAATGTTCGCGTATGATACTTGTATAGCTGTCTGTTGTATCGTCTCTGGTCACGTGACCATGGGCTACATATCAGCTTTGCCCCAAGCACCTCTAACTCCATTGAAGTTGAATACTCAGACTGAGACACCTCGGGAGTTTATTAATTACTCATTAGTCACTCATTATGCAAAGAGCTTTCAGCTCCTTCCTCCAATTAACAAATATTATCAGTAATTTCCAAGACTTCCGCATATACATAAATTTTACGCAAATATGCATTTCTAGGTCGAGTAAACAATTTTACGAGAACATAATACATATAATATTTTACCCTATTTCAGCAGGTGCCCAACTTCTCAATGTCGACGGATATGAAACCAAAGACAAGTTTAATTTCGTATATATTTCAATGATCGCAAAAGTTGATCATTCGAGTGAAGTAAATAATAACATAAATATAAGTCCATGTATGAACGCTATGTGATTTTACGTAGATCAAAGCCTGGTTTAGTAACGGCCAGGGTTGCCAGGGCATAACACTATAAAAAAAATTGCGTAAAATACATTTAAACAAAAATATTTTCTATTCAAATTTGTATGAAAATACTTTTGTGGTGTATAATTTTTAACAAAATTTTATTACGGAATCAGTGATTAAAATATATTATCAATAAAATTCAAAAAAAAAAAAACTCGTAATAGGCACTTGGAAGACGGATTGAGCATTTCAATGTTCATAATCAACATCACAATGTTTTTAAAGCATGGTTGATAACTGAATGATAGAATATGTTATGAAAATCTATAGCAAAGTAATTGCACTTGGAGACGTCGATAAGGGTTAGTAAAAATAGGGGGGTTACACTGGGTAAAAAAATTCATCCAAATTTTGAGACAATACTGCAAAGTGAAAAGCTTTAAAATTCCCTGGTGTTCATAAAGTATAATTATTTCTAAACGAGGTTTGCTCTTTGTTATTATTCCAGTTTCATATCCAAGTATTTTCTGTTGCATGAAGTACAACTAACATAATTTCATGACCAGAATAATATATCCTAATAAGAAAATGGGAAAATTGGCAATTTTTTTTTCAACTTTTCTGCAAAAATACTGTTTATCAATCAAAAATGAGAAGTAACACATATTTTGTCCAAAATGAGAGATATTCATTAGTAATCAATGAAGAATTGGCAACCAAAAGCATTACAGGTATATTCATATATTAGCAATAAAAGGCATCGGTTATGTAATCATAAATGCTCTGCATAACATACAAGACACTTTTATGAGGATGTCTACATGGATACAAACAGATCAATAAATATCAAGAGCGACTACGAATTTCGCGATAAGAGTTTTATCATACATTTTTACATAAGAAAGCGATATTTGAATTTCAACCCCGCTGGGAGCATATTTCAAAGGCAATAAATAATAGATTGTCACTATGTCACTCAAAAATACAGTTGGAATAAGACATTGTTTTCAATTTTCATATAACTGGATGCATCGGATAGCATTTTTTTCGGAGCTCCCGAAGTATGCGAACCAAGATGGCGGACATGGGAATGTAATATGTGTACTAGGTTAGGGTTAGGCCATAATTTTAGGTATAAATACTACGGGAGGCTCTTGGCTAGTCTTCGAACTGATAATAGGACTAAAATAAGGAAAATTGGAAAAAAATTATCGCCTAACCCTAACCTGTTACGTTCAGATGTCCGCCATCTTGGTTCGCATACTTCGGGAGGACCTTTTTTTCAATAATGATTTTTGTTTGCTACTTTTCGTTGTATGATAAGAAACAAACACCTTGACTTATTAGTCTCGTGATGTCTGCACCTAAGGCCAAAAAGGTAGATGTTACAGAAATGCACAGTGTATATACAATATACCCAAGCACTAGGAAAAAGAACCAATGCAGTCAATGTTCTGAACGTATAAGTATAGATGACATATATGGTAATGGAGTGAATATAATTTGATTGATCAATGAGTTGGTTATTACTGGAACCAACTGGTAATTTCAATATGTCAAATTGACCTCTATGGAAACCCAGTGATTCGAGCACCTGAGCAGAAAGAGCTCTCAACTTTGCACTATGTAAAATAGAAAAGCTGAAATCTAAATAATAACAAGCTTTGCTCTCTACACACTCAAACAAGTAATAAAATGAGTAAATTTTCAGCAAAATAAAAAGCGGAATAGATGATTTGACAATGAATATAATATACTATATTTTGGAATAAAGATGAAAAAACAGGATTGAGTTGTTAGTATTTTGTTGGTCTGATTTTCCAATTCTAAACTATTATTTGTGTGAAGTATGGCATAACGGAGGAGGAAGAAGCACCTAATTGATATGACTTGATTTTTTTGAAGAAATAACCATTACACTAAATTTGAGCATTTCTTGGACTGTGATCGTAGTAACAGCTTTTAGAATACTGAACATATTGTGGAAAATTTGCTACTATGATTTTATTAAATCATAAATCATCATCTCCTATTCCTTCAAAAGCTGAGCTGTTTGATAAAAACGGTGATATGTCGTCTTTTGAGCTTGGATTTGAATTTCCTGTCGAGGATTTGACTGAAGCTATTTTTTCCTGTTGAGAAATACAAAAAACGACGTTGGAGGTTGGAAATTGGGATAATGAAGCGTAGATACCCAGAAGAGAAATGTTAATTTTTAGGGCAAACAACAAGACGAATGTTCAAACGGTACAAGGATAATAAATTACCATAGTGCACTGCAGAGATATGGACAGATAACCTCAAATATACACATATGATTTAGAAAGGCCTTGCCAACAATTTTTCTGAAAGCCAATATAATTCTGTGGAAAGCATGCCTCGATAGGTCATTTTTATTAGACCAACAATTGATGAGACACTTGGGCAGAGGATTGTTTAAAAAGTTGACTTTGGGGGCTGAAGGTATTGGGTGCAAGTGCTGAGCATTGTTCATTATTTCACATGTATGTATGTTTATGTGCCTCAAAATGTACCAGTATCTGCATAATAAGTAAACAGTGCAAAAGAGAGGGGATACATGATCAAAACCTTACTGGCCTAGGACACAGATGTGTGACATAAACCCCTAACGAGTATGAAAGCAGTTTAGGACTGCTGCGTTATATTAGGACAATATACATGAAATAGGCTATACAAATAAAACTCCAGTACAATATACAGGACAGAAGATACGGTGCAACGACAATATGTAAAATAGTCAGTTTATGGCAAGTCCATGTCCTAGGTTCAGGTGTGAAGGATGGAGATTGGATTAAGTTGCTAAATTTTACAATAAATTTCACGAAACAGGTACAGGTTTGTTCGGGACATAAGCTTAATGCCAAATTAACTCTGGTTCTTGCAAACCAGTGCATAATAATGAAACACTTTTAACATCACTGCATGTTTGCTTGTTGAAAATATGAAATCAACCTACCGATATTTTCTTTGTTGTCGAATCTCTGGTTTCATTTATCTGAAATAACCATTTCAAAATAAACAATTTTAGAATAGTATACAATATTTTAAAATCAAATCAAGAAAAAATAGATTTTACCTCTGGACCAAACAATGCTTCAGTGCTTTTATCTCGAGGTTTGAATCGAATTTTGCTCTTTGATCTGTCAGAAGGCTGCAAAATGATATAATAAAAACGGTGAATAGGGATGGTTATTGACTGATGATATTATCATACACCCACTTTGGCAATAACATTATTAAATTGAGTGACTAAGTTAAAGCGCATTAACATTAATAGTTTTCATTTCCGAGGATCACAATAAAAACTACAGAGTTTATATCTTTTTATCTCTAGCTGAATAGGTTGCTGGCTTTCTGTTCATCGTACCGGATGCATAATATGTCAAAAATCTCTGATATGACCCTCAATTAATCATCAAGTGATTACTACATCACTCACAAACGCATTAAAAATAATAAAATAAAGACAGCAAACAGGGAAGTCAATGATAGTCATGCATTGTTTGTTTGGAGCAGGTATGGAATAGAAAAATGTAGCATATCTTTCGAGGAAGTGAATTAGTGTTACCTTCCGTATAATGCCAAGTATAGGCTAATGATAGAATGTATAAAGAAGGAAAATGTACCTGAAATCATACAAATTCATACCTTTTTAATTCTCCCTCCTTTTCTTTTTCTGAGTAATTCATCAACCATATCTTTTATACACATGCTCATCATTATTGCCTGAATATAGAAAACTAGATCAGCTTCACAAATCATAGGAATATGAAAACAGTCTCTAGAATTAGATTCTAGAAGACTCAGTATCATTCACTTACAGTAACTTTGATTATGCCAAATTGGTCCAATGTGTGGCTATAGCACAATGGCCTATCTGCTAAAGTATTGTACTTTGCTGTGTTGGCCTCGCAGATTATATGTCGAGTTCAAATCCCATTTCTTTCAATTTACCCAGGGAGTATAAACATTAAACAGGGTAAGCAATACCGAACTGAAATGATTTCAGCCCTTCCATATAAATAGTAGCTTCCGATTAGGGTTAGGCCATAAGTTCAGGTACAAATACCACGGGAGTCACTTGTCTAGTCCCTGAACTCATATTGGAACTAAAATAAGGAAAATTTGAATACAATTAAGGCCTAATCCTAACCTGGTACACATACTACCATCTCGGTTCACATAGGGAGTAGCAAATTTTTTTACTATTTTCAAACCCACAAAAATGCTATCACGGTGTCGGTACCTGATCACTAATCAAAGAAATCCATTTCATATTTCCTTTACTGACAAGATATTCAAAACTTAATTGAAGAACTGGATGTTCTTGTTCAACTTGACTATTTTGGTTTAACTCTACACTTTCTTTGAATTGCGATGATGCCTAAAAACAAAATTGAATTATGGTGAGAATAGAACATTTGGGAAATTACGGATGGCTTGAAATAGCAGGTAGCTAATTGACTAAGCCAACGAACTTGACTCACCCGCCAGCATCTTATCCTTGTTACAGAAAATGCAGCTTCCTTTACTTCAGATTTGTCTAGTTGAACCCTGTTTTAAATAAAATGTTTTGTTCATTTCAAATTTCAAGCAATATTCATTCATCATGACACCGTACATAGAAACAATATTTCTTTTCTTTTAATGTTGCATTAGAAATTAACTCGCTTTGAAGTTCATGAGTATATTAAAATATAGGCAGAATCATTGATAATGACCATTATTGCTTTATGTTTTATTTTATCTCATTAATAATAACTAATTTTAGAACGAAAATGTTTCAGAAAAATTGATAACTTGGTTTGAAAATTACAATACACAGAACAAATATCCGGGAAAGTTTTCAAAACTTTAAATGAGATATAAAACATGTGCATGCAAGTTACATGGACAATCTCAGCTTGTGACATATAATATAAGTGCAAAAAACTATTTCAGCAGGCTTCCAGCTTTTGATCCATACATGAATATGAAGGATAATACAAAATAACATGATAAAACAAAATAAAGTTAGTATCACCTGAAATGTATTTCATAATTTCCCATGCTGACAATAACTCGTCTTTTATCACTTGGAAAATCAGTGATGCATGGTTTAAATTGCACATAACCGTAATGACGAAGAGTTCGACACAATTTTAAACTCTGCAAGAAAAGAAAACATGCTGATTATGATATCTTCAGTTATTTACTGAAAATTGAAACAGTTATTTTGCACGAGATTGACCTTGGTATTTGATTACGCAACAATTCTTTACACGTCAGTGCATTACTCAACATCAATACAGCTTAATACATGATAAAATGTTTGCCTAGACAAACAAACATTGCACTGAATAAATGTGCCTGCCTCAACACATGTTAGAATCTATGGCCCATAGGATTGTCACATTATAATTTATATATGTATTTTAGTAAGTAAATATTTTATGACTAGCAAGTGATATTAATAATGGATTGAATAGTGTTATAAAATTCAGAGGTATGTATGGCGATTTGTGTAAATAGAATTATTGGGTAAAAAAAAGCGCAAAATGAAATGTAATTTTATACCCTATTATTAAAATTATATTAATTGAATTATTATATTGAAACTATCAACTTTATAAAACATTCAACATAGGGATGACCAGTACAAGGATATTGTGTATCGGACTACAAGTCCTTTCACCTTGTTTATTCCCTACTTTGTATTTATATGGCAGTTGCCACAATGATGCTTGGACAAGGTGAGAATGACGTAATTCATGACTCAGTATACCAGCAAGTAACATAAGCAAGTAAATCACTTTCTGTATCTTGTTCAGTCTGAAGAAGTTCGACTATGATTTAACAAAATCTCACAAATGTACTTGCTATTCATAGAGAGAGACTATATATAATAGGTTTGAATCAGGAGAGTCCGAAACGAATACTTGAATTGAGTCAAAAATTGATCTATTAAACTTCTAATCCTAGAAATAGTTTAAAACAGAAATATTTAAAAAATTAGCATTTTGAGAAATTGAAGTGTGACTTGAAAATTCCTTATTTAATTTCTGGAAACTGTGAAATTAGAGAACCAGCCAATCAAGTCAATTTCTTGCAATGCCAAATTTAAACTCATTGAGTAAACATTGACTTCTAGGTCCTTTTTGTTAAGTAAAATATTATCCACGTAAACAGATAAAAATATGCAAACGAGTATAATGCATTACATTTCACTAAAAGCATTTTTTCTTATTTTATTATTGAATAGTAAGCTTAATAATACAGAATATATAACAATATGACAAAGATCAGATGTCCAAGGTTTTGATATAAAAAAAAATTAACATCTGATTACACATTAACTGACTATATTAAACAATACCAGTTGCGTTATGTTTGCAAATAGAAGTATGATAAACTTCCTAATTAGTTAGTGGAACACTAATTACATAATAATAATTACTCTCACCACCTGCCAATCATTCCTACAATGAACCATAACAAAAATAATTGAATCAAATTTATTTAATGGAGCCTCAAAAGCACAGCAGGATGTATTTCGAAGTGTTTGTCTAAAGTTGGATTCTGATATAAAATGTGTTTCATTATGAATACACTTGCGAAAAAACATGTTTAAATGAACCTAAAAGTTATCCAGTTATTTTATAATTATAGTTGAAAAATCACATCCAATCCAATTTTTATTATTTCACAACAGGAAAATATTTTCTACAGTTTTCGTTTTTTAGTTTAAAAATGAAAAATGATAACAAAAATATACTTAGACATAAATCACCTAATACATAGAATGCTGAATATTAATAATTAAATGAAGAAATTAAAATATAAATTCATTTCAAACTTACAATTTAAAGTAAATTTGAACATCTACTACCTCCTTCAATACCGGTATATGAATATGATATTATTTAAAATAAGCAAATAACCGAATTAGGAAAGAAAAAACTGAGTAAAGTGAATAAAAATGATGAATTTTTTAATGAATGCTATTTTATTATGGAACAGCGCAATAATATAGGATTTATTACTTGGGTAAAAAATAAAACAAATACAATATTAGATAAATATGCAGCATCGTAAAACTAAATTAATTTATTAAATACTATAAAAACAATGTTATTGCACTAACAGCCATATAAATTAATATCATTATCATCATTGTTTCCCGAATTAGTTACAGTGGAACATGATCCACTTACAAACAATCACTCTCAGTCTCACCACCTGATAATCATTCACAAAACATCCGTAACTAATATCATTAAGAAATCATAAGTTAGATAAAGACACAGCATGAAATTAGTATGAATAGAAATGAAAACTTTTTGTTATCACAAAATAAATTAAATATATTTACTTTTCACATAATTGAACATTTATTATAAAATGATATTAAAATGTTAAGCAAAAACAATACATAAACTAGCCATGAAATTTCTATTGTTTATAACAAAACAATATCAAGAAAAATAATAAACATTCTTTTCTCTATTGTATGGACCTACTTTTAGTGACTTGATTTCATAATTATCTAAAACAGGGCACTTCAAACCGAGGATCCCGGCACCCCTTTGGGTCTCAATGTGGGTTGCTGTAAATCCTTTTCGACACTGATTGTGTCAAAACAAATTATCACCTAAACATCACCTAAATCACCCAACATCACCTAAATAAAGCCGAGATTCGAGCTTTTGCACGAGAATATGTGAGCACACAGGTCCCATTAAAGGTATTGTCAATTTTATTAAATTTTTAATTCTTGCTGTATTGTTTAATTTCACTTAATAATTTTTACTTTGGTTTCTGGATGTCGCAAAAATATTTGGCTGTGCATCAGTGCATGATAAAAAAAGTTTGAAGAAGTTAGAGGAAAAATAAGCTATTAAAAAAGGTTATTAATCATAATGTTAATAGAAAGAACCTCTTACTCTGAATGTAATTAATGAGCTGTCAGGGAGAACAAGTTGCTGACACCATAGAAAGTCAATCTAAAGAATAGTTTCAACAAGGAAGTGCGAAATCTGATATACAGAATCTGAATAGGATTTAAAAAGGCCAAAAAAGTATAAAAAGTTCCGGAATCGAAAAACCCACCTCTCTCTTTGATCCTCTATTTTGCAAACTTTCTAATCTCTGTAAATTATCTTTCGGACATATTGTCCAGCCCATTTCAACATCGCTGAGAGCCTACAGGGGAAATAAAAATGTTATAAAAACAAAATTGTTTTTTGAAAATTTTCATCTCATCAACCAAATATTTATAGTCTACAATATCACATTAAGCCCTAGTTATTTTTCACACTTTAAAAATGTTTTCACAACTTTACTTCAAATAGAAAGCAAATAATTATCTAACTAAAATAATATTTACAGACATCGGCCTTATTGTAGGCTATATACAATGTAGGCTTCCGGTACACTGTTATAGGCAATACAGGTATTTCTAAAAAATATGAGTAATTAAATCCATTCAGGCAAAGGAGCGTAATAAAGAAAAAACAGAAACTAGAATGAACAGGATAAACACGAAATGACCACCAGAAAAATATCAATGTCAAATCTTTCAGAACCAGAACTACAAGATCACAAATTGTAATTTTCTCACCTGTACATGCAGAAGATTAAATGTTGTTGTATCTGATAAAATATCGTCATCAAATGCTTGATCCCAGTATGCTTTTCTGATTGTTATTTTATATGATCTCCGTTCTGTCAATGCTTTCATGGATATATAGGGAGATTCGAAGTCTTGTAGTTTTCGTACAACTGCCAAAAGTAAATACGAGTCGATATAAATTTCTCACTGATATGTTGAAGAATACCGGATGAACAAACAAGCAATATTCAATCAGATCTAACTCATTAGCAATGATTTCTTTAAAGTTTAAATTGAAATTCATAAGACAAGGCAAGCTCACTGCAATGATGACTACTTTATAGGCAAATTAGTCAACGATGCTGCCATTATTGACCTCTCAGTGACCAATGGCTCAGATTGGAAAGTGACCAGAAATCATTTTTTCTCCTCGAAGTAACTATTAGGGCAGCCAATTATTTTATGCGATGTTAAATCATGCCTTTCGCTCTGCACAAGGCCCTGTACAAGCAAGCACTGATATCTAATGATATGAAAGAAGATACTATAATTTGGAAGGCAGGAATCATTCCAAATTGGAATTGACTACCCACTTTTCTACACTCTGCTCTGGGAGACGTGGAGAGGCTTGAATTTGAACCCGAGATGTGTGATTCACAACCATTTTTGTAGACACGATGGAACAGTTGTTGTTAAAGGGACAGGTATCAGCATCACATATTGAAAATCTTGGATTTGATTCCCAAACCTCATTGGGTAGGCAATACCGAAACGAAAAGATTTCGAAACTTCAAAAATAGTTGGTTTTTACATATTAGTAATCGGAGTAAAGCTGCGAAAAAGTATAAACTATTATAATTATTACACATGATCAACAGGATATGACTATACTTACTCGAAAACTTTCCATCTTTTTCAGATTTCATTAAATAAAGACCAAAATAATATGTGAAGTCATCAGGTATACCGATACATGCAGCAACATTCTGAAAATACCATTTCAGATGCTAACTTTCACAGAAATAGATCTCTATTTATAGCAAGTTAATGTAGTGCACATTGAAGTAGATATAATGAACTAAATATATATCACAGGAATTCAAATTATACAGTATTCGTATTTCTTGATTTCTTGATAAGAGGTTTTTGGCTTTGGCCACTATTCTGCATCACAATTCAACTAGCTAAGTGAACAAATCGAATTTGAGAAAGGCATATTTATGCAATGGTGCATTCATATGAGGGTTGCATTCTATGCATTTTCTCCCTGAATAAGTCAAACTAAAAAAAAGTTACTTCTATAACATCATTCGTTTGATCTGTGCTATTAATATCAATTGTGACTTTTGCTCCATTCATCAAAAATATATCTAACGACACTGGTATCGTTTCCTCTCTCCGTGTTTCCTGAATGTGAAAATACCCATGTTAGATATACATCTGGGATAAAAATTCCAGCGTTTGAAATAATGTACTTTGGTTGTTATTAGAGGAGAGTTATTCTCCAAAAATGTATTCCAAATTAAACCTGTTTTGAGAATATTATATTTCAACTTTGCAAATTAGACAAGCTATGCCGAACCACTAAAGATAATGATGCCGAACGTGCAGTAGCTATATATTGGCATTTTAGCCAAATACTGCTTAAATAAAGCCTTTTTATCATTGAAAAAAAGAACACATTTAAAGATGGCTTTGTATGATTTCCTGCTTCAAACAAATTGCTCTGGATATCCCTGAGCTCACTGCGCCATAATAGGAAGTAAAAGATACGATAATACCTAGCCTCACATAAATCCTAACCAGTCAACCGGTATTCTGAGACATATGGACAAGCAAAAATGGAGCGCCGGCAAAATGAGCTTCATTTTACTCTCTGGATTAAACTCGGCTCAATCTTAAATACCAGGAAATTTTTTAAAAATCGGAAAAGCTGATATTTACCTGTTGAGCTTTATGTAAAAATGAGCTGAACGTTCCACATGCACATATTTCTTGATTCTGACCCACTACAAAAGAAAATATAGAATTTGATATTAAAATTGTTGCAAATTTACATATAATTGTATTGTAACATATAATAGTATTGCTAAAAGTGCTAGGAATTCGACATTGATATAAAAATTAATAAAAAAGACAAGAAAAAAAAAATGTGAATCTTATAAAAGGATAGCATGCAATAAGAATCAAATCCCTGCTCATTTGTCTAACCCTTAAGAGAGAGCAGTGATGCACCAGATTACACAAGTGTGTACTAGATAAAAATCAAGGATTTCAACATAACAGATATACTTGAATGTGTTAAAAATGTAATAAACTGTATGGTGTGTTTCTGTGGGCTGCTACCATATTAACAGCACAAGCAGGAAAGAGACACCCAGAATAAAGAGTAAGAAACAAAAAGACCAAAACTGAATTTTGTCTATTTACCACTTTGAATGTATTTTTCAAGTTGTACTCTTCTCTCATTCAAACTTTCACCCCTTAGTGAAAAAACTTTCTTCGGGGGAAAATCAGCTAATTCCGATGTTGGAAACTGATCTCTAATCTGTTAAGAAAGCAATAAGCATTTGAGTACACATGATACAAGTATTAATTTTTGAATAGAGAATTAAATAGATCACATTCGCACAGAGGGTTTTAAGTTAGCTTAAAGCTGTTGAATATACCTTGGGTCAGGTATGCATTATAAGTGTTAGCAAACAAAAGCTATATATTTCCAAACATTTCAAAATAGAATAACTGTTATCATAACATTAACAGATATGACTCAGAGAAATTTTGATTAAAGATATGAATACAGAATAAAATATACAGAAGAATTACCTGATCATTCAAATCTCTTAGCTGACTGTATCGAAGGGTGCAATGTAGAACACCGTTGATGTGAATGTTGAATGCCTGGAAAATAAATAAATTTGTACATGAAAAATCTTTCAGTAAGCAAAACTTATATTAGTGAATGCTTGGGTAGACCTGTTCTAAGCATAGATGTAAAAAGGTTTCTGAAAAAAATGTAGTCCAGTCTTAGAAATGTACCACCTTTGTTGCAAGTTTAATATCTTGAACTCAGTAAAATTGTAATGAAGACTCCATAGTAATAGGACAGAATTTACACATTTATCCCGGGGGAGAGAAAAGTCAATGAGACGACTCAATCATATAGCGAACCACGCCTATCGTCCGGTTGCCAGTTCATGTCGGGTATGGGAATAGTTAGCAAAATGAAATCAGATTTTAGGAACAATCATAATAATCGACAATTTTTATAGGATAGGATAGGAAATCTGGCTGAGTGAAAAAATAATAGCCTATGTAAGTTCAACTTATACATTCCCAACAAAAACAAAAGTCTTATATTTTCTGATTGCAGCCCCCTCCAGAAAAATTGTCTTCAATTGCTAAATGATCTCAAATTCAATTTACAATACTCACCATACACGGTCATCGGTACATACAGACATACCGGTAATAATAAAGTGCACAACCTATATCTATAGGATTTATTATGATCTAATACAGTAATAATATATATACCTGATATGGTGCCGCATTCTCATCCTTCAATTCTTGAGTATCAGGTATAGAAAAATGCATAGCATGTGGTATCTGTGTGTTACATCAGTGATTGAGTAACATCAACTAGTCATGGATGAGTAAAAATTATTGCATGAACTCAAAAACTATTTCAGTATTTAACTTTCAAATACACAAAGAAAAATATTTGGAGATTTGATTAAAGATCTGTAAAAAATAATGTTGTAATGGATGAGATGATATATTTCAATATTTTAAACTCTGTTATCTGGCTAACAACACATGGTATCGTACCTGACAAACCGCAAAAAACTGGGACATGCAGACATGAGTTCAAGAATGTTGCCAAAATCTTGAATGAGTTTTTCACACGAGACATACGGTACTGACATATAGGGAAAGTGAATTAGAATAGCTCTGCGTCCTACTGTAGCCTTTACCAGCACACAATTGATATTTTATTGTCCACTCGATCGACACAATTATACAATATCTTGCGAATAAATACTGTTACTTTCTGTCTTGACTCTCTACAATAAGATGAACAACTGTTTTTGTCCTAATTCAACGAATCTGAGTTAAACACGATTTACAGCTAATAATACTAGTTTTGCCCGAATTACCGAAACTCAATCAACTTGATATTATTGTCTCTACACAACCAAACACTGAAACATCAAAGCCTGAAAGCTGTATAAGTACTGCAGTACTGTGGCCTAGGGTTTAAACGTTGAGTCTTTACTTAAAGGGCTATAAGATACTCATTACTCTGTTACTGCATCACATTCATACCAAAATCTGAAAATGTGTAGTTCTATTCATTCCCTTCCTATAAGGATTCATCAATACAGTAACAATATTTCTTTTTTTCTTCATCTTTTTTTAGTTCAGAACAATTATTTTTTTATTTTCCTTTCGCAATTATCCCAGTAATATCATCTTTCAGGTCCATTTAGATTTTTGATTTCAAAATGCCATTTTTTTAATTTCGGTTTATCCCAGTTTCTATTTTGTCTTGCAATGTCTAAAAGAATTCACTTCTTTCCCCACATCTATTTGGGGCACATATATTTCAGTATTCAGTACAGTCAGACCATAATGTAGAATAAATTGTTTGTGGAAAAAACTTCCATCACAATAAAATATATTGAACAAAATCATCTTTCTGTATATCATCAAAATTTAGGTCTATTTTATTTGATAACAGTATCCCATTTTTGCATTTGTTTCACTGCCACAATGTGTTTCTTGAATATGTGTTATTGTACTAGATTCAGATATTTTATTTCGTCATGCATGGAATATTGTAACAAATAATAATAAATGCCCCTATATTTCTTATGTAGGCCATAGCCTACCTCTGCACTCCGTTAATGCCTTCTATCTACTGATACAGACAATGCATAACAACAGAACAATGTTATGTAAAATCTATGACTGACAGGTTGCCACTAAAATTCCTAGAATCGCTGGACGCTGGGTCTGGTGTAGTTTCATACTTAATAAAGTACTTCTAGTGGGCGTAGCATAACAATTTTTGCATATGCCAGTATGTCAATCCTAACCCCCAGGCCCAGCTGGACCTGGCTGCGTCATCCAAAAATTACGTCACCACGACGCCATTTGCAAAATCCAAAATTCGGCCATAAAATCATATAATATGTTTCCGATTAAAAATTCCGGAATTTTTGCGATTTACCACGTCTAAAAATGAGTTTTTAAATCTGTCAAGGCACTCCTAAAACAATATTCATGGTGTTTTCCGATATAGATAGATAGATAGATAGTTTATTTCGAAAACTCCATAACAAACCTAAATTTAAAATGGAGAATTCTGGAGGGCAAGCAAAACCTACAAAAAAGTTTAAAACATGAAGTATCTCATGTGCCTGCCCACCAGCACGCACACAAAAACACAAGCCCAATTAAATGAGGCTTGGGCTAAACTTAAAAAACAAAATACACGATAGTAATAAACTTTCGGGCTGTTGTACTCTCTTTCAACAATTACGTTGATAATGACCAATACCTACAACCTCATGCAAAGATAATGTGGGGAGTGGAATGTAATAAATTTGCGACGATAGTCATACTCATGAAGCCATGAAAGCTTTAAGAAAAACCAAGCCATGAAAAACTACACTGATTGCTAGAATGGGCATTGCGGAAAAGGTGATAAGTGGTTTAATATACAAACAAACGCAAAACCATGGCGGCAAATTCTGTGTGCGGACACTCATAAAAGCAATTATTAGGAAAAACACTAATCACACGTGAGCAGGTCTGTAGCCTAATTGATACATTGACGTGGCCAACATTGTTAAAACAGTACCGGTTTGTCTCGAGAGTCGAGACACCCAAACGTACTTACAATATTCACCTCCTCATCTTCATTTAGGATAGGATAGGATTTACATATTTATCCCGGGGGAGAGGAAAGCCGATAAGACGGCTTATCCATATGGCGAACCACGGCCTCTCGTCCGGTTACCATTCCAAGTCGGGTATGGGATTAGTTTTTACTGTATTGTTTGTTTTCGGAAGCATGGACTTGGTGGTGGAGGAAGCCGTAACCGACCAGCGGTTACGTGAACCACCCAACGACGGCGAGGAGTCCAGCAATCCTCTCGCACATAACCATCCCTGCATGGGATTCGAACCTGCGAACCCATGCAGAGTGACTAGAGGTGCGGTGGCGAGCGTATTCCTAACGCTTAGCCCGTTGAGCCACACCGCCGCGCCACACCTTCATTTGAAAATTGGATTTGCGGATTCAATCCTTAGTTTGTATTAACGTCTCGTCTCAGATGATCACATAATAAGGAGTTTTTTTACACTTTACGCACAGTTCCGGGGAAAAACCTTTTCCGAGGACCTTGTGGCACATGTCCAGTGGAATACTTGTAAGTAAGTGTAAGTGTTTATTTCGATTTTCCGTTACAACAAAACAAATAGGCAATACAGGGCAAAACAAACAAATGTACGGAAAATCAGGAAAGTGGGCAAAATCTAAAAAAAATTTAAGACGTGCTGGTGCACGTGCCCACTTACCCCACACAGCAAACAACACATTGAAGTAAATTTAAAGAAAAAAAAAGAGAGACACGAAAAATAATCCGGGCGTAAATACTTGACTGTGGATGTGGAGTTTCAACATGGAGTGTAATTTCTACTATATCTGTACAAGGGACTAGCGTGAATTGTAGAACACAACAAACAAACAAGCGGTGCGCAATATGTGATAAAATTAATTTGATTACAAATGCACTCAACTAATAGTCTACCGTACCGGACGATAAACAACAATAATAAAAGCAGCATAAAAGTAAACAACAACAAACCAAGTAAAATATGACAAGAGCATTCCACGCCCTGGCGTTCTAACTTTAGTTTTAATCAAAATTCATGTGCTTTGTATAAGTAGACTAGTCTTTTTTATGGAATCCATCATCAAATATCCGTTACATTTGACGTTTGACTGTTCGTGTTATTCCAGTACCGTATTCCCAGCTTCGTTCTCCATGATAAACTCCATGCAGGCAGCATGATCTGATGTGAACTGCGAGAGAAAGTTAGGCTATAATTCGCCGAAATATATTTTGCCGACATAATACCTATTATTTTCACATCCTAAATACCAACGCCATGATGAAGAAAACGATCGGCGATTTAAATATAATTTTCCTCCCCCCGCCCCTGCCCCTTCAGATTTTTCGCATTGTCTTATCTGTTTCGCCGGATAGTTAAAATACAGAATACTCGGATATATCCGTTATCTGGATATTAAAAATTATAGGTATCCGAACTAACCCTAATTGGTGTCTACTAAAGTCAGACAGTGGCCTGATGTCCCATGCCCGCGTGTTCAATGTCAGAATACTGCAACACCAGGTAACGTACCGTTATAGCATGTTAAACTGGGTTGTTTATGCTATACCGTGTGTTCTGATTTTGTGCTTCGACACTACTAATAATAAGATGGAGCGGTACGGTTAGTCCTTTTAACCAAGCAAGCTTATTTATCTCGGGGGAGATGAAAGGCGATAAACCTGGATGAATAACCAACTGTAGGCTACCAGAAATACATAGAATTAATTGGCTGTATATGCATATGGCATTGGCGCTATTTTATATGTGTATGACGTTACCAACCATATCGCCTATATTAGCAAACCCAGCGTATAGCTCGTACAAGTCGCATTTATTATACACATCGTTTTAAAATGAGGGAAAAACAACTCAAAAGAGATAGGGCTGGCCTGAGCAACTACTAAACTTTTAATTGACAGCTGATCGTCGTCTTAACATCTTGACTGCCTAATGTTACGAATCGATGCTCGAGGATACAAATCTTTTTTGGCGTTGAAATCTGGGCATGAAGATGACCGAGATAAATATGTAAATCCTATCCCCTCCGTTCACAACGATCTGTCGTAGCCAGGAAATGATACTTGTTTAACGTTTCTGAGTAGACTAAACAATATTTTACACTAAATAGATACAGTTTGGATGTAAATATGTACCTTTCCAAGTATTTTTTATTATTGAATTCATACATAAAGTGACCAAACATATGTTTTGATAGATCTTTTCTCCAAAACGTCTTCTACTTCTCCAGAAGCCGAGTCTCGAACTGTAATGGTGATATCGTTCTCTGACTTGTTTAAAACGACTAACGATATTTGGTTAGTATTTGGATTCAAAAACGCAACATGTTTGACATTAAATGGAAGTTGATTCGCCAAGCTTTCAATCCTTACTGAGCCTTCGGGGACGAATTTGCTAAAATTAAAAATAATCAATTATGACGCAACTCAAAATACACAAGAAATGTCATATGGGGAAAATGTTTCAATTGCATAGGATTTGTTGTTATATTATTCATATATAGCGTATAGTTCGACTAATTTTCGCCAAGTTTCATGTTGAATATTGGAATATAAATTACAACGAAAATAAATATATATATATATACAACCTGAAATGACCCATGTGATAAAACATGGGCTGTTTGTAAAACTCGTAGGATTCTTTGTTGACGATGATTGGAGAATCAACGAAGTTTCTCACCCAGTTTGGTCCCCCTCTCATATCAAGAGCAATGTTCCAGTCCACCCAACCACTCACGTAGTTTGTTATATCCTGTAAATTTGTAATATTGTTTTGCGATGTCCTCATTCACACATACTTTATTTGGCGCTCCACATATATAAACCTTGATTCTGATTGCAAATTCACACTTAAAATTATTATAGAGTCAGAAATCTTTTCAAAATATAAACGAGAATATCGGTCGGAGACCGAAGACTTATCGATCGAAACTGCGGTTTCGATTCATGACTCTATAGTGACACCGCGTGTCCCATCCCTAATTAAGTAATAACTAGCTAATATACGACATAGGCTTCTGGTCCGGGATATGATGATTGCACATGCAAAATTTGGAGCAGATTCAACCACGCCTTCTTGAGATATCGCGTGCATCTAACAGACAAATACCTATCAACATACTTACCGATCTAAAGATCGATAAGTAATAATAGAAATATGAACTTGCCTCAATAATATCGTCACTGTAGCGTTCGCCACGTTCCCAACTGCCCATCACCACTCCTTTATTTGCTAAAGGATTTGCCCCTGCACATGCCTCCGATGCAAGCATAAATTTATCAGGAAACAATTCATGGGTTTCCGTTAGTCGTTGTGGTGGCACCATGAAATCCATATACCTGGGGATGAAAAAAAAGGAAAATTTCACTGCCATTTATTAATTAAACGTAAAGTGGTGTCGTGACAAATGAATTTTATATTGTTGGAATGATTATATATATACATACTGCTATATGCTATACTAGTTTCTCGAAAGAAGTTCCAAAGAATTATAAGTGAAAAACATATCACTAAAAGAGTTGCAAGCTACAACTAATGTGAAGTCACTAGTAATTAGTAACACGTGCTTCGAAATAAGTCAAGCTTGCTTATAACACGCAAGATAAAGTGGCTTCCACAACGCGAAAAATTGTTTGCGAGGTCTATTCTTCCGAAAATCGGTCGATCAAGATAGAATTCTTTTAATTCAAATAAAACTGTATTTATTAAATACAGATATTTATAAACTAAGTTTACCAATGAATTGCTATTCCGTCAACATAGTCGTTCACGACTGAATCATTCAGGACAACCTTTGGCCATTCCGGTAACAACAATCTTTGATCATCCATTATCATCAGTGTTACGTCGCCGTGACCTCGGTTTTCTAGTGTTGGACCCTACTCAATAAAATGGGAGAAATTGTATGTCAGTATTTTCTTTTATAGTTTTATTAACAGTATACAAAAGAATACGAACTAATTTATTACCAAATCTAGTTTTATGAAGTCTCTCTGCTGAATATCACTGAATCCCATGCACTGAAATGGAAAATTCTGAATATTCCCAGCACTTGGTTCATTTTGCGCTGTTAATCCCCAGATGTCTACACCGTTCTTTGTATATTCTTCTATAAATCTATATAATACATAAAATCAAGACAGACCGTGTTCGATGAATCTATTACATAATTACAGAAAGAAGTTATTGTAGCGATTTCAATTACTGTACACTTGAAATATAATAATAAACACGTGGATCGAAATGTTAGTTTTTCATAATTAGGATCTATTAGTTTGAAAGAAGTGTAAGCTTATCCCCATTCTCGACTGACTAAAATGAACAATACCTGGTACTCCTGAAGTATGCGCACTAAAATGTCGCACAACCTGAACCCTAACCTGGTACACAACCTGAGTTCAGGTTGTGCGCCACCTCGGTGCGCATACTTCAGGAGGTCCCAATACCTTGCAAAATACAGAGCCCAAGTGTGATAGTATGGTCCACCTGGTTCCCCTTTCAAACTTCCCTTTCCGATAAGGTCATTGTTTGTTTTCATCCAAGCGGGTGCTGTCCAAGGGCTGGCATAAAAAGACATTTTTCTTTTGTTCATTGCCACGGCCTTCTTTATGTATGGTATCTTCGAAGATGTAAAAAAAAAAAAATTTTCAACGGCAGTCGATTATAAATTTAACATCAACTCATTTGAATGACAACAAATTACTTTGTAAACAAAATCTTCACTTGCTAACGAAAAATTTGTTAGGGCGAAATCATTCTCGAAATCATTGTACGTGTATCCTCGAGTTGAAAAATCACAACTTGCTATAGGAATTCGACCCATGTTATATTCGATACCTGGAAAAGTGGAAGTGACCTTGTTACAGAAATGTTATAATACCAAGAGATGATACATAAAATTATGAAAACAAACATTAATAATTGAAACCAACAAGCAATACACGTTTTTTAAACCGTGTAAAATGATTTATATACATATACTGTTGGCGAGCTTTTGAATTCTAACCACACAAAAGGGTCGTAGCCTATGGTATACATAAATATCAATAAACTTACCCTCTGGTGAAAAATATGACCTCAATAAATTCTCTTGAGCCTGTTGAGGTAAGCTTGCAATATTTATTCCAGCAGCATCCGTGAATGCACCGCCGAAGCCTTTAATTGTCTGCAACCGTTTACCAGAATTGACTGTTATTGAAGCTGAATGAAACAATAACATACATATTTACACAAAAAGGGATAAACCAGGATAAAACTCTTCATAAAACACAAACGCCGAATGTTCTGCGGCTGGAAAAAGAACTTGATTAATTGTTGTTGTTCGGGGTCTTGTTGAAAAAGAATTGAAATATTCCCACAATGCAAAATTTTAGTGAAACAGTTGAACTTTCCAGTTCTCATACTTGCGCATTTCTCATATAGGCTATGTTAGGAAATGAACAATTCAAATAGTAATGAAGTTCTTACCTACATCACTTTGCGATAGAGAGCGAAATTGATACGATGTCTCGTTGAAACGAAGTCCACTCTGACTCGATGTATAAATAAATATATATCCTTCAGGATATGAATCTGGAAGCGGATCGAGTGTATCGCAATATGTTGAGTTACATACACAAACCATACGATCTTGATCAAAATATTTCGGCTCACATGTTCGACGTTGTTCTAAAGCCAAGCACAGGCAATTCATCGTAAGCAATGTTATATAACAGTATGTAATATTGCCTTACTCACAGTCTACTTCTTAATTTCAAGACCTTTCAATATGATGCGCATGAAAAAGTATTTCCCCGGAATGTTGAAAATTGTCAAAAAATTTGGGTTTCTAGTCTATGAATCTTTTATTGCAAATATTCCAAAATGTTAATTTTCACACGGTTGAACACCTGCAGCGTGTCCCGACGTTGCTGACGTCACCAATGAAGGGAGTTTCAGTGATTATTGGCTTTGTTTTCCCGACAACCACGTACATTAGGTGCTCAGATGATTTAGTTTCCCTCTTTGATTAATTGTAGAACAAGCCGGTAGGCGCCCAGGATCTCCGCTCAGTCGTTATTCCCGAACGTTTCGCAAGACAAGCCGAGACGCTTGATCGTTTTCACCACAGCTCCTAACAAACCGACGCCTCTAGTCGTACCTTTAATAGGGACAATGGCTGCGAGCTTTTCGGTAACTTCAAATCATCATTAACTCCCCGAAAGAAGATCGCCAACTGAGCAGCAAACTTGATGTCAGTGCTTCCGTCAAGCGCTTTTTCAGTTTTTGCAATTAAAGTTTCCGCCATAGAGTTCCCAAGCTCTTCAACACGACGTTATTTTTTATTAAATTCTGAAAAATACAGCGCGGGCCACTCGAAATGCCTCTGTGTACCACATATGACCCGCGGGCCACGGGTTGGACGACCCTGGCGTAAGTGATAAACTGTAGCTCAAATTAATATAATGTTCACTAAGGCTTGCCCAGTTTGTGGAGTATCGGAACGAAAGACTATTCGTTTGAAAGAGTATTTTTCTCTGCGGAAGGTAGTGTTCTTGGAATTTTAATTTTCGGCTTGGTTGACGAGAAAACAGCGATAAATTGTAGAAAAAAATTGAATTTCATAACGACCGTCGCGTTTTTTCATTGTTGCCATAGAAACGAAACTTCAATCCGGACTTTCTATAAAACGCACATTACTAGGCTGACAGCATAGCCCATGTGTGAAATTTCATCTAGATCGGTCCAGCCGTTAAGACGATAGGGCTTGGACACACAGACACATAGACAGACAGCCAGAACGACCGATAATTAGGGTCTCCTATTGCGGAGATCCAATATATATGCTTCCGACAAAACGAATGATATGACTTGTCATTTATAGCCTACGTGACTTTTCCCACCGAAATATGTACCGAACATTATTTCACAAATAATCAAAAAAATTACCATACAAAATAACATACGTGGAATAGATGAAGGCATCAACAATACAAGCAGCAACGAAACAACTCCTGCAATCACAATGCTGCTCAATATTAAGCTATATCCCACGACTGACTTCATTCTTCGCATCTATTATCGTTGACCTCCACACTAAAATATCGTCTTCCTATCACGTACTCATCATGTTTTAATTTTTATCGCTATGTGTAATGGAACATTACGGATAAGTTGCATAATTTCTGTCAATTATTAACCGAAATTATCCACTAAATAGGTTTGATTTATTTCATCATGGTTGATAATAGACTAAATGAGGATAATTGACTGACACTGTTCATAGAATGATGATATATATACTTCCGCCTTAACGGATCATGGAAGCCCAACATAAGGTTTACGAATAAGAATGCACTCCCCGAGTCTCCGTACATACATTTTCAACGGTTCTAAAATAGACATTTTATGTACCTTTCGCTTCAGTGTCTAATACAACTTCTCAAGTTTTCTAGTTGACTGATTCTTTTATTGGATATCAGAAATCCAGATATCAAATATCCAGAAATCATTAAGACTAGTTGTAATGCTGCACTGGAAACTTTTAACAACAAAAATATAAAAAAATTGGATGCTGTATTTACTTATAATTTATTACCATTTATATACATTTGTAAATATGTATAATCGGAAAAAAGTTTCTGCGGTAATTTACAACAACATTTGTTGATTTCCAAGATTACAGTGAAATGAAGTTGAGACGTCCGGAACAGCGTAGTCTTCGATCCCCGACTAGTGTGTTGTTGTTGACATTTACATCAATTATTACTTACAAATGAATTATCTGGTGGAGCGACTTCATATTTATTTAGCCCAAACTTTAATACTTCTGACTTGCATAGCAGCGTTCTCACCATTGTCAACGTCTGGCTGCCATGATGGATACCTATAGTAAAAGAAAAACAAATTTAATAGGGGCCATACATTTTGATTTAACTTTAATAGACAAATTAATTTTTTTTTAGTTTTTACTAAACATCAAGCTTTTGACAATTACTAAACTTATATATATACTCGTCACGATCACGATGAGCCAAAGATATTGGAATTCTCGATATTCACTATACGGGAAACCAGAAAAATATTGTGCATTTGAGAACTAAAGATAAATTCCGAAAAATTTCTTTTTTATCTCAATTGTCTCTGACTTTTTCGATGACATTCGCGTAGAGGAATTGGTCCCGCGAACTATCGCTGTTTCATATCTAATTAACTTAATTCTTCCTAACTTTTCTACATCTCTGTTTTTTTTTATTAATTAATAACTAACAACTGAATACTCCCATGCTTCATTGTTTCCGGGCAAGAAAATCCCATTCATTGAGGCTCTTCAACATTTTGGTATTATTACGAATGACTAAATTACTCACCATTCGTCTTTTTTCAACCAAAAATCTTTCATTGCCGTTGGTGAATCATTTTTCCATGGCTTTTCGCGAGGTGCATTTATCCAAGAATCTGGGAAAAATCCATTGGTGCCGCCGACAGCCACATTTATGAGAATATAGAACTAGAAATAATTGTTGAAAATAATGAATAAACCATAATTAAACAATCTAAACAAACGAGCAATAACTGAATGTTTTATTATCATGTTAAATTACTTCCAAAACTTACTTCTTGATCAAATGGTGTCATTTTGTTGTTAGAATTCGCCCATGGATTATCGATACCCGGTGCTTCTTTTTCAAATTCACCATAATCGAAAAATCCTCCAGGTCCCGGATCAACTCTTCGCAGCAATTTACCATCCACAAACAAATCTATATATTCTGCTGTCCAATCAACAACCCATGTGTGAAAGGCCGATGCGTACGTTCCCGAAGCCGGATGACTGTGCCAGATATATATTATTGTAGTATATAAATGAAATGGAATTAATGATTTAGCTCATATTTTCTCTATATTTTTTTAATTTTGCTCGTCTTTACATAACGTTAAGAAAACTTGGAATAAAATATTACGAAGATGAGAAGATTCAATTAAACTCTGTAAGCTCTTTGATGTATAATTTAGGTGCAAATTTATAACGCAACCAGATTCGAATTTCAAACATTAATTAAATTATTGGACGCCATTGAGTCATAGTACGAAAAGAAGAAAAAAGCTAATGTGGAATGCTTTAACTGTGTGTCTATAGATTAGGATTTCGTCTAATAAAGAACGATAAATCGAAAATTTATTCTAAGTGATTCAAGAGTCTTGCTGCACGCTAACAAAATATATTTCTGTAACGTTTCGTTTAGAAAGATGAGTAGTTAGTCCCACAGAAACCGAATCATTATCGAAAATTTATATTCCTGCTTATCACAGACCTTTCGATTGTTGTCTTTGGATATCCGTTCAGTGGAAAGTAAGGTCCCCAATGTAGAGTCATACCCATATTGTCACGACCTTTAGAAACGCCTTCAGCATCTGTGAGATTTATATTTCCTAAAAAACAAAGAATGATGACAAAATTAGAATCATTAGTGTAACATAAGTGTGAAATGAACCCCCGTTATGTACCTTATGATAGGTATCTTTCATTCGGATTATCATGTGAAGTGTATTTCCAAGTAAGAGAAAATGCAACCCCTTTTGGAATGACTAAATATTAACGAACAATAATATCAAAATAGTGAGATGGCAGTCGAATAAATTGAAAAAAGTATTCGGGATTATGACGTAAAAGCTTGGACCAACTCACCTCTTGATTCTATAATGTCTATCTCTCCAGATGCTGGCCATCCTCCGTACCTATTGTCTCTGTTGAAGAAAATTCAAATTTGACATCAGGTCGTTCCAAAGCAACAGGCCTCATTTTTAATTTGGGTTAACTCGTTATAGGGTTTATTAAAATTACATAATGATATTGTGTGTTACTTTACTATACTTCTAATTAGGAAACCCTAGAATGTTTTTCAATTATGGTCCGTAATTTATGCACCGATATAGAGGGTATTTGTTTTTATGTATTTATAACCCTCTTGTATTTATTTATTTAGACTTAGATTAGAGTGAATATAGATAAAACATTTCAACGTTGAACCGCATGCTTGTTGACTTTTGGCAATGAAAATGAGAGTGGTTAGGTAATTGCATTATTCATACAAGGATGAACTTTATGAACAACTGAAATAATTTGTGGGACTCAGCCAATAACTACGCGAATATATAGGGCCAACGTCAATTGGAAAATTTCATTTCAAATTGAGGTGTGAATTTTTATTTTCTACTTATCATGCCAGTAGTCCTCAGAAATTGAGGATACAATTATTTATTCATAGTATAACCTCCATATTTTCCATCGAGACTGTGAAGTGGGGAAAACAAATTACTACAGCACCAAATCCTGAGCCATTACTGCTCCAGCTCCAAATCCAAAGTTGATGCACTTTTGACAAATTCAAGATTTCTAATATCTGCCAGTGTGACGTTGATACTTGGGTCATATTTTAAAACCCATCTCAGTCTCGCATTGAGCGTCCACAGGCATACGTCTCAAGCATGCTCATATGACCATCGATTATGTAATTGTTGTCGAAGTAGATATAAAGACTTTCAAAAAGTTCAAAGTTCAAACACGAGCACTCTCCTCAAGTGTTAAAATAACATAAATGTTTTAAATTCTCACCTGGGTAACATCCATATCGCAGGCCACAACCAGTCCCCACTAGGCATCTTAGCCACAACTTCAATTCGTCCGTATTGGATCGCAAATGAATTCACAGAACGTATTCTGAATATGAAATGTCTATTACGCTACTGAATATATAAGATTCGTGCGATTGCAGTGAAGTAAAGTGACATTTTGAGTAAACAAATGCACATATCAATCGCGCCCATACATGAGAACAAATGAATTTGACTAATTTAACACGCTATTATTCCGTGTCAATACTCCCGCATATTATTAGCGCTTTAATGCATGGCGGGTCAAATTCAAAACATCTCTTTTGGGTCACGTGTTGTTTTTTATATTGGTCCACTTGGTTATGCTATTGAGTAACGTAGATTCTTCGCATCTGGAGCGCATTCTCTCTATTGTGCAATAAACGGAGGAGATAATAGGAGATATATAATTCGTAATAGTGGGGGTATTAGCAATGAAGAGGCCTAACTTAGCAGTTTTTAACTATTTCTTCAGCATTTCGAAATATTTAGGTGGTAATAATGCGTGTGACAAATTTGGCACATCATGCATTTAGGGGAATAAAATTTTGAGTGCTCAGGCTGTGTTTTCTTGATTCACTGGCGTGAAGGTTTTTCATATGTTCAGTAATTGAGTATTTTTAGTTCGGAATACCAATTATATAAGTATGTATTTAGATATTAGTATTTAATTACTCGGTTATTCTAAAATTCAGCCATCAAAAAAATCTGGGTTGTGTCTTGTAGCCATTGACAATTAGTTTCGGAATTCATATAAGTAAAATTTTTAAACCCCATTTCACTTCTAAGCCAGTAGACTAGTTGCTAAATTGTCACCTGCGAGGTTAAACCTAGGTTTAGTAGTTGCTTGTTGTTAGTTTTTTAATATTATCAAGCCATTTTGGTTATGACAGGATAGTTTGAACGCAAAGTAAAATGTACTTAAATACTGAAATAACTGCATAGGCGTGAAGAAACACTGTTTTTAGATTTGGATCTCGGTATCTATTAATTATTGTCAATTCATGGCTTCTTTTCAATAGGGTACACTCTTGTAATCCGCTTCCAATAAAAAATTTCCGCAATGAAATCTCTACATGTCAGTACATGGTGCTAAGTTAGGACTTTGCCGTGGTCGACCAAGTATTGATAGTGATCTCCCATCAACACCAAAAAAAGCTGCAAGTAGTATTCTTCCACCAATGGATGCTAGTATCGATGAAGAAGGGCGGGCATTGGTGATAGAATCCGTTGCGGAAAGAGGGGATGTCCGATGAAATGCAAAATGTGCTGTATATCTTTGCCTGAGACAATCTCAAAACTGTTTTGGGGGAATTTCATCGATAGCATTCACTTGAATAAATTCTTTTTAATTTCTAATATATATTCAAATTGTTCTGATTTGCTAATTTTAGATTATTTTCGATCAACATATTGCTGAAAATATAATTTCAATCAATTTGAATCTGATTTGGACATCTCAGGCTAGACAAAATATACAAAAGTGGTTACTAAAAGTCATAATTTTTTATTTTCATACTTTATACTCGTTTTGCCTGTAATTGCTTCCTAAAAAAAGCTATAGTGACGTTCTTCCGTGAATGCATGGAGGGTCAAATATGGCACATGCGAAATTTATCCCACCCCATGGGGTAGATAGCGAACAAAAAACGAGGTTGCTTTAGTGAATTTCACACCCCATGCTATCACTAGTAATCATCAAAATACGTGACATCAGAGGGTTAGACGTCGTCGCGGATCATGTATCGTCCAATCAGAATTTGAAAAATGTATTCTATATTTTACCTGGCAGATTGTACAGGGTTGATGTAGTTATTTGGAGTTCCGGTACGTTGACAACCCCAAAATGCATTTCCAGTGCAGAAATCGGCAGGACTTCCTCCCCATAGATCAAGAACGCCAGACGACAAAAACGATTCTCCGTAGTGATCTGCGGTCAGTGTCTAAACATTTTTGTTTGTTTTGAAGTTTGCAATAGTGTCTACGATCTGTCTATATCTATAGAACCTAAATCTACAGAGAATCGAAAATATATCAAAAAATGAGTGGAATAAATTTGTAAAAACAATAGTATAGTGAATATTAGAACAATGTTAGAATTGAAAAATATTTAAAACTTCAAAGTAAATAAAAAATAAAGAGCAGTCTTATAAATGGAATACTTTTGCCTTAAATTACTATGACAATGGATGTTCAGTTCGATTTATACATTTGTTTTCTACGTTACGAATGAATTACAGCGAACCGTTATGAAATCTACTCAAAATACGACAAGTATGGTCGTTGTTTGAAAATTTTACCGGTTTGATGAAGAGCGTGTTGTCACGGACGTAACTGTTTGTCCTATTGTTGGTGTAATATTGAAATTCCCAGTTTCCTCCTCCAGACATTGTGATTTCGTGTTGCCATCTTTGCAAGTCGAATGTATCAAAGTTTTCTTCAAATACGAGACCATTGCATGGCGATACCTTCATGTCACACGTCGCGTCGCAAGGATAAGCAGAGCATGACGGAGGAGCCGCAACTAAAATGAAGTCAGTTTATAGCTAAGTAGAACAATTGGAGGTACAGTATGACAAAAAAAAATCGCACGTTACTTTTCGTGGAATTATCGTTCGGAGGTATCTTCTTATTAACCAACCAACCAATTAATTCAATTATGTAACCAAATCTCAAAAATATAAATGTATTCGACATTTCGAATACCACGCCGGTAAGGGCTTGCATATTACTACATTTAAAAGCGAGCGCTAGCACTCACGACACATCAAATGTTTACATTATAATAAAAATACAAATAACATACGTGTATCCGATTCAGGCACCAGCACGACGATGATGGTTATTAAAATCGCTGTGAGTAGAATAGCACATATTGTCAGACTGTAGACAACGCTGGACTGCATTATTCAAGGTTGGGATAGCTTAGCAACTAAAACTGTGTATTCGTCAAACGCCAGGTGCGAAATGTGCATTTTGAGCTGCCTCGTGCCCTTTAAATTCTATCAAAATCAGATGACGTTAAAGTTAATCATTGAACAACCATAAAATTTCATTCTTGCCTGTCATGGTGCAGTCGGAAGCTGTTATCTCTCTTTCTCTCTTCATCTATCGGTATCGAGAGCCAAAACACTTAAAGCATAAGTTCATTCAGAGTTTATTGCACAATTTTGATTTGCACAGGGAGCTTTGACGTCACCATCCCGTTACATGGCAACAATATGGGTCTTTAGGGGGTAATTAAGTATAAGACAACATTTGCACATACCCAACGCCTCCTTCGATAAATATCAAATATATCTTCATCTGATATGCTGTCAATTACATCATGATATTCGATCGCATTGTCCTTTTGTTTTAGCAATTGAAAATGAAAAAGTCATTTTTTTGCAAAACAACTGGTTTTTGAATAAAGCCGGGTTCGGGAAATAGTGGACTATTTCAATTACAAAATCATACTAAATTTATTACGTCACTTTCCCACCTATAAAATATAAAAATGCTAGCGTTATCGAGCAGTCATGACCAAAGTGGCTGTTATAGTTACTTTGGTCATGACTAAGCAGAATCTAAAGCAAACAAATGTACCTTCTTTTAACACTGGAATATTTATATTTGAATTGACCTGTCAAACTTGTTCGGTAAATAGTATATGTGCATTCTGAAAATTAATGGAAAGTTACCAGATTTATATGCTGTTGCATTAATGTGCTGTCAATTATTTATATGTTCAATAGATTCACGCGATGTCGTGGTAGGTTCACGTACATTTAAACCCACGTACATTTGAACCCTCGACAAATACACATGCATACTATTGAACCCGCGGATATACAAATGGGTTCAAATGTGCGGTCACAGTCGTGGTTTGTTGTTGATAATATCAGCTGCAAACCGTCATAATGAGACCCTTGATTTTACTATACCATTATTGCATACTTCATTTATGCTCTGTCTGTAAAGCATGACGAATTTAATTAAAATAAAAAGTTGTTCAACCGTAACACTAAGAATAATTTCCATGGGATTTCTTTTTAGTCGAGAATAGTGTTGTGAATTGTGGAAATATTTTAGTATGTTTTAAATGCTTTAAATAAGTAACCGAAGCAGTGATTTCTCTATACTCTGAACACTCTCACTGAAAATCCAACTCCACCCTCTTATTTTGGAATGTAACACCACACTTTAATTCCTAGCTTAAATATATTTGTGTCTGAAAATCCATAAAGTGGTTTATATACCAGTGCAGATGGTCAGTCAAATACATAATTATTTTTATAAGTCAAGTTACAAATAGTTTTATCGATAATAGGAAAATATTTACTAGCCTCCGAATTTCACCCTCTCCTAATTTGAAAAGCTCGGGAGCTTTCTGAACGGGGCAATATGCAAAAATGCTACAATACATTGTACAGATAGGTGGTTTACCAAATGGTAATTGATAACATTTATTTCTAACTTTCCTCGGCTCATCTCGGAATTCATAATATCCTACATATGGAATGTCGACTCCAACGACTTCGATCGCTACATCACGTGACGCGTTGAAATGGCGGGATAGTTTTCGGATGTTTTCCCAGCGATTCCTGCTGGTTGTTATATTGTAAAGTTAGCGTTAGGCAGTTAGGTGTCTGTATTTTGTTTTAATGCTTACGAATCGTATAAATATCACGAAAATATATTTCAAGTATGTTTTACACTCACGATCTTCTCGTTGGGCCAAGTGGAAGGTTTTCACTGATATGGAGGGCAGCCATGAAAAAGGAGAAAATCAAGAAAAAAAAAGCTGGATGCTCTTGACGTTTATGAAACATGGTTGGTTTTCAAAGCAATTTCTGTGGTGTCTAGGGATCAATGATATCAGTTTATTTTATTTCTTGGACGATAGCTATTTTAGTATTTACCTAGTAGCCCAGTTTCATTTAGTCAGCTAGACTACCGGTAATAATGTGGGTCCTACCAGGTAGGCCTACCGGTACTGACTGCGTGCTAGACTACTGGTACATCGGTAGGATAGGATAGGATTTACATATTCATCCCGGGGGAGAGGAAAGCCGATAAGACGGCTTATCCATATGGCGAACCACGGCCTCTCGTCCGGTTACCATTCCAAGTAGGGTATGGGATTAGTTTTACTGTATTGTTTGTTTTCGGAAGCATGGACTTGGTGGTGGAGGAAGCCGTAACCGACCAGCGGGTTACGTGAACCACCCAACGACGGCGAGGAGTCCAGCAATCCTCCCGCACATAACCATCCCTGCATGGGATTCGAACTCGCGAACCCACGCAGAGTAATTAGAGGTGCGGTGGCGAGCGTATTCCTAACGCTTAGCCCGTTGAGCCACACCGCCGCGCCGTACAGTAACTTTACCGCACATCGCCAGAATATTAGTATAAAGATACCGTAATGCTGTACAGGCAGTCAATGGTCTGGTCAACTGTGTTACATTTTCAACACCACTAAACCATACTTTGTACTGCTTTATTGTGGTAGACAAGTCTATACCATAAGGTACGGTAACAAACCGGTAGTCTACCATAACACATCAGTCAGTCAGTACTGGGAAGCTGGATTAAAACTAAAAAACTGAAATGACATATCTGCACTTTTTCGTTACAATACAATTATTCTGACCAGCCATGCCTCAATTATTTCCTATTGTGAGCAACACAAATTGCGTCATATAGCCTTAAATCACAACATACAAAATTTCTGGAAATGTCCCATAGAGTTGCTTGGAATATCCCATTATGAGTTTTGTATCCTGGCAATATTACTATCAACCAACTCACTATCAGTGTCAATCTTTCTAGTTGCTTGTTCTATTCTTTTAGTGTTTCTGTCGTTTATTTTCAAAACCTATCTCTTATTTTAGCAAAGATCTAATAAAGTACATCAGACCTTCTGCTGATCCTAGAATGGGACATATCAAGGGATTCTCACTCCGATTATCTGCTCAACTTGTGCATGGTGTCATTGTGTGCTTCAATTTGAAAGTTGCTTACTTTTTGAGTAAGTTTAGGTGGTACTTTTGGGAGGTTTTTATTTGAATGACTCACAACCATCATTAGTCCAGCTTGTATTCAACCTAGGAGGGAAAATTTATATTTACTTTTTTTATTATGACGAAGGGTGTAGCCAGAAATTTCCAAAGGGGTCCTTCCTCTTGCCAAGATTGGCCGAACCAAAAAAGCGGGTTTTCAAAAGTCTCAAGAGAAATTGCTGTGTATAATATTTTTTCACACTTTGAATCGGGATGGGGGTTGAACGAGCATGATATATAAGTATGACAAGTATATTAATAATAGGTTCATAATATTATTGGACGGACATAATATTATTCATCATAATATTAGTCATATTGAATTTTCATGTATTATATTGTTCAGATGAGGTCAGATCATCATGGAAATCTGCAGCCACAAAAAGATATCTTATGCATGAACTTTGTACGGAACTTGCTGAATCCAAGAGAGGTCAGATATCTAAGCAAAAGGAACAGGTGATTTATTTTAAAACGAGAAAAAAATAAAATCAGATTAGAGATTAAAGCTACAATAACCAAACCCTAAATGCAAATTTCCTAACGCCTATACGACACTTTTTGTCGAATTAGCAAGGCTGGTAGATATTGGCTAGTAGCCCGTCGGTAGATTTGATGTGACCCAGCATAGAGTTTTGTTAAAAGTACACAATACATCATCAGAGATGAAAATTCAGTTGTTTATTATACTTTTTAAAATCGTCCATGGTTCTTATATTTCTAACATTTTATAGGATTGTTGGCAGATACATTAAACGATCATTTGCCATACTGTGGATGAGGTACTACTGGCTGTCAATCCACTAGTCTACTATACTAATTTTATTCTGATTTTGAGCATTCAATCAGTAGGAGTACAAATGATGTTTGGATCCAGTATTGAGTTTGGTGCATCTTTCCTCTAGTGATATGCTCATCATGTGGCCCATATGTACACTGTTATATGAATAAACCTGTCTATACTCTTAGACTTAAAGCATCTGCCTGAGTGCATCTGATGAGTGTTTTATCCATACCCAACACACAATTGTCGAGTTGAGTGCTGGGGACTTCTGTTTGAACAATGAAATAAGTTCTCTGTTCGTTCCACCTTTTTGAAAGATATGTATCGTTATATTTCCAGAATTTCCAACTTGACATAAACTTTGATGAAGATCCGATGTTTGGGAAGATATTTTCTGATAACTTTGAAGATTTTCCGGCGATCAAACCTCCTCATACAACCACTGAGGAATCTACATCATCATCTTCATCTGAGGTTCTCAATTTTCTAATTGAAAATAACTTTTGAGCGGCGTAATTACTCGACATTTGAAGCGTTAGACTCGACTGTATTGGCATCGCAGATTTCACATCTCTGATTCAAATTTCATAATCATTACCCCACCTCACCCAGGGCGTAATAAATTGAGTCGGGGCAGTGCTGAAGCGGGAAAGATATGATCCTTTCTTCCAAATATATAGTAGCACCTTTTATATCATTAATACTGTATAATGGCCTGTTCAGACCGGTTGTTAAGGCCGGTTGTAGATGCCATATAAAAAAATTTAAATTTCAAATTGGCATTCTTATACCAGTCAAGTCAAGTTTATTTTTTCCAACCAGTAAAATCAACAACAATCGAACACAAATTACGAGGTAATGATAAATACACAGTTTTACTGTGGAAGGGAGGTCACGCGGAACCGAAGCTGGTTATTGAGCAGCGACACCCGAGGTTCAAATATCTAATTTGAGAAAAGTTGAAATTTCAGAGTTCGGAATCTACTGTCTTTTACACTGGCTTTACCCTCACTCCCTACTTCACTTCTTTTTAACACCATTTAAACGCCGTGAGAGCACTGGCAAGCAATGAAGTTACAGTTTTTGTTTCTTTCGTTTTTTTCTGACATATTTCTATTCCGAGCAAATTGTATCTATACCATTGTAAAATTTCTGTATGTGTAGGGTGGCAAAAAACGTCGCAAGATTGATAGACATGTTGTTGCTGATATCAGTCAAATAACTCTACCAGAAGGAGTATCTACAACCATGGAAACCGTAAGTGGTGTTATGGATTGCATTTGGATAATACATCTACCTGTGGATATTTCAGACTAACTTGAGTTGGATGTATTCAAGAACCCATTGTAAAATAATTTTCTCTGTAACATGTATTGGTATCTGTGTTGAGTTTTGAGACTGAAAACCGCTTCGGTCAACTGTTCATGGTGTATTCTTCGTACCATGGTGTTATTTAATTTTTGACTGTTTCTTTACATTAATTGCAATTGTTTGAAATTCTGTCTTATACATTTTAATTTGGATGAATCTTTTTTGTAAAAAAATCAGCATATAAAAACAGTAAGTATAAAAATTATAGTTTTTCACTACAAAGTCTAATCTACTGTCAAAGCAGTTATCGTGTTTATTCGATTTATTACTTTTAACACTTTTTACTTGGCATTGATTATGGAGTTGAATATTTAAACTAAATATTTTTGCTTAGTCATAAACGTGGTTATGTGGGCCCTATTAAATCATGTTTTACAAAATTCAGAAGTGTGTGTTTGATTTAAATTATTCCTGTCCTTTTTTAATATTTATTTGTATATTCTTCTGCCCTTTGAATTTAATATATGCTATGGAAATTAAACAGCAGGTATTCAGGCTGGAATTCTTCATTGCTAATTGGTCGAAAGTAAACGGCATATAAAGAATAAATGTTGTTGTCATGAGATAATTAAATACTACAGCGCATGATATTTAATTCCTAATTTTGCTTTCCGAATATAATTCACAGACAGACCTTCATATGGTATTCAGTATAATTCTTTTAAAATTTAGCTGGAACCGCATTGGCCGTATTGGTCATTCAACCTTCAAATATTTAAGCGTCGCTCTCTTGTTTACAGCAGCGAGGTGATGATCTCCTGATTCAGGGAGAAGTAGGACAGTTTCATGTTGATGATTTGCATGAATTCGCAAACATTCCATCCATGTTTGATGGTCCATCCATTTCTAAAGAACCAAGTTGGACTGTACAACAAAATGTCACAACACCATCTGGTGCTATGTTACCTGGAACACCGTGAGTATAAGACTGTGGCATATAGTTTTGATACGAGGTGGACATTATGGATCCTTACTAAATTGTTGTTAGTAAAATACAGTGTTTCTTCCCAACTAAATAGAACAGCAGGTTTCAAAGTTCATGTACTTAAGTTGCTAAAAGGCTGTTAACTTGCACCCAATACCCAAGTTTTGCCCCTATACCCATATACTATTGTTACTTATCGATCTTAAGATCGGTAAGTATGTTGATAGGTATTTGTCTGTCTGTCTGTTAGATGCACGCGATATCTCATGAAAGCGAGATTTGAATCTGCTCCAAATTTCGCATGTGCATTCATCATAGCTCAGACCAGAAGCCTATCGATTTTGGATGAATTATGTCGTATAATTAGCGAGTTATCAATTAATTAGTGATGGGACACGCGGTGTCACTATAGAATCAGAATGAATGAATGGGGGATCCCCTAACTTTCGGTCGATAAGTCTTTGGTCTCCGACCGATATTCTTGTTTATGACCTTTATTGTTTCATTTCTAGTACGAATTTCAGAGAGATTTAGTATGAATGAAATTTTCAAATTATTGATTTTGAAAACATGGTATTAAATTAAAAAATTTCCATGGAGCATTTTCGCCGATTCCTTCAAGGAGCCACTTACTCCAATACCGACTTTTCTTTGTTATTTAAATGTACTGATTAATGAGCGATCTCACTGGTATCGATTGGTTTTCTGTTCTCTATGTTTTTAATAATCAATGTAGAAATATTTAAATTTTGTAAAGCATACTAGAACACCTTTCTTCAAGCTTTTTTCATCACAAACCACTTGACCACAGCCAGGAACCCTCAGGAACTGAAATGAAAATAAAGTAAAAAAAATGAAAAATAATAAAATTGACAATACCTTTAATGAGACCGAGGTGCTTGCATATTCTCACACAAGAGATAGAATTTTGACTCTATTTCGGTGATGGTGATTCACAGTACTGGTTTCTAATTCGATCAATATTTTATTTCAACATGAGTAAGTGTCAGGAAAGATACTTTATTAATAATTTTCATGAAACATACCGCATCCTCATTGTGCCATTTAGTGCCCCATTTGGGGTGTCGGGATCCAAAATTTGAAGGTCCCTCTATTTGCAACAGTCTGGATGCTCATCTCCAACTGTAGCAATAGCCGCATCAGAAATGGTGCACGAATACTAGATGTGCAGTGGGAGTATACAACACAGGAAGTACACAGTAACATGTAAATGCGCTAGCTAATTTCTAAAATCTCCATGTCTCATCAGTATAATGCCACCACAAATAAGAAGAAGCAGCAGAAGGCAAACCGATGTTGATGAATCCATACTGGCTGTTCCAATACAAGATATCACAGTTGTTGGACAAGAACAAGAAGGTAGGTGGACTGGGGAATTATGCTTCATTTGGGGGAAGGGGAATTCAAATTAGGCAATTGTTTGACTCGCATCCTGTGTTTATATATTAACCTGTAAGTTCATTTTCATGGCAAAATGTTTATTTGTTCAGTTTAGTCACTTTCTAAATTTTACTATGTTGATTGATCTGTTCCTTTCCTTCTTATATCTTTACTCAATTTTTTGATTATTTAATGGTTTATTTTTTTGCTTTCTAATTTACAGGTATTATTTTTATCAACATGACATATCAAAAGTTTTTGTAATTTGATGATTTATATTTTGGGATCGTGCATTTGTTCTGTAAAATCATCATTTTTTATTTGCACTAATTTCAACAATTTGATTTCTTTTTCTAGAATTCCAGCTTCCTCAACCAGAAGCAGGTGCATCAGCGCAAAATTTATCGGTATAATTCTCTTTCTTTTTATCAACATCTATTAAACTTTTTTTATATTTATCATGATAATTGCGTACCAATTTTAATGTGGTGCTCACTAAGTTTTTCTCATCTACACTCTTCTGTAGTCTAATTAGAGTAGAAGTTAAGCTCTGGACCTGACTTAATTAATCTTCTTCCTCCATGTCAACATAGGATCAATATTAATCTTTTTGATATTAAGGAAGTTCAACCGCCATCTCTTGTTCTGGACCCTATTGATGAAGGTTTTCTTCTGTCCAAGAAACGTAAAAAAAGAAAATTAATCATAGACAAGAGGATTGGACTGACTGGAGCCGAAATCAGGCAACAATTCAGAACAAAATCGAACACGATTGAAGATGATTATGTGAGGGTAGGGTTTGCATATAACTATTCTAATATCGGTATTGAAAAGTGTTGTCAATCAATTAAATACTGATCCGGCCTAAAAGACTAGATAGCTTCTTGAAAGAGCTCACAATTGCAAATGAGCAAGTAGAAAATAGTACCCAAAGTCAATACTAAAAACAGCTACGGTATTTCATAAGCAAAATAGTTTTTTTGATTGGATATGATTTTATATATATTTATTCCCTGAAAGCTGATAAAAATACGTAATTATATATTAAAACACAGTCTGCTGTTGCATATGGGTGTATAAAAAGTTTAGGCTCATTATTACTTTCACCTATTATTACTTTGACATAATGAGTGTATTGTGGTTTGACTCACAGAAAGTAAATGTATGATAAATTATTACTTTAAATTATTGTTCGGCCATATTTTTATGTTACTTTAATCATATAGGAACAACTGGCAGAGCCGCTGTACATAGTACCTGCAAGCGTGTTGTTCTCTACACCAGTACTACAATGTAGTGGGATAGATCATCAAAGGGTATGTTTATGTTTTGGTTTTTATTCCCAAGCCTCGAGCCTTGTCTTGGGCACAGGACTATTGAATAGTAATGTGTGGTACAGTTAGACTACTTCATTCATCCTTACCACAATCACGGATATCATCTAAGGGCTCATCAGTACCGATGTGAATTGCTCCAGTGGTTGAACAGGAAATTGCTGATTTCAGGCGTCATGTTAGTCATTGCCTTAATTTGTGAAATGGCTAAAGCCTTGCACAGAATATGCAATTTTTGTTTTTACACATTAAAAGTGAAATTGTTCGAGGTCCAGAAAAATTTGTCCGTGGGCCGTATATGGCCCGCTGGCCGCAATTTGCCCACCACCGTTCTAGAATGATAATCTTCATGAAAAAGTTGCAAGATATGTGAGCACTCCTTTTTTTCATATTTTCCACATAAATTTTCAATTCTATTTGGAAAGCCTGGTATTTCTCATAATATCGATTACATTAATATAATTTTTGTTTTAATTTCATGCTTCATGTTTAGCCTGTACAAGAAAGGGATTCGACAACATCTATTGAACCTGACATTCAAGATTTATTCAATGAATCAATTCAAGCAATAAGAAGGGATATTCATTTGCCACAAGGTTCACTACATACATGTATTACATATGTTACATATACATATTTAATCAAAGTTGAAATCAAAAAAAATATTTTATGCACATTACACCTGTAGTCGTGATTGGTAAATAGGGCTTTGTACGAATCAATAAAACTCAAAATCAAAGCTTTATCGAACATAGTGCTCTACAAGAATTAAACATCATGGCTTCTGAATACTCATTTTTAGGACCGCAATGCAATCATGATAAATAACATGCATCCATTATGGTTTAGTTCTAGCAGAACAGGGGTGGACATATTACAGCCCGCTAGCCGGATCTGGCCCACTGAAGTGTTTCAGTCAGTTTCATTGTGTCTGCTGAAATTTCGTCTATTCTTTTCATGGATATAAGTTACGTTGAAAATAACGTCGTGATGACGCCATTTGTTACATTGTGCTTCTTATTATTATATTATATAAACGTTAGCCTATCTGTTGGACTATCTCTTGTAAATAAACTTTTTTTATTCATAGTTTTTCATATTGAGATTGAGTAAAGTCTATTATCTGTGACTGGCCAATTCAGAAAAGTAATTCCCCCCGCGAAGTACAAGATTGGAATTGTTATCAAAGTTTCCTTGATAACATATATGACACTGTGCTTTTATTATGAATATGAGAATTTAGAAATGTTTTTACTTCATTGATAAAAGTGGTATTTTCTGACTGAAAATTGTGCAGCAGTTGTAAAGTTGAACAGGTTATAATAACTTTTGAGTGTGATTATTTTAGCAAGACAATGGTTTAATAATGTAATGTTTGTTTTAAGATCCAGAGATTGAAGCAGATATTAGTGCAGCAAGATCAAAAGATTCGATGGTATATGAATGTGAAATTAATTTTTTACTGCTTATGTCAAATATACAATTTGCTATCTGTGTGGGGAAAAAACTTTTGAATTTTTGGATTCTAAATGAAGTAGTTTGCAACCCGAAAAGTGGAGTTATTCGCAACCCGTGAAGTTATTCGCTTGTGACATCATGAAGAAAAAATGAGTAGTGCAAGCTGTTTCATTTCCTTATTTTAAATTGAGAAGGAGAATCGAAAGGCATGTTTGGTTTTATCACACGACAAGTTAAATTCAAGTATTTTAGTGTAAGCCTGAGTATTATTTATTCACTTCATCATTTATCATTCAATATTGATGAATCGGCACTTCAGAAGCGTGTATACCAATATGGAGGTAACTAATTTTGTTCGCCTACTTTACATCAAATTTTACTTTCATCCAACCCTAACCTGGTACACACACTACAGGAGTATCGATGAATCTAATGCTAGTATACAATCTTATTCTATTGTTTCAGCTTGATGAATCATCCATGGCTCCTGTGAGAGATGCATCAAGGTTAAGTGAACTAGAACCAGTACCCGAACTTGATCCATCATTTGAAGGACCTGCTACAAGAAGAAGATCAACAAGAAATAAGAGCATGCTCGATATTCCCGAAGGTTGGAAAATAATATGCATTATCCATTATATTTATGTGCAGAAGAATTGCTGGACTTCTTGCGCCGCAGGGTGGTTTATGTGAATGCTGGTCAGTCACAGCTCCCTCCTCCGTCAAGTCCATGCATCCGAAAACAAAATAACTGGCTAAATAATCCCATACCCACATAAACTGGAAAACGAACTAGAGGCTGTGGTGCCATATGATTAAGACATCCTATCGACTTATCCTATCGAATTGTAAATCCGATTCTACCATAAATAGTGTTCTCTGTTGGATTTCATGCATATGATTAGAAGATGGTAAACATAGAAAAAAAATGAAGCATTGCGAAACACAGGAAAAATTGAAGCATATTCAGGACTAATTAGGTTGTTACATTAGTTAGTAGTAGTACATTGTCCACTAAAGCAGGCATTTTCAGTATGAGATTCAAAATTTATTGAAAAAGAAATCAGGTAATTAGAGACTTAATCACGTTTAAGAAAGTAATTTGAAAAGATTTAACCAAATTTATATTAATTTATGTGAAACTAAGTAAAGAGAAACATAAATGAAGGGGAATATTTTGTGAGCGAGTGAGACTCTATTTGAATGTCGTAACAAATATTAATATCAAATTATTTGTTATAGCTGGTACTAGCAAGGATCATTCTTCACTAGGAGAAGATATATTTGACATGTGAGTTGTTCTGAATATTTTTAGTTCAAAACTCAAGACATTGTAGAAAATTTAGCTCCCACGACCTTTCAATGTTTTATTTGTATAGGTTGATTAAATACATATGAGATTCTATGGAAATCGTTTTCTGTAGTTTAGTCTTTGTAATAGACCAATTACTGGTACTCGAACCTGGGCTGAAGAGCTGGTTAGAAACAAGAGCGTGATGCTTGAATATATGGACATGAAGTAGTACGGGCATGCATTTTGTCACAGTAGCTAAAAAGTTGATAGCATTTGTGATACATTCTGAGAGTAATGTTTAGTGTCTTGCTTCCTGTGTACAAGCAAATAATTGACAAAAAAAATATAATACATTTCAATGTTTTTATATGTTCACAACAATAGGGACTTGTTGCCACCAGTACCAGAGCAACCTAGTAGCATAGATATGCCAGATGTGGTTACAGAACCGTCTTTTCAAGAACCATTGCAACTGATTGACGATGATATGCAATTGGGGATGGATCAGTTTCAAGAGGCTTCTGTGCTTGAGTATGTTTTTCACCAGTTTTTACTAAGCTATAACCCTGGCTTGATTTAGAATAAATGAATATTTAGAATGTAAATGTGCATCTTTGAAATGTCTATTTGTATTTGGTATGGCCATGCATGTATAACACTCTTCTAGTCGTGACATGCTATGGCCCATAGAATTGACTGTGCTGTGATTCTCCCATTTTTATATTTTCCATTGGTGTAATTCTATATCGTTCAACCATCTTACTGGCAACTATCAGCACTGTCAAGTCAAAAAGTAGGAAGAACTCGCAGTTAATTAAACTATATTTCAATACCAATTATTTTTGCATGGGCATCTTAATACGCCTTGTGTAGGGTTTCAATATATGTCATAATACAAATAGAAAACAGCATAATAATCAGGTTTACAACTTACTTGTTAAATTGCTTCAGAAAAGTGAAAGCATTGTGGGAAGAATACGATCATGTTACATTCTCAATGCTTGCTCCAGAACGATCAACTTCGAGATCTGAAGCTGCTAGAAGGTTTTATGGACTACTCGGTAAGTGATTGTATTTAGTTTTAAAGTATGAACCAATGTTAACATATACCCTATTTCCTGGCGAATAAGTTTACCCGGTGACTAAGACGAGCCCCGCTTTTATGCCTGAAAAAATGGGTTTTTGCACATATAAGACGGGCAGTAAAATCACATCGAAATCTCAAATCAGGTGACTGTACGTACATTTGAACCCATGTGTATATCCGCGGTTTCAATCTATATCCAGGTGCTAAAACAAATGAGTTAGGGTTAGTATGGGTTCAAATATCCGTAAAACAAAAAAATTTCCATAGGTGAAATAGTATGCAGGTGCAATTGTCATGGGACACTCAAATTACTATGCAACGGCTTCTGATCATTCCCCACATTTGCACATTCGTTAAAATATCCCATAATGACGTTTTCTTGTAGCATAATATTCAGTTCATGACAGCTACGGGAATGCAAACTATTTTCATCTAATTGTGCCCAAGGTAAGGTATCGGTAATAGCCCGTTACTCGTGATGCACACACAAATGCGGTAACTTCAAATATGATAATCACAGCGTTGAAATTCCAGATTCACAGCGCGAGAACGTCGATTGATTCAAATAGACCTTGTCGGGAAGTTATGGGGATGCTATCGCCCTGGGTATTTTATGGTCCGAATTGAATAATACGCCGACCCGAAAAAATGAAAATTATCATACCCAATAAGACGGCACCTCCAAAATCAGGCCAATTTGGGTCTAGAAAAGCGACTTATTCGCCGGGAAATACGGTATATTATTTAGTTGTATTAAGTGCATAAAGAGAGGGTGTGTTATATAATGATAAGAGCACATATCCTGTGAAATAGTTTATTTTGCATCGTAAGTGACAGAATTAGTTTATTTTGCATCGTAAGTGACAGAATTAGAAACAGATCTAGTCAGCTAGAGGTATATACGTTAAACAGAGGTTTATTTTCAGCATGTGCAAAGGCTAGGTCCGTTGTAATAAAGCAGAAAGAAATTTATGGAGAAATTAAGATAGAGCAGCGGCCACTCGTGGTGTGAGATTGATGGAAGCATAGAAGTTTATAACGACAAAAATTTTGCTTAGTTCTTGTGCGTTTTTGAAAGAGTTTAATAATGTTCACTCCTTTTATTCAAAAGTTTTTATAAATTTCTGTTCATTGTTTTTAGAATATTTTTATCATTGCCATTTTAACATTTTTAAATAAACGAACGTCCTTGTTCGGCAGCACTGTTGTATGTTTTTGAGACATTTTCATCCTCGTGACTAATAAAATCCACAGAAAGCTACAACTTCAAACATGTCAGAAAACAGATTTTCAGCTTAATTATGTGAACTAGCGTCCGCCACTTTAATTAAAATGTTTCCTGAAAGCTTACAAACTCTTGTAGTCTGCCCCATGTATCTGCAATGCCACACATTTTCACAGCATTACACAAAATAGAATTCATTTGTACAAGTTTTATTTCGCATGAGAAATGGTTGCTGTAGACCAGTGGATTATTCATAAGAGCACTTTATATGATTTGTACAAGTAAGTGAGTAATCGCTTGCATACATCAAATTTTTTAACCCGAAGTTTAGACTTGATTGTAGATTTTCCCCAGAACTGATTCAGTCTGAATTTAGCTTGCAAGGAGGGTTCTTCATCACGACAAGCAGTAGCAAAAAAGAACTGATCATAGTTTGAAAGTTGATATTTTACAAATTTGTAGCGGGCTAATAAACCATTCACAGATGGCTTTAGTTTGTCCCATTCCAGTAAACTGCATATGCATGGGTCACCCACCCACTTATATAAACTATCAAAAAACGATATTGTTGTATAGTAACACACAATGAATATATGCAAATTACAGTGAAAGTGAGACAAAAGGGACATGAATGATAAACTCGTGGAAAACCGAGTGCACCATTACAAATGTTTATATCCAGCCAAGTCAATAATTACTAGGGTATTTAGTTGCAGATGAGCTAGAAAAGTTGGAAAAGCATATTGACAGCGCCATATATACATAATTTCAGTCATAAATCAAACACTTCTTATTAAAATAATGTCAACGGTATCTCCCTTTCTCAGTAAAGACAACTGATTACTTTTGGCTGGAAGCACAAGAATTGCACTGGCATCGTAAGCTTCTTGTTCACCCAAGTTGATCCCAATGTTTTCTACAAATGGAACAGTTTCTTGTGGTCGCCAGCTAACTTGACATTGCAAATATTCTGGATCTTGTTTGAGCGGTTGGTCATTTGACAACTGAATAAATGAAGGAAACATGATTACTTATAACCTGACTGAATTTATTAGCATGTGTCACAGAAAATGGATTTTTTTCTGTGTGTTGAAAAAATCAGAAGACTCAGATTCCGGAATTGTGGTTTATTATGAGGCAGCTTCACAGTTAAAACAGAGAACACAGGAAAATACAGTCGAGACCCAATCCAGTCGAGCGAAGAAGATCTAACGACTTGGTGGTCGGAGTCTCACAGTAACCAGACCCGGATGAAGTACCGTACATCCAAATTAAGGGTCCTTGGAAAGCATACAGGTTGAGGTAAATATAAAAAGACAAACTAAAACACATGTATGGTAAGAAGAATTGTATAATGACTTTCACACATCATGTAAATTCATTGGAATATAACAAATTTTTTCTATTTCAAAGCTGAAGGGGTGAAATTGGTTTATTTTTTGTCTGACAGTCAGATGTTGAATGCTTCAAAATGAAAATATTCCCAATACATAAAATTCATTTTGTACATCCCTGTATGTCGCTCGAGTCCCAGACCCATTGAGCATTAAGATATCAAGGTCACAAATTTAGGAACAAGACGATCCTTATAACCCTGGACCTAACTAACAACCAATTTACGCGAAACCATGAAATGTCCAGTCATACATAACTCTTTTAAAAAGTGTGAACGAACGACCTTGGGAAAATAAACCTCAACAGATTAGTTAGTGATATGCTATATTCTTGATTAATATCTAAATAAATTAAAGTTTTCTTAGGTCATTTTCTTCTCCATAATTTTTCCATACAGCGAGACATAAACAAAGATCAATACCTTAGCTTTGATTACAGTATTCTTTGTATTTTCAAGTCCTCCCAATTTTCTCAAAGCAGGAACAATATACAATGTGCACAAAATACTTGCCAAAGGACAATCTTAATAAACAAGATAATTATGATTAGTTCAATTCGTACAATAACGATTTTGCCTTGTAAATAGCATGCCGTTTAAGGTATAGTATACCACTGTACTTTTGCAAGATGCACCCCTTATACACAAGCTTTCATAATTGTATTCTAAAAAGCCTTGGAAAAACTTAACTCAAACAAATTTTTTGCGGCCCTCAGGAACTTTAATGAGACCGAGGTGCATATTGTCACACAAAAAATCGATCCTTGGCTTGATATCGGTTTGATCGATGTTTAAGTTAGTGTAGAAAACTATTTTTCACACAGATAATTGGTGGATAAAAAAAGAAGAGCGAGTATAGCTAGTTCTGACAATAATGGGTAACCAATGACCCCATTGAGCCTTTTTGAACCCCCAGTTTGAAGAGACCCGCTTGAGAAAATAATGGAAATATCATAATGGTCAATATGCTGGAAATATGAACACCACAAAGTTACAATTACTGCGATGTGCTCATACATCTTCCATTTTGCACAATCAACTAGGTAAGGATCTAATAAAGTTTGGATGAACCGTAATCTTTCCAGTTTGGCATTGCCTACTCAAATCTATCACACCCTGAGTGAGATGGTGGGCAAGCCAAGTCGACATGAGAAATTATTATGCATCACTCACCTGGTAGGACAAAGAATAATTTTCTGTCAGTTTCATATCTTGTTGTAGCATAATAGCTCGGTACCCTAGAAATTAACATATTCAAACTATTAGGAAAACCAAGAATTTGTGTACAGGATAAGAATTTAAAAAAGTGTTTCTCAACATTTTTCGTGGACCGGGAAATTTCGAAACTAATTTTACATACTGGTGATTGGTGAACCTTCAAAATCAACCCAAAATGTCAAAAAACGTAGTTGAACAAATGTAAATCACGACCACACGATTTCTCTGTTTGGATTTGATGATGTAACGATGGAAAGATTTTCTCACATATGTTGTACAGAAAAAAATCAACAGTAATTTAACAGTAAAATCAACAGGCTTTGTCACCAAGCTCAGGATATTCTTATTCAAGCGATATCCAAAACTGTGATAACGTCATCCAGCCAATCAAGGCTTGAAATGGGTGTGTAGGACTTCTAACCAAGTTTGGTTTACGCATCAATAGGAGTTAAAACTCACAAAATAAATGGGCAGGTGATCAATGCTTTGGATTTTGCAATCGAGATATAATATTAGAATATATTTGGCGGTCTGGCTGGAAGGTCCGCGGAGAGTACCACTGATTTAAAAACAGATTTCCTACTGAGAACTCTAGCAACAACTTTTGTACTTACCACGGAAGCATCGAAACAGTCCCGAAATGAACAATGGCTTCAAATTTATTCCTAATCAGTGATCTAATAACATCTCTGCTGGCCTCTGATTTGCTTCCAATAACAATAACATCAGCTGAATGTAAAAGGTTTTGTATCAAAATAACCAAAGAGCAGACAACTCGACCATTGCTCAGCTACGTCACACATGAAAATACATGTAATGCCTGATGTTTATAATGGTTTGTACGTTTTTCTATAAGCAAATTTTATCAAAGCATGCGGAAGCAACAGGTGGCCACCAAAGTGATAATACCTACTGAGACTTATAGTGTAGTATTGCGCATTAATAAGTACCGAATGTCGCTAGATTTGAAGCAGTTGTTTGTTAATACGATCAGGAAAACAGGTATGCGGTGATGAGTTACACATTCAACTGAGGTTCGTGGAATAAAAACTTTGGTAATAAATATTTTTTTGTCTGATAGTTATTCTGGAAGTGATTCACAGCCAAAGAGTTTAACAACTGAATTTTTTTAGATGAGTAAGTTCCGAAGAAGTCCATTATAATATCTGCAAAATAAATAAAGCGACGCAACATCATTTCTTCGGTGAGATAGAATTAGCATTTGCTATGAATGCTCTAGGAAATTTATCACAGGGGAGAGTAAAGCTAATAAAATATCAAATAGCCAAGCCATATGATGAAATACGCCTCTCGCCTTGTTACCAGCTCATGTCAGGTTTAGGAATGGTTAGTTAAATTGACACTGAATAAAATGAAACAAACAGAAAATATATTGCTAACTGACTTTGTAACAAAATTTTAAAATTGGACATTATGAACACCCTGTTTTTGAACACGTTTTTTGCAAACAACTGGTATAGAAACTTATCTGGTCATCTTACCTTTTGCTATAGCTTGGCTGATAGATGCAAATAAAATTTCTTTTTCTTCTGATATGATGCCAATGTCCAATGGAACAACCGAATGTTGACGAAGAGACGATTGTATTGTTATGTGATTTGTAGCTTCAATATCCTTTTACAAGAGTATTTAAAAAAGGAATGTGAAATTTGGAAAAAAATTAGACTAACTTTTCAAAAATAAAAATGTATTTGCTTGTCATTAAGAGTTGAGTTTTTTGTCTAAATTTAGAGCTTTTTGTTCAAGAAGCTTAGGAGTGTAAGGAAATATACTTCGGAAACCAAGTTGGAAATGTGTGTCCTCGTGCACTGTTTGAATATATGTACCATATATAATGGTACCAATGAGTGATTAATGTTCTGCACTGCAAATACACTTGATATTCCCAACTAAAGGGAGTTGTCAGACAACTATAAACAAAAAATATAGAAATGAGATTGGAGGTAGAATTACTATGGTACCTGTCTTCCAACTGATAGTACAGCAACCACAGGATTTTTATAAGTTCTGACGGAAGTTATGCCTTTTGTGGTGAGTTGTCCAATTTCCGTCGGTCCTAGTTTGGTTCCTTTCTTTACCAAAGGTCGAAGGCTGTTACTTAGCTGAGAATTCTGCACTCCTTGACCTGATCTCACATTTTGAATAACTTGAATCTTATTCTGCCAAAACGAGAAGATAAATGGAATATTGGCGCTTCTGCCATGTTTGATTTCGAATACTCGACTGTTGGTACATCGTGATTATACTGCCTTATTAACTTTCTGTCGCTTAATAATTCTTTCTTATTAATGTAAATATTGTAGCTGGTACTCCCGAAGTATGTGAATCAAGATGGCGGACACCGGAACGTAGTATGTGTACCAGGTTAGGGTTAGGCCATAATTTTATTCCAATTTTCCCTATTTTATTGCTTTTAATTTATGTATATTATTACTTGGGGTGCAAAGTTCCAATCCTATCAGTAATCTAAAACACAGTCATTCTATAATATTAATTATCCCAATTATTTAATATAGGAATTTGTTGTACTTATTAGAAAAAAAAATTGAATTCTGTGATGCTAGTAGATCCATCTTTTCATAGCCTGCATATGTAACCTATCCTCATTATAGTACCAATACCATTGATGCCATTAGAAAAATTATTTAAACTTACGCCAACCAATAGTCTGGTATCACAAACTGAAACAACTGTGTTTGTTCCTCTCGGAAGACGAGATCCAGCTGATACTTGCCTCGCTTGGTCATAATTAATCGAAATTCCCTTTGTATTGATGTTTCGAATCTCTCCAGCCAATACTGAACCTAGAAAAATAGATATTTATATTAATTATGTATTCAGGATATTCTGGACAACATTGGAAATGCGAGCTTCATTGACAGTCGAATATACCACTTTATGTCTTATTACAAAATGGTATGGTAGTTTTAATTTTCTATACTCTTTGATAATGTGTGCAATATACATAAGAAATAATGTTAAATTTGGATACACTCCGTCACTATGCCTTAGTGCAGTGGTTCTCAAACTTTCCTCCAAAGACTCTCAAGATCTGGACCCCATGAGGGGGGAGGGGGAGGGTTGCCTGGATGCTTTTCAGAAAAATAATGTATTTTACGAATCATATGGCACACTGTCAATAAGCTGCTTAGATTGAGCTTTTGAGATTCATACATTCATACTTTTGAGATTCATACAAGGCCCATTGAGCCCACATCGATTTTTAGGAAGTTAAAGACGGCAGTTTGTATATAAAACAATAGACCAGTGTCCAGTACTAATTTTGAGTGTATGCAATAAACTGAATAAAGCACTACCTGGTCCATACAATAGGTGCACCGGCTCAAAAGACGCACGATCGGTTTTTGAGAGAAAAATAAGATTGGAAAAAGTGCGCCCTATTGGCCGTAATATATGGTAGTTTTGCTTTGAATGATATTTCATCAGATACTTCAATTGCCACATTTTATAATAAAAAGCCAACAAACTGGCGTGTCAGAGAATTTCAACTGGGAAGTCTATGACCTTATAATGAAAACAACAATTTAAAGTTTAACCGCCGATTACCAATTAATACGTAAGATTGGGTATGTAACCATGCTAGTGAAGGCCTTTGCTTATGGCTGGCCCCTAGGGCGCTGAGAGCCCCATTTGAGGCACCCTGCTCTAACGCAAGCTAAGTAAATTTTGCAGTATCAAATTACATCATTGTTACTGATATACTGGTTGGTAATTAGTGATGGTCATTTTCTCTGGCAGACAGAATTAATCACAAATATGAATAACTTACCTGCAAGTGCATAACCACTACTCCCGGCAGTTTGGGTTTGGTTTTGTTGTATAACACTCACATCTTCAGCTAAAATCCTCCCAAAAGCCCCTGCCAAACTTATCTCTTCAGATTTGAGTGTTGCTGTTGTATTTAAAACAGTGTCAAGAGCTCCTTGTACACTTAAGGGTGGGAATTCCTGCTCTAGAAACAAAGAGAGACATAAATTTCCTTGAGTTATAGGCTGAAAAAAGTTGCGGGTAACTCTGTAAACCGAGTCAGTTTTTTAATCAACATTTTGTTAGTATAAGTCTCATTATCAGTCAGATAGAGTCAGTAGCGAGATTCAAAAACCACTACATGAGCTACATTGACATGACATGCCTTAAATAAGAGTCAAATTATAAGTTTCGAAACGCAAAATATAACACTCGTCAACAGATACAGTGCAAATCAAATGCTGCTGTAGTCTAACACCTAAAAAAGAACTAGGGTGCTAAAGCCCCTGAATGCCACCACTGGTTTTAGTGCATCATCAGTCATCACAATCACTCAATTCTTACTGGGTAATCTAAATTAGGTTGAAGTCATGAGTGAACACGGATTTTACATGTATTATCGTTAAAAATAGTTGGGATCCGAGTTTAAAATAACAACCATTAGAATACAGACAACCCTTCATTAGCGGTCAAATCTGATTCTGTAAAGCCCGATTCATATTAAAATTAATAAAATCTCAGGGTATTGTTACGTAAAACAAAAAATATTGGAACAACCTTTCAATATCAATAAAAAATTGTACCTTCTTTTTTCGATATGATTTCAGTTGAAGAGTTTGTAGCATTCTGCGAAAAAAGTAGCAAGGTTTGAAATAAAGATAAACTATATTTAACAAAATATAATTTCATATTTATTTAGGGCATAGAAAAGCAGATGAGAGAATCTGAAATATAACTAAATTACTAAAAAGATAGTAGTTTACTATCTAAGCATCAACTTCCGCTTGTGCATATAAAGGATTAAAATACTCTTAAAAAATATTCATAGTTTCTCATCTTGATTATAAGTCAGCAAGAATAAGTAGTGAGTCTCACATGACATCATCTCATAGTAGAGTATAAGATGAGTGATCTTTATATTGAGTATATCTATAAGAGTGATATCCTCATATCTAACTTTACAATGATCTTATTTTTTGCAAAATTGATAATTTATAAAAATACATTTGACAGAAGACTCTCCAAGTCCACGTCAGCATCAGCCAAATCTTCTTCAGAAAAGTTGATCAATGTTCTTTCAGCGAGACTCTAAAAAAAATCATAGATTTAAAATCAACAAACATAAAAACATGATATTTAAAATCCTCAAAAATACATCAGCTATATGGTACTGTAGACGAATCTGGTCATTGGGTTAGGTTAGAGGAAGACAGTGCGCGGTCATGGATTTATCAATTCAGATACCGTATTTTACCGCATTGATCGTGCGCCAAAATTGATCATGCGCCCACTGAATGAATCAGGTAGTGCTTTATGCTTTACTGCCTACATTCTTTACCAGTTGTGCCTTATGTATGAATAAAAACCCAATCTAAGCAATTTATCGACAGTTCGCCTTAGAACCCGTACAAATACGGTACATTCGAAATTCCAAATGATAATTGATTATACGTGTCTTAAAAGCGAATCGGAAAGTACTATCTTTCCTTTTTGCCGATGTTGACATTCTAGAAACCCAACATTCAATCATATTGTTCTATATATTTGTACATTATCAACAATAAAAAACACATCTATCTGTGTTTACAAGCCTCATAAGCATACGCCATGTTTTTAATCCATTACCAGTCTTCACAACCCTTTCTATCAGTAATTTTTGTCTTTTAGTTGAAAGCTCGCGATTCCGCTTTGAGCAAATTTATATGAACTGAAAAAATTTGACCGGACAGATATGATAAATTTATATACAATAATTTTTAGTTTCATTACATAATTTTTCCTTGAACTTCCAATGAAAAAAAATCATTGTGAATATTATATAACCTGTCTATATTCACGTTTGACAATGGCCAATGAAAATAATGTTACATAACGGAAAACATTATATAAAAGGCAAAATACTGCAGTCTCGTTTCACATGCCCTGTGGGTATATTTATAAATATGTATATATACTTGATTACGAAAAATTGAAGAACTTCTTGGATTTTATGTGCTATAATATGAAATTACCGATCTCAATTAAATCTTAAAATAACAAATTCATCGGAAATTATAATGTAGATATTATGGTACTCCCGAAGTATGTGAATCAAGATGGCGGAAACCGAAACATAGTATGTGTACCAGGTTAAGGTTAGGCCATAATTTCAAGTACAAATACTAGTCACTTGGCTAGTCCCCAAACTCGTAATAGAACTAAAATTGGAATAAAATTATAGCCTAACCCTAATCTGATACATATCCTATGTTCCGGTGACCGCCATCTTGGTTCACATACTTCGGGAGTACCGATATTATGACAGAATAAATGAGCTACGAACCCCTTTATTAAATGAAACCAACGCATACTGTTATATATGTGTACTGTCTGTGTGTCCACTAGAAGCAATGTTTCTCATTAAAGTACCGTATTTAACAGACCCTAAGGCGTAATTTGAATCCTATTTTTCTCAAAAATCGATCATGTGCCGTGTAAACTGGTGTGCCTAACGTATGGATCAGGTAGGCTACTTCATGCTTATTGCATACACTCAAAACTAGTACCAGTATTGCTTCAAAAACAATTGCATTTTATAGCCCGGCACGCCTTATGTATGAATGAAAATCGAATCTAAGCAATTTATTGACAGTACGCCTTATGGTCTGTGAAATCGGTGCACAAAAAGTCATCTCAAATTCAAAGGATCATTAAAGTTGTTCATTTCAGAAATCCCTAGCATAGACAAGACACAGTACCAAGCACTTGTTGACATTGACCGTTTTTAAACTATACATTCAAAGCGCACAAACCCATCAAAATCTGTCTGTGGACTCCTGGAGATAATGGAAGCCCATGTTGGGAACCACTGGATTAGAACAGCAGTGATATGTATGTAAAATGATACTCATTTTAATCATCTTTTTCTTTGATTTTTTGCATCTCTGTGAATACTCATTAATTTATTAAACGCAATATTATTTTAACACATCTTTAAATAACATAATAAGGTGGTTATCATAGTCTTGCATCCTTGCATTAATAAAGTGAAGGCTTTTACCTTAATTAACCTGAACTGTAAGGGGACATCCTGCGATAGCTGCTTACGATAGTTTGCATAAAAAATTTATATAAGTTATCTATGTTTTGCATGTTTGCTTGGCTTACCACATGATGTTGGGATTGGAATTGTGAATGCCCTTGAGGTTCCAGACTTCCACTGTTAGTTTGAATAACTATTGTTGGTTTAATCACATGTGCATCGTTACTATTTTTCTTGATTTCCTCAACGTCTCTGAAAAGGGATACAAATACTGGCAGTTAGGATTCTGCATCAGGCCTCAAAGTAAATAATTATGGAATCTAGTCAACCTACTGTCTATAGAAAAGGAATGAAAAAAATATCTTTTAAAAAAAATGTCTGTTACCTACTAACATATTAAAAAAATATATATAAATTAAATCTTACGCATTAGTAGGTTACATCTCTTATATTAGTAACCTTTTCACCAGTTTTGGGCTCTCGCGATCTTGCTCGTATAAAAAGTACTTACGGGTAATCATCAACGGAGGTACAAATGCAAATCCTGGCTTTGACATCTTGCAGACATTCTATTGCATGTGGAATTGCAGGAAGAACAACTTTCAAACATTCCTATTAAAAAATGTACGCATTTCTATTTAAGCAATAGTTCATTTAATATATTACAGTAGGCTGTTTTGAGTCTTGTTCGGTTTCTGGCATCACTGAGATTGTGAAATTTAGTTGGTCTAGAATTTAGTAAATTAATTTGGTAAGGTGATAAAATGAACTAGTGAAATAGTTATCTTATGGCCAATAACATTTCAACAGTTTTAAGAGGATTAGTTGTAACACTTACTGATGATGCTTTCTTGCTTCCTGGCAGATTAATGATCAGAGTTTTTCCTCTAATTCCACTCTTCAGTCTAAATATAAATAAATGCACCATGTATTTAAAACATAACATACAAGGAGAAGAAAATTAACGTTAGGACTATATTCGTCATCATTATACAAGTGATAATATGTTGAGCCTGTTAATATACTGGCAATAGTTATACTTTGTTATAATCGGTTTCAAGTACTGCTGCGCACAAACTGACCACGGCCAGACTTCTTTGAGCAAGTATTTTTCAATTATAACATGAAAGTGTCCATGTGCTATCCATCAATTCCTAGGGTATGCAGGACCACACTAAACATGTAAGTGAAAAATGCAGTAAAAGTAGAATTTTGCAATTTTTCAAACAAAAGACAAGGGAACTCCCAGACCATGTTAAGTCAAATAAAAGTATCGGTAATCGCTCTCTGAAGACACCTTCATCTCTGACTACTTAAATTTAAGAAATCAATTTTTTGTTTCAACAACAAAGCTATTTCAAAACGATCCATGCACATACTTCATGTCCGAAAATGACTATAACTTACCTTGTCACCATTGCATCTGTGGTTACTTTAAGTGATGCTGTTATTATTGCAATCGTAAATCCAGGAGTTTCTCTTTCAATGACGGCAGCAGTTGCTTCTGGTGTTATGTCTCTTGGTCCTAATCCTGTTCCTCCAGTAGTAATTATCAATTCTAAATTGAGATTATCAGACCAGTCCACAAGAGTTGCCTAAATAAAAGAAAATGAATAGAAACAGTGTTTATCATGCAGTGAATCAACTTTGTCAAGTCACTGATACTTAAATTTTTTCCAAAAGCAAATTTGCATTGAGCGAGAGAACTGTGAAGCTTTTCAATAATGATAATGAAACGAACATGTAGCATTACTCTGCTACTTAACTGGACATCATAACTTTATCATTTCAACAAAATGAAAATACGCTGAAATCATGTATATTTTAGTGTTTTTTCTATCATTTTAGTCAAAAGCTGATAATACTGAAAAAAAAAATTCCAAAAATGTCTTTCAACCTTTTGCCAATTTCATTCATATTTGAGTCAAATTAAAATTGGGTATTCAATTCAATTTCAAGTATTGTGAAAAAGTAATATTATGTGCATGATTTGGAATATATATATTTATACCCATTTAGTATATGAATATATAATCGGTACATTATATTTACCGGTATAACAAGACGATTCATCAAAATATATTCCTTACCACAATTTCGTCCGACTCATCAGGAAGGATTTTGTAAACTTTTATTGCAGAACGAAATCTAGAATTATAGAAAACAGTATTAGGATGGCTAATTAGAAGAAACAAAGAAAAAACAAATCGAATTGTTCTAGCCAAATATTCTGCTTCATGAAATTTCAGGAGTTTCCATGATAGAGTTAGCTTGAATTGTTTCATGTCCCGTGCCAACAATTACAGTATCTATTGACACCTCTATATGATAAACGCTGGTTAGTACCGTTTGCACCGTGATTTTAAAAAAAGAAATGATAACAAGGGAAGCATCGCAGACTTGTTTTTGAGAAGGTATGAAGCAATGTTGTTTAATTATAAAAATATTATGTAGATAATTTAAAGAAATGTTTAACTATATATTAGAATATTTGTGATTGTGAAACTTTGTAACATTTTAAGTAGTCAAACAAAATCGAGCGAAACAATTGGTCTCTCTGAACCTGCTACCAAAATATAAAAAATAATGCAACTCTGGGAGTGTTGCGACTTTAGAAAGTTGTAAACGTAAGGAAAATGTAAGCCTTTTGGTCGATATCGAGACAACGCCGCTGCGTTGTGCAATTGCAGTGTGTTATCTATATAATTCTTTTTTAAATAGAATCAAGCCTTCCGAATCAACATCAATTCGAAATGATTCGAAATTCTGAAACTTACATCCCTAGTGTCAAAGCTTGCTTGCAAATCTTTTAGCAATATTCATTTATTCCATTTTCAGTTGAGGGCTCGCAACCTTCCTTTGCAAACTCTTATATAAAGTATTCATCATATTCCTATTGGTTGTCTACGGTCTCTATTAAAAAATGGTTTATAATTTTAACACATACCCAGTATACTCCTGTAATATTTGTTGTAAGTAAGGTCCACTCAGATCAGTTTTCTCTCCTCTCGCACATCGGTCGCTAACTGAAACAGGAAAATTTATGAAGTATGATCATGGAGAGTAATCGATGGAATCGCCCAGTCATGCACAAATTGCCCATTATTTCTATTGGATACCACAGATTTAAATGATTAAAAAACTTTCTTTCAATTCAAATTATTCATATTTAGGTCTAATTAACATAGTCAAAACTTGTTGTATAACTGCTGCATCAATCTAGAGTAAGAAATTGAATTGCAGAGAAGTTTTCCACATTTAAACATTTGGATACTAGCAACCTCTTCGAGATACCTTCTGCAGACCAATAGAAAAATCAATTATTTATCATGTATTATGAGGTTAAATTTACCATAAGAAATTCAGTGTTTTTAAGAAATATATAATCATCAATTTAAATATAATGTGAACATGTTATTTCAATTAGATAATATAGTTTCGGGTCATTTCACGAATATCATAGACATAGATCAATATTCAATCGCAAAAATTCTAGATAGCAAAACTATTTAGGCAGAAAAATTATCACCGAGATGAGGGGAAATATTGGACTTCTAAAAAACCGTAAACGACCGATTGAAACGAGTCAATTTGTTTAATTCGGTAAACTAACGATTGCATTTTATGAAAAAGTAATTTATGACTCGAATTAGGTAAGCAATAATAAAAGTTCAGTCCAAAATTATATTACCTATTAGAAACCAACCCTAATGCAAAAGCATAGCATTTAATTTCTTCAATAATTAATTTAGATTCATTGCAGCACTCCATAACTTACCAAATTTATTTGGTATTATTAAATGTCTTATTCACTATTGATTTTGCAATGGATCCATCCTATTCCATTTGCTTTACACCAATCCCCTATTTAAGCTTTTAACCAAAAATATCTAAATCTCATAGTCCTAAAATAAAACTGTGCTTTGAATCACTTGGTAGATATTATGATTTGAGTTTATTGGTTGTTATTCAATTTCTTTGACAAGGTTGTGTGACATTGTTTTAAATAGAATTTGTACATATTTGTATCTTTAGATAAAAAATTTGAAGAAACGTTTTGGCTTCTTGCAAACCACTCTCTCGGATTTAAATCAGAATTGTATTTTGGCTTGAGGCAATTTAATTGACAAAACAGATCATCTTTGTAAAACATGAAGGTAACGAACCATATGATTGTTACCGTTTATATTGTTATTTTAAATATTAGTTTATACTTTACAATACTATGCTTTTGGTATAAATTCAGGAAAAAATCAAAAACAAGAGAAAAGTACAAATACAATTCTGATAATGAAATCAGACTTTATGAGAAAATTGCAATAAAGATTTTTAACTTATAATATCACTGAAATTTAGAGATTTCAGAAATTAAGCTTTACAAGTACCTGCATTTTCCAATCCTCAATTGGAAGATTCCTACAACACTAAATATACTGTCCAATTCACTATATAACACATAAACAAAAACATATTGGTAACGAAATACATGATATACCTGTCAAAACTCCAATAAAAATAGTATGATTAGGATCGGTGGTAATTCCGGGAGAAGTCTCCACATCATCGTTACCATTAAGTCTTCGAATCTTTGAGAACTTCCCTAACGCAGACATTTCCTACTTTCCTGAAAGTACTTTGATCAATAACCACCAGCGCAAAATTTCAACAAAAAAATAGCAAGCAATTTAAGTTTACCTAGAAAACCAGCTATCATTTTTTCTCCTCATAGCCTTGGGCATAAAATTGTATTTTTCGCATTCTGACGTTCGTAATTTTTAAAATGTGTTACCAGGAAGAATAAATTAAAAAACCTTTTTTCTTTTTATTGATGGTAATGCATAACTCAATATATGAATTTTAATACCATGCAATCAATGCAAATATTTCCGAGTCGCATATCATTATTGTGTATACAAATGATAATTTTTTTAACGAATTTTTAGAGCTGATAATCTGTTGTGTATTCTCCTCATACCTATAATAAATTAATCTATTGCAAAAATAATAAACAAAGCTCTTGCAACATTTATGATGACACATAATATATATATTCCTGTTCTTAAATAGTGATTTACAATATAAATAGGAATATAATATAATTCTGTGATGATATTTTCCCACTCCATGAATAAAAGGGCTCATTTATGTGTGTGTGTGTGAAGCACATATTTGACAAATTGTTGAAAATTATTCACATTTTATCTCCTTTTTATAAATTAAAATGGTTCTTCCATTAGTCAACAACAATCACTCATAATAACACCTTATTAATTCCGAGCATATTCTGTGTATTATATAATTTATTCTGCTATGGAGAAAAAACAAAACCTAATCCGCTTCTTATGTGATTATCATATTTTGGCTGAACATGTTGTCAGAGATTAGCATGATGAATATTAAATAATTATACAAGTTTATAAATAAATTAGACACATGCGTTTCAGCTGATTTCAAAGGCCAGAATTGTTTGATCAATAAAACTCCAACCTTCAATTAACATATTACTGTGAGTGAATAGGACGATCCACTCTTGAATAAATTTAGAAATAATTGGGTTGAATTGGGTATAATCTGATAACCAACCAAGCTTTTTAGTAATTCGGCATTTATTATGAATTAGATATTTATTGATAAATAGAAAAAAAATCATCCCAATAATGTTTCCCTTTTGAACTGTACATTGTAGGTAAAAATTGAGCCTAAAAAGTTAAAAATATTTCACAGTGTTGGGGAGAATTGAGGTATTGAAACAACTCGAGTTGGGAGTCATTTTTATTAATAAGACTCAAGTAATGTAATAAAACAACTCAGACTCAATCAATCATCAACTTACCGCTTATTAGACTTAACTCAGTGATTTGCTCGAGTTCAATATCAGACTCAGGTGACCTATGACTAAACTTGATTGAGTCATTTTATATAAAAGAGACTCAAGTCATCTAAATGAAACAACTCAGTCTCAACCAATCATCAACTTACCGCTAGTGAGACCTAACTCAGTGATTAGCTTGGCTTCATTATCTGACTCGACTCGAGACTTGGGTGACCAATGATTCAATTTGATTCGTGACTCAGGGGATAGGGTTTTGTACCCAACAAAATTTATTTTGAAACCGTGGTTAGAAGTGCAAACACTTTTGATAACTTCATAATCATAATACATATTTAGGAATCATTTAATAACCTTGTAGCAGTGAATATGTGTGTGAGCACATGTGAATATAACTGCTAAACAACGAGAAAAAATTGATCATGAATAATGTAAACAATTACAAACTGCACATTCACATATCATATTAACAATAAGTTACTACTACTTACTGCATTGTGACGAAAAACATTAGATTAGAATCCAACAACGCAGTTGAAAATGTTGCAATTCGATATCTGGATCCTCCCAGCCAATCCCTGAGAAAAAAAACACAGCAAAATACTCATTTATCTTATTTTATGTAAAAAAGTACTGCATTTTTCAGTTCAAAATTTAAAGATCCTAAACTGTAAGCATGCTTTTTAGAACAATTATCTTGCCTGTGGAATATTTTTTGAAAAGTGTTTCCATATTTTCATCAAAACACAAAACGAGAATATCGGATGGAAACCGAAGACTTATCGATCGATAGTTAGGGGATCCCCCAAAACAGAAACTGCAGTTTCGATTCATCCGCTCCTGTAACTTGCGCACTGCGCATCGCACACACACAATCGGCGGGTTTCAAAATTCTCTCGCTTTACAAAAATCTAGATCACTATATCAATAATTGATTGATAACTCGCTAATTATACGACATAATTCGCCCAAAATCAATAGGCTTCTGGTCCGAGATAAGATGAATGCACATGCAAAATCTGGAGCAGATTCAATCTCGCTTTCGTGAGATATCGCGTGCATCTAACAGACACACAGACATACATACAGACAGACATACAGACAGACATACATACAGACAAATACCTATCAATATACTTACCGATCTTAAGATCGATAAGTAACAAAGGAATCAGCCACTGAATTGTACCATATTTTAACGACCATAATGCGCACTGAATTACGAGAGATACCAGGAATAAATTACTCAGATTGGGGTTTTGTCCATGCTCAAAGCGTACCTGACTAAATGACACAAAGGTTTTTAAGGGAGAAAAGGTTGTTGTACAAAACTTATTAAACAAAATGAAATTTACATTTCTCATGGTTATTGTATTTTATTTCAAGAAAATGTAAAACAATGATTTGTTTTTATAACAATAGTACTGGTCTTGAGTGTAACCAATAAACCACTACTTGATCCATATATTAGGCGCAATGGCGTACTATCGATTTAAAAAAAAAAGGGGAATCGAAGTTGCTGCAGGTGTAATCACCAATGCTAACATATAAGGATTTAAACTACTAACAACATGATTTAACACATGCTTTTAAAGCTTAAACGCCATGACTATCATTCATTTATATCAGTTAATATCATGGTACCTTTGCCTCATTGACATGGAAGGTAGCATCGCTCTAGTCTGCTTTTACATCTCATTGTATTTGCAACATCCTGATTTCCAAAAGTATAGAGCATGCAGCACACACATATGCTTTTTTCCATACAATACAGACTGTAGCCTATATCTATTCCCAAAATATGAGGATCTCTATAGGTGATTATTTTATTATTTCAAAATCCTACATCAACTGTCTGATCCGCAAAACGATACAAATTACAAAAATAAATTCTGGGTCTACTTTCAATATATTTAAAACAAGTAGTATTTCATTATTTTCAATAAAACACTTTTGTCAATTTCAACTATTTAGTTAGTAGAAATGAATTTCAATGAATAATCATTTATGAAAAAACTGTATAAATCGGTTGCTTCATACATTTTAGTGTAGAAAAGATTGATTGAGGGGGTATTGTGATTTCGAGTAGAAAAAGAAATCGATGCCACATTGGTATGCGATCCCAGCATCATGAAACTACTTTGGTATGTGATCCCACCTGCTTAACGTGATATCGACCGCATATCAAAGTGGCACACAGATTGTGGTGCCATTTTTTCTATACGTTTAATCTCATAAAAACATTCCCATAGAATTCATTTCCTAACCTTGTCATCATTGGGTTAAACTCAGGTTAAAATTAAAATCACGCAACCGCTAAGATCGCACTCTGAAGTGCCACTGAGAAATCAACGAGATGGATTCTATATCACTCCCATCCAATTCACCTTTTAATTAAAAAAACTTCTGAAATTTGATGAAAATGTTGAAGGCATCAGCTAATGCAGTGCTTCCCAACCTTTCATGTCCCGGGTCCCCTTCTGGCGGATTTTAACGCTCATGGTTCCCCTGTTAATCAATCCAGTGGTATTTATAGTGTTATGTTCTTTGGTAGATTCCAAATCCCATTATGTTCAAACGTTTCATGCTCAAAAAAAATAAAAAACCTGATGAAATAACATCATCAAGTTTTGCGCCCGGCATTGTGGCCCCCTTTAACTGCTCTGGGCCGACCCCCCGGTTGGGAACCACTGATCGAATGGATTCAACAATTGTATAGAACAAACGTAACACCTTATTATGAAACACTACATCTTCTTTTATTGAGGGCGTGAGCATAACAAATTAGTGTAAATGATATACTTTCAGAAGCATAAATATCGAGCAACAATAATAAAAAAATTAGCATTCGGTTGGAAACCGAAGACTTATCGATCGAAGGTTAGGGAATCCCCCAAAACAGTGGTCTTACTCTATAGTGACCCCGTGTGTCCCATCACTAATTAATCAATAACTCGCTAATTATACGACATAATCCATCCAAAATCAATAGGCTTCTGATCTGAGCTAAGATGAATGCACATGCAAAATTTGGAGCAGATTGAACCTCGCTTTTGTGAGATATCGCGTGCATCTAACACACAGACAGACAAATACCTCAAGATCGATAAGTAATTATACAGCATGTGCTGTTACATTAGTATTCTGACTAATTTGCGTAATGAGTTTTCGAATAGAACTATTTTTAGGTTCAATTTTTAAAGCTTGTTTTAAATCTTTCATTGCATTTTCCATTTTTCCTTCTGCATAATAGGCTTGGGCTCTTCTGTATAAGGCTTTAATCATTTTTGAATCAATATATAAAGCTTGAGAACAGTTTGAAATAACATGATCATATAAATGGTTCTTTAACTGTACTGCTGCTAGATTGATTCGGCATTGACCAACTAATTTTTTATACTTTTCTTTTATGAGGCTCTCCATATCATCGGTACAGCATAATAAGAGCGATTTTAATGATCTGCTATACCAATATCCAGCCATATAAATGTTTCCTTCAACAAATAAGGAATTTCCAGAAACCTTCCAATTCTCTGATAAATTTATCCTTTCTTCAAGTGATAAATCATGAAAATCTTTTCCTGATGATATCGAATGCAATGTGAGTCTAAATTTGAAACTTTTCGGCTTGTCTAAGTCAGTTTTAATAAAATTGATATCAAATTCTGATACTTCAGATTTTTTTATGTTTTCCACACATTCACAAAGAATTGCAGAATAATAATACTTCACTTGACTACAGGAAAATACATTCCGAATATTTGCATTTATTCCAAAATTTTTAAAAATGTCTTCATCCGTGCAAGCATTAGGAAAACTGCTAAAGTCCTTGATGGTTAGTTCACATTCTGATGTCAGCAAAGGATATTCTGTCTCAGTACTTTTCTCTAAAACTGTTTTCGTAATTTCAAACATAGTTATACATAAATTAAGGTCTGAAATAATGAAAAGGGATAATGAGTATTTTATGAATGAATTCACTATTATTGGCGTTTGCCGAAAGTGAAGTTGTGAGCATTTCACCAGATGTGGAAAAAGTAAGAACTAGAACAGGTTCACGCCCCAACTTTAATTTATTATTGCGCAATGCAATATCAAAATTTGCATGGTTTCAACAGTTCACTGTTAGTCCGTAACATTGATTAAAAGCGAGTTCCTATACTTTTAAGTGAGTGCATGTGACCCTACATATTCTCATTAAAAATCATTGCAAAGGGATGTCAGTGGAAACAATTAAAATAAAGTGAATAGTAATAGGTAAACGAAAGTGATTTCACAAATAAATTTTTTTTAAATAATTGTAGCTACTGGTAATTAACGCCAAGGTAAAGAAAGACATGACAGTCGATTTTGATAGATAAAACCAGAGACAGATAATAATTAAGGCGACACAACCATATTTGAAATTGCAATAACATAATATTTCAGCATTCATTGATATTTTAGATCTATGATTTTCGTAAAAGGTGACTAAGGTCTGTAGTATTTGTATTTATCTTAATCCCAACATTTTTTAATATTCACATTTCAAGTAAATAGTAATTTGGTAAATTATTTCCACCTGAACTACTACACATTTATTACTTTTCTCCATTCCGGAAAGACTTTTATTCTGAAAGTTTATTACCACAGAACTTAAGATACATATGAAAAACACAAAAAGATTATAAAATAAAATAGTAGCTTATAGAAGAATAAGGAACAGCATGATATATTACTCTAATTCTTCCTCTTTCTTTTCGTTCCATCGGTCTTTATGGTGAGACTTAATATTAGCATTTACATTCTGAATTCTCTCTCTTCTCCTTGCTGCTTCTTCAATCTGCGTAAGAAGTGGAATCTCCCACCTCTTACTTATCAAACTTGTAACTTTGGCACCGGTATTTTGTCCCACTCGTCCGACACGTCCACTTCTATGAACATAATCCGAGGCAGCATTCGGAAACTCAAAGTTTATAACATGATGAATCGATTGAGTGTCAATTCCTCGAGAAGACAGGTCTGTACATACAAGAATTTTCGCCTTACCAGCCCGAACTTGTTGAATGATCGACTTTCGTTTTTTTATATCAAGTCCACTATGAATCATTTCTGCATGTAGTCCATGAAATATAAGTTCTTTTGTTAGCCAATGTACACTTTCTTTTTTATTACAAAATATCATCGTTATATATTCATTTACTTTAGATTCGTTGAGAATATTGAGAAGTGTGGCTAATTTTTCAGAGCTTCGAACCCTTAGAAATTTATGAGTAACGTGGGGTGAAATACGATGCATATACCCAGTTGAAATCGCAGATATGTTCGATAACGAAACTATATCTTCGAGTGCTTGTTCTGCATAATCAGGAAACGTAGCACTGCATAATATTAATTGAACATCTGAACTACTGACCAATGGTTTTGACAAACCATGTTTAATATTCAGTCTTCCAAGTATGGCACAAGTAAATGTACTAAAACTTTTATCAAGTAAAGTATCGCACTCATCAACAACAGCGAAATTAATATTATCTAACGATAGTTTACGATTACGTAACATCGTTAACATGATAATTGGTGTCCCAACCACGATATCCGCATGGTTTACATGTTTTTTTGTTCGCATTAAATGAAAATTATCTAAGTCAGTGACATTAATTGCAAGGTTGAAGTCTCTCGTCATTTTTACAACCTGGGCGCTCAACTCTTTTGAGGGAGTTAAAATTAATGCTGTAGGTCCAGAAGAGACAAAATCCTCATTGTTAATTTCTAATATTTTGTTAATAATTGGAATAAGATATCCGTATGTCTTTCCACTGCCAGTTTCCGCAGCCAGCATAACATTTTCACCATTCATAACGATAGGTAAGACCTTGTTTTGAATATGAGTTGGTGCCTCGACACCTAGTTTCTGTAATGATTCAATAACAGCGGTATTCAATCCATAATCGTTAAAACTTGCTTTATCCTTATCATCATAATCAGTTGCAGGATTATTCCTAGTTGCGTGAATAACAAAAAATCTTCCTGGACTATTCCTGCTTGTCCATGTTTGTGATGCAAGAGTTGGTGGTTCAAACTTTGTCGGGAACTCATTCGTGTACATATTAAGTTTTCGGTCATCTGTTGAAATCAAAAGCTTTCCGGGCTTAGGAACGCAGATGAGTTTACCTCTTCTTTTCTTCTTATCCTTCGCTTGAATGAACTTTTTTTGCTGTCCAAGTGGATAACGAATAATGGGAATTTCTTGGCCATTTACTTTTACTGAAGAAGCAAATCTGACGCTGCAGGCAACTGATGTTACAGTTAATTTTTGACCTATACATAAATTTCGGAGCATGGCAACAGACATGGCTGTTATCCCTATCATATTAGGCCTATTGAGTTTGACCATAAAAACTGAATTAAGAATAACAGCATTGAGTTAATTGTAATTAAGCTTTGCATATACAATTAAACCCATTAAATATTTATTAGGATATACCGGTATTACATGTATTAACACTTCATTTTCAAAATTAAAGATTTGTAGATATTGATTATTATTTTTAATTTTTTTGTTTTTACAAGCTTACATGTCAATGAGTCATAGAGCATTGGTTCCCAGCCATTTTTTCAAGTGACCCAAATTTTTTTTTAAATAAGGTTTGTATAGTACTGCGACCCAACAATGTCTGGATGAGCTCAAATATTAAACGGCATGTAGTGGTTCTACAGCTACTGATCTATGGCAGCAAAATTAAATTATTAATAATAACAAAAAACAATCATTTTTACATATCATTTATTTTCCTCAATATTTAGTTCATTACTTCAATATTATTATTTGTTTGCCATCAGCGATTTTTGGAAATCGTGGTATAGCTTTACATACAGACATAAACAGAATAGATGCTTACAAGTTATTTTGAGTTACAAGTACTTTTTATTTATTCAAGTACGATATTTTTATTTATTTATTTTTTTTTAACTACCCGTATGTAATTAATAACTTCTGTATGGTTGTGAGTGTGTGAAATATTTCCATTATTTTAGGTGAGTGAACACGTACCAATTCTTCTTGGCAAAACCTTCCATCTTGTAAACATTCTGTACGTTTTAAACCTATCTAAGGTTTTGTTTGCTCTCCTGATTTCATAATCAGTTTTTATTTATTTTTTTTTACCAATCATTTTATTGTTATGCTGATTATGGAGTCGATATAAACTTATACTCATAGATACTTATATACTAAGTTTTTTACGTTGTGATACCTACTTCCCACATACACAGTTTCTATTGAGCAAAATTTCAATGCCAAATAGAAAATGAAATTTACTATGATACCTGTGATGCCTACCTTTGAATAATTAAAAACAAAGCAACAAAACAAAGAGGAAATGGAAAAGCATTGTTTTGGTTGAAACCACCCAAGCAAATCACACGTGTTGTTGAGTTTTTTATTATGACGTCATTAAAGCAAGTATGGAACGATTTTTCATTTTTGCGAATGATCCGATTAAATAAAATAGTCAATACTGATGATATATTAATGATAATTACAATCCGAACGGGAGAGGAGTAGGAAGGCTTTCCCATGTCAGTAATTAGTCATGGTTTCAGGTTCTTCTAGCACTTTTCTTCATTTGAAATGTCAATTTTGTCATTTGTGCTAGTTTGCCTGTTTAGCGCTGCCTCTGGATGGGTTTCATGTCTTAAGAGAAATAAGATGGGTATGGCCAATCGTTCGGAATTTGAATTTATTCAGTAAAATAAGGTATAGCCAATCGTAAACAACTAAGGTTAAGGGGTCTTACTACTTACTGAGTAGCCTACAGCGCGAAACACCACAAAGAGCGCGAAACACCGCAAAGAGCGCGAAACAGTGCAGAAGAGAGAGAAACAGCGCAGAAGAGAAAGAAACAGTGCAGAACAGATGGAAACAGCGCAAAATAGGAGGCGCAATTAATATCACTCCTTGGCGGCTCCTGCCACGTACGAACCGCGGCGTCTCTGGACATTGATATATGGCGCTATTACCAGTATTTTAACAAAGCCATGCACCATTTTTTAGTTTATCAAGTGAAAATATATCTGCCTAAACCCGAAACCTAACCTTAAATTAATCAAAACTGTATTCACAAGGCAAAGGTTCCAATTTATCCTCAGTTTGTCGCCATCAGGGGCAGTCCTGCCTTTACAGCCTTCACGCCCTGGTTTGTGGCAGCACAATTTTACCCGCCATGATTTTAAATTTCCTGCCCTGATGATACCCCGCCTCGCGCCATTTGTTTGTGCCAATTAAAAAGTCAACCGCCATGGTTGTGCCATCATAAATTCATGGGTCATCATGGTTGGTCATCTGGCTACATCTAACTGTAGCATTGCACTGTATATTTTATTCGATGAACGGAGTAAATGAAAGAAAATACTAATTGGTGCAAATACAACAGTTTTATTTGTCACCATTGTATCCGCGTATATCGTAATATGATGTTTATCGTATGGAATTATAAAAAAAAAGTATTCCGAATGATTGTTACTTACATCTACAAAGTACTATAATCGATATAATATAAGGACAGGATTTCGAGAATTTAATACAAAAAGTTTCCGATTCATTACTTATCGGTTTTAATCGGTAAGTATGTTGATAGGTATTTGTCTGTCTGTCTGTTAGATGCACGCGATATCTCACGAAAGCAAGATTGAATCTGCTCCAGATTTTGCATGTGCATTCATCATATGTCGGACTAGAAGTCTATTGATTTTGGATGAATTATGTCGTATAATCAGCGAGTTATTAATTAATTAGTGATGGGACACAAGGTGTCACTATGGAGTAAGAGCGCTTTTTTGGGGGATTCCCTAACTTTCGATCGATAAGTCTTCAGTCTCTGACCGATATTCTCGTCTTATTTGATCCTTCGTTATGTTTTCTAAAAAGTATTAAATATTTGTTCCCGTGAAGTAGTGTTCCCAGGAAGTAGTGTTCCATTTTATTGAATTTTGAATGATCGAAATGTGCGCTAGCGAAGAAATATTTTTTCTTGATATTGCGCCAAGAAATATTTTCGTGAGAAATATTGCGTAGAAAATATTTTTTGCAGAAAAATATTGATGCTGTGTGCGGCCGGCCTAAGGTTTACAGCAATTTTATTTTGTAGTGACATGTATTAACATTGAGGTATGAAGGTTTAACAACGGCTGCGTAGGTTTAATATAGTAATATAACTCTCTTCAGTTTGCATCCGCACAATCTGATTACTTGAATTTTGGAAAACCTTTGCATTAGGTTTTTTTTTATATTTATTTTATGCTGCTCCGTTTCAGAAATATTCTAGTTGTTTTGTCACTATTAACATGAGAATACTATAACGCGCTGTTGGCTATGAAAATGTTATTGAAAATAAACTTTTTAAAATATTATTTTTTTGCGAATTGTTTGCGAATTGCGAAAGTTTTCTTGAGTAGGCTACCCTTTTCATTTCAAATTGATTCGACTTCGAAATAACGATATTAAATAATAAATATGCGAACCTCCTGAATTTTCTACTTTGGGTAAAACTGTTGTGTCAATATTCGTTAATGTTAATTCTAGGATTGGGGTGGGCTTTCCACAGAGCATCTGAGTTTTGCCGATTTGGTGATTTCAATTTTAAAATGCAATAGTTTTCAAATTTTAAGCCTCCGTGTGTCGAATTTAACATTTACATCTGCTCAATTTTAATTATAAAAAACAATGAACCACATACGATAAAACAAATTTCACTAACATTTTTAGGTTTTGCAACTGTTATTTATAACCGATTTATATCGGCCGTTAACGGACGATATGATATATTATCGGGCCGATAAATCTATTGAGCTCTAAACCTGAGGAAGTGTGACGATGAAGATTCATGCGTCCAGTCTCAACGTGAATCGAAAAACCAAAGGATACTTTGAAATTTACCTCAGGGTGGTCATGGTAAATATAAGCCCAAGGTTTCTTCGTAATAAGGTATTTTTTAAGTTAATAAAGTTCCTTGTTGTGTGCCTATAATCTTCGTGATTTGCTATTTTAACATAATTAAGGAAGTTTGATTGCTTTTTGTTAATGCAGATTTAATAAATTTAATCGGTAAGAAAATACTAACCTTGCTGGCTCTGAAGCTTGGATAGGTCTGCAAGGTTTCGAATAGTTTTTGTTCGGGATTAAACTAACGATCAGCGTGGTGTAGAAAGGGCGTGCAATTCAACCTGGGAATGACGTAACTAAATTAAGACCTCACCGTAGCGAGCCGCGATTTCATGGGGCGCGCTGGTGACGGATCCCGGCCCGAATGACGCGAATTTTTTTTATCTTTGATCGACCATTGGCTATATAATTCCAGAAGTTTATCCGTGATCGTGTTCGATGATGCATGGCCCGGTTATAAATTTCAAGAATCGCTACTTTGCGAGGTCTGACTCTTCGATTTCCTTCATTTTTCGCCTATTTTGGGATTTCTATTGTCTTTCAGGCCAGATGCATGGTCTGGGTATGAATTTCAAAAATCGCTACTTTTCTAGGTCTGACCCCTCGATTTCCTTCATTTTTCGCCTATCTAGGGATTTCTATTGTCTTTCAGGTCAGAGCATTCTTCGTTTTTCAGATATCTGTGTCATTCAATTAGTGACGACACGAAATTGATACGACATATCAAGATCGCGGGATTCAAACTTTGGTCACCAGGAACAAATGAAAGGTTTACTGACCGCCTTTTTTTTTTTTTTTTTTTTTTTTTTTGTGCGGATCAGAATTTTCCAAGGCACAGATCAGTGTCTATTGACACGTTATATCCGAGTCATATCGGTATAGCGCTTCATAAGAATTCCACTGCATAAGCAGCAGTCATAAACTTATGGAGGCTTCAGTATCTGCCGCGCCATTGCACAGCACACTCTTCCACCCCGGGGTTCGGTATACACTGTATGTCACAGCATAACTTTCGCCCAGGGCTTCCGTCTGCACCATGCATAGCATAGCTCAACTTCCGCCCCCCGGCTTCCGTACATACTGCGTGACGCTTAACACGCACACAGCATGACATCCACCGTGAAGCTTCCGATTCATCACGTCCGCTTAATATGTGATGGTATTTCCGACATAAAAAATGGATAAAATTGCAGAGTCCACTTGGGCAGATATGCTTTTGTTTATGGTGGATTGCGTTATGTAGCTGAATATCCATTTAGGATCTCCTTCCAGTTATTTACTATTCCGAGAAAATTAAGGTCAGTAAAAGTGTTCTCCATTGTGTTTAAAAATTGCGTAAAGTGAGATATTGTTTTTGAAATTATATCATCGTTCATAGGGGTCAAATATTTATTTTGGATATCCAGTCTTATTTTGGTGCCAATTAAGTTCTTTTTCCATATTACATAACATTTGGTGACTACTATTCGGTTATGCCCCCTGTAACTATTGTAGAATATTTCCTTTAGAGTTATTTTGATGGAGTTGCTTAGTACGCTGTTAAGGATTTTTAAAAGTTTTACCGCATATTTCCTCGTTGATTTACAGTTTATAATTATATGTCCTGTATTGTCTACAGGCCCTTTGCAAAATTTGCAGCCTAATATTTTTAAGTTTCCGAGAGCATCATACCTGAGGGACATTCCCCTCAAGCGATCGCCGAATATGTACCCCTCTCTTATAATGCGATACGAAATTATTCGTTCCGCGTTAGTAAACTTATTTTTATAATCATGGTTAAATAGGTGAGCTTCTTCCCAATTCACATTCAGCTGCTGTTGTTTTTCTTTGGCTGTCCTGTTGTTCTTCAATTTCATGTACAGGTATTTATGTCTTGCAACCTCCCAGGTGGATTGCGAGAAATTCAATTCTTTATAGATGTCGAGGATGTATGCCCATTGCTCTGGAATAGTATTGCTGTGGGGCATTGAGTTGGTGTATCTATCCTTGTTAATTTGCTTGACTCTGGATCCCAAAGGGTATAATGCCTCTATTTGCCAAAATTAGGAGTTAGGGGTTCGTTACCCACGATGTATCTCATTTTTTCCACTGCACATGCCTTTATTTTTGCATCAACATCAATCATATTGATCCCACCATTGTTCCACATTCTTTGTAGCGATTTTCTGCTAATGGCCTCTATCTTTTGCGGGTGCCAGAGGAACTTAAACAGCGCACTCTCGATTTTCTTTATATACGTTTTCGGGATTCTCTTTACTCTCGTATGGAAGATTATGACAGACATAATCATGGAGTTGAGGTTTCGCAGCTTAACGTAATTTAGGGTTCGTATCATCTTATTTTCGATTACCTGCCACATATTGTTTAAGTCCATATTTCCAAATTGTATTCCAAGTATTATGGTGTTTTGTTTTATGTAGTTCCCATGTGGCGAATTGTTCACTAAATTATGCGATTCTTTTGTAATACAGAAAATTTCGGTCTTATCTTTATTTATTTTTTGTCCTGTTGCTAAATGGAAATTGTCTAGCTCGTGAAATACCAACTGGGCCATTTCGGAACATAGAGGTCCAAGTTCTAATATTTATCAATCGTCTTAGATTTAGAGACTTAGAAGACTAAGTTCCGTAATGGCCTAGCCCTAGTTGGTAATTGCTCTTCCCCCGAGCATCGACCTCCTTGTTTACTTCGTGACATTTGCCAACCAGCAAGATGCAAAAAGTGACGTTACAATGCCCCCTTCTCGAATCCGCTGGTGGTTACCAATCGCCATATTTTGCCCTGACATGTCCGGGATTTCAGTGGTCCTTGTTCCAAAACTAAATTTAATCGCAATCTCAACAAATTCATTGAGCTATTTTTAGCTATAACATCAAAATTTGGTTCTAGTTTGGTTGTGACAGCATCAGGCGGGCTAGATTACTCAATGCTGCAATGGGTCGGATTTGGTCCGCGGACCGTCGTTTGCCCATGCCAGGTCTAGAATGTGGTATAACTGCTTAACTATGAAATAGTGGAATCATATCCCACCATATTATGGCAACAGGATAGGGGTATAGGCTAGGCTATATTGAATTAAGTAAGGTGTGTTTGCTTCATATATTACCGTACTGTATTAAGGTACTCTGTATACAGGTATGAGCAATTTTTGATTCCATCTTTAACAGCCTGATATTTTTCATGTAATCTATTATTTATATAAGTTTTTGTCAATTAACGGCAATGTTGATTTCAACACGTTGCAGTGTTGTGTTGAGAAGGGGATTCGCATTTGTTAAACGTAGCACACGTTTTTTGTCGAGTATAGATGGTGGACAAGATATAACATTCATTGATGAAGACGAAAGCTTAATATTTAACGATGGTACTGATTTTGCTCCTGTTACATACTCTGAATCCAGACATCAATCTTTAATAATACGACCACCTGATCAGCCCTTGAATCCAAAAATTTTGAAAGTTTCTGTTTTGGGAATGCCAAATGCAGGGAAGTCGACTTTCATTAATGCAATACTGGGGAAGAAAATTATGGCAACCTCGTGCAAAATTGACACCACTATGGAAAATATTTCAGCAGTGCGTACAATGGGTGACACACAAATTTTGTTTCAAGATACACCAGGTATAATGAACAATCGAAAAGCTGGTCGTCATAGACTTGCAAGGGAGTCTGTTTCTCTGCCCAATGACTCATTCTTTGATTCTGATATTGGTATCATTTTGGCTGATTTAACTTCCTTGAGAATTAAAGATGGTTTTTTACAGCCCGAGATTCTCATGACTATGATTAAAAACAGACATGTACCAACTGTACTCGTTTTAAATAAGGTTGATAAATACAAAAAGAAGGATCATTTGTTACCTTTGATTTATACCTTAACCGCGGGGCGTATAGCTGGTGAGTCTTTTGAGCCAGAGAGGCTAAAACTTACTCCTATGAGGACTCCAAAAATCAAAAAAACTGCGCTTACGGAATATGAAAATTTGGACTTAGCTGATGAAACTGCCTTGAAAAAATGGATGGGAGGAAGTGAACATAGACTGTTGAACAAATTGAGATTTTGTAGGGGATGGCCCCATTTCGAAGAAGTATTTGTCATCTCTGCTAAGGAAGGCTTAGGTCTTGATCCTATTAAGAACTATATGTTGACCCATGCAAAACCTGGTTCGTGGAAATATCACAGTGAGGTAAAGACTGATGCCAGCCCTAAGCAGATCATTATGGACTCTATTCGTGCTGGACTTCTCGAACATTTACCGGAAGAAATCCCATATAGAGTTATTCCTCGAATCACTGAATGGGGTGAAATTGATGATGGGCGCTTGTATGTTGAAATTGAGGTTTTATGTGGAAAAAAGAGTCATTATAATATGGTTAATCGCATTTCACGTAAAATAGCAAACGATACTCAAGAACAGTTGCAGGATGTATTTTTTATGGAAGTTTTTGTACAAATATTACCTGTTTCATTTAAAAATATGGGAGTGTAATTGACATATTTGAAACGTTTTTGTATTTACAGTCAAAATTTGATTGATTATTTTGATCTGAAAGCAACGTCGCTGTATTATGCAGTGCCTCAAGTTTCAGAGATTAATACTAGTGAGTTTTATTTTATACTATTTAATAGTGAGGCGTAGTGTAGTGTAATGCAACACCTCATATGATAATATACCTCTGCCTTTATTTGTTGTCGTTATATTTAGAGGGAAAATGCAATATATATAAAGGTGAAAAAAATTTTGCACTTAATCTTTGTCGCATTCGGCCCCATATTTCAAGTAATACTTCCACTATTGAAGGAGATTATTAAAATTAATATCACTTTAATTAATTTGAGTTTCAACCACACTACACGGTGAATTTTAAATGATATTTGCTTCAAATAGGATTTAAGATATCCAAAATCAAAGAATTTTTTGGTCATTATAAATTTAGTGACCTTTCCTAGTTGAGGGAAGCTGACTATGCTCCATATATTGATAAATCATTACAAAGGCAATTCTTAATTTATCTGTTTGGTTTATTCATTCTCTTAATCTATTCAGATGCCTACTTGTTTCCTCAAAGTCTAGCAAATGTTCATCACAAGTCATAAAATTGTGACGTAATCTTCATTTTTTTGAATAATTGAATGAACATTTTTTTAATTGATGAAATACTCTTCCATTTGGATTTGAGTCGCTATCTTTATCATGCAGTATATTATAAAATAACTCATTCAATCTTGCAACTCTTGTAATCATCATTTAATCTTGCAACTATTCTGTACAGAAATTCGGTGCTGTTTCATGTCGTAGTTTTGCTTCATCCACTGCGGAACCTCTTACAATTGTTAAAGAAGAAGATGGAATACGAAGAATCACTCTCAATAATCCTCGTAAAAGGTTTTGATGTTTTTTTCTTACTGAATTTTTCGTAGGAATATAAATTTTTGATGGTATCGGCTATTGAGATGTTTTACATATAATCCTCGCACGGAGGCTTCCACTGAGACACACAGACACCACTCAGTTTTTCATTTATTGCTTGAGTTTTGACATTTGCCTTGAACAGTTATCTATTCGACTCTTAAACCCAAGATCTTCAGCCTGCAGTACGGATATGTCAGGCCAAACTCCAGGGCCAAGGCTCCGAACATGACCACTACTGTCAAATGAGAAGCCCCTATGTTTTGAAATATTATAATCCGACATTTCATACTCAATTTTAATACATCCTTGGTGATGTGATGGATATGGGATTTGAACCTGAAATTTATAACATCATACTGCTCTAAACTGTGTATGGCTTGTTGTTTTTCTGTGTGAACCAGGTAAGTTTAAATTTGGTCAGTTTTAAATTAATAACATTCTTTTCAGAGCTATCCTCGAGAGAGTCTACTTTTTGCCAACTATATCAACTTATAATCTGCATATCTTTTTAGAAATGCCCTCTCTTTAAATATGCTCAATACACTGAAAGAAAATATTTCCAAGGATGTTGATTCTGAAAAGCTTAGAGTTATTGTTTTATCTGCGAATGGACCTGTATTCTCAGCAGGACATGATCTTAAAGAATTGGTAAGTATTGTTGAAAGCAGTAGGTGATCACCACTTACTCTTTATAAAAATTCTCCAAAAAATGAAGCTTGAATTTTTTTAACATTTGCTCAATAATTGTTTGGTCAGTGTGTGGACATATATTTGCTAATTGAATTTTTATGTTTATGTATTTTCTATGTGATTAATTGTGTCTAACACCATGTGATATATATGCTTCAGATGTCGTTTAATGATCGATCAAAACACACAGAAGTATTTAGTCTCTGTAGCGAAGTGATGGAATTGATTCAAAATGTGCCAGTTCCAGTACTTTGTCAAGTTGAAGGCCTAGCTACTGCAGCAGGTTGTCAGTTAGTTGCAACATGTGACATTGCAATTGCATCAGAGAATGCAACTTTTTGTACTCCAGGGTAGGTTCAAGAAATGCAATATAAACCACCTATATGTATGTATGTTTATTTGCCTCGAAAATGTAACAGTATCTGCATAATAATTAAACAGTATAGCAGAGACGTGATACCTGTTCAAGACCTTACTGGCCTAAGACACTGTTGTGCGACATGTACCCTTAACAAGTATAACAGCAGTTCAGGACTGCTGTGTTATAGTAGGACATGAAATGGAGAAAACATACAAATAGAACTTTAATAAAATATACAAGGCAGAGGGGTACGGCACAACGACAATATGTAAAATAGTTTGTGTATGACACGTCCATGTCCCAGGTTCTTCTGTAGTTGTTATATGTTTCCATTTTCTGTTTCATCATCGTTTCCATAATAAAGAGAGGAATGGCAAACATGGGTTGTGTTAAATATTGTATTTTAATCGGTATAGGATCTGTTTGTATTAATTAACAAGTGCGTAGGTAATTTGAAAATTATAATTGCAACATTAGTTAGTCAATAGTTGATCGGAACTGAAAAGTCAGCTGGAAACTGACAATTGCGACTTTGTTCTCAGTTTCACCCTCCTACGAAGTTTGGATTTGGTCATTTTTATTATATCAGAGATTGATGACATATTTTTCTCTTTTTTTGTTTTACAGAGTAAATGTTGGCCTATTCTGTTCCACACCTGCTGTTGCTCTTGGACGCTCAGTGCCGAAGAAACTTGCTTTGGAAATGTTGTTTACGGGTGAAGTTATATCTGCACAGAGTAAGATTCTTTCTGTTTTGCTTTTAATTGTTTTACTTCAGGAAGTAAATTGTAGATTCAAAATGGTTGTTTCTGAGATGATATAACAACTTTGACGTTCTTCATTTTACTAATATTTCTTGAGCAAAATAATTTTTTCATTAAATTTGTAGTTAACTGCTGTTTTTTCCAGATTTAGATTATAGTCATTTTGTAAAAGATTCAGCTTTGATGTTTTTTTTCTCAATATCAAAATTCGATTAGTATGCTTTTTTGTTGAAGAAAATAGATCAAGGATTGTGAGTGTTTAATTAAGCTGGTAGCTAACATTTGGAAATGTAATTATAATTGATTTATATTTTATATTACTCATCAGGGGCCTTGATGCATGGTCTCGTTAGCAGGGTTGTTCCAAAGGATGATTTAAACAAGGAAACTGATGAAATGTTGGAAAAAATCTGTAATAATAGTCGATCAGTTATGGCCCTTGGGAAATCTACATTCTATAGACAAATTACAAAAGACACACACTCTGCATACAAGTAAGCTGACCTAAGGATTTCCGAAGCGAATATAAAATCACATCAGTTTTAAATCATTTGTATTCAATATCATATACTGGGTATACCCTGTAGAGCTGTAGTCTTGATTTTTGAAATAATGTTTTGATAGTTTCATATGAAATATTTATCATTTTGAACAAATGAAGTCTCAAAGAACTGTAGCAAAAGCACATTTGTACTAATTTCCCCGCATTTTCTAATTCATACACATTGACTTATATGTATTCTTTGTTGAACAATTCAGAATATATTCCCTTGTTCGAATATTGTTTTAAAATGTATTTAAATTGTAGTAGATCACGGTAGCTGGTTTTGGCCACCCCTGAAGATGTCAATATTAGATTTAGAACACTGTCTTTAACGAATTGTATAGTGAGTTAAACAAATTTCATCCAAGTTTTCACATCAAAATCATGTAGTAAAAATATATTCCTGGTGTACATCAAAATTTGGATTTTCGTTTTGTGTTGAAATTAATATATCTCTTCTCGATTTGAGAATGAACTTTCTGGGATGTGGACTTATTCATCGTCTTCAACCATTGCATCTATCATCTTTTTTCTATTCCAGGGATACATCATGTGTAATGGTTGATAATCTTGGCTTGAAAGATTGCAAGGAAGGACTTGCTGCTTTCAATGAAAAGAGAAAACCAACTTGGGGTCATACGTTCGAATGATCGCCAAATGTTTGAATCGAGATTTTATGCAATTTACCCACTATTATAATTCATTTTTCTTTACTAATTTTCTTTCTTTACATAATTTTTTCTTATTTATCTATTATTCTATCTTATCTTTGACTCTACTTCCGTAAGTTTTATATATTGAGTAATTCTCTAATTTTGGGTTGTGGTGAAACTCAATTTTTTATGTCCGAACAAAGTCGAATCACACACGCAGGCATGCGGTTGGCTTGGTGTAAAGTATAATATAGTCCATAGATTTTGTGGAATAGTATCACAAAGAATGCTTGATTAAAATAAACGTTTTTTTCTCATTTTTTACTGTTGTTGGCGGTATTAATGGAAGAGGAGATCACTGGAGAAGCTTAACATATACATATATTTGGCCTCGCCAAGAATAATTTTGTAGAGATTGCCAAAGTAAATACGACATCGAATTAGTAAACGGGTGGAATGTGTAGAAAAATACTATGGAATAAAAAACACTCGCTAAAATGATGATGCAGTAGGCCTAGTTCAATTTGATTGCAAAAATATCACAGTGACAAAAAAATGTTACTAAAAAACAAGTTCGGTAAATAGATTAAATGTTCCATAGCAGTCTATGCACAAGTCATGGATTCGGGTATCGGGTTCTTTTGTCGTTTTCGATTAGTTCAATTTAAAATCATTGTATCCGTACCAATGCTTCCAAAATTAATATCGAATTTCCGACGACCAACAGTTGCAGTGGTACCATCTTTTCTGCGCTCTGTTCGGTCATCCACAATAATAATAAGTAAAAGAATCGAAACCTCGCAATATATCCATAATAGTCTAATAGATCGTCCATCATTTAACTTTAAATCCAATCTTTTATCCAATAACTTCTTTAATTCCTGTGGATGGGCTTTGCTCATGTTGATATTACGCGATACAAGTACCGAAACGTACAGCGCGTAGCATTCTCTAATCTTTTTAAGTAGACATGTCCACACCCGACGACGGCCGGCCAACCAAATTTGCCGTCGCGCTCATAATGTCACGGGTTGTTTTACTGTGGCTGTTTCATCAGAAGACCCAAGATTCCGGATTGATTATTCATGAAAACAGCTCGACACTTCAAATAGCAAGACTAGCAGTAGCATGCATTGGTAAAACAGCCAACTTTGAGCTTAGCAAATCAAGACGAGAGCGAAATATATTTTCCCTCGTCATTCGTGGGTGATCGGATATATATATATGCCAAAGACAGGATCCTGGAATACTTCTATAAAATGTCTAGATCAGGGGTCGGCAAACTACGGCCGGCGGGCCAAATCTGGCCCGCGGGACAATATAATCCGGCCCGTGACGCTTCACTGAATTATAATACCAAAACAACTGTATGGACGATTATATTCTTTACGTAACAGAATGTTTTGAAACACTAAATTATATTATAACCTAACAAGTATATAATTCACAATCACTCGTTTAATAAGCCTAGGAATTGAATATAATTAGACAAATGGCAAGAGAACGTAAAAAAGTTGTTGCAGAGTGCAAATGGTTTAATGGCGCAGAAAATATTCAAATGATCAGTCTTCGCGCGCTGCTTGAAATTTATGAAAACTGAAATCGATGTGAAAAAATGTGATTCATTGTCCATTCCCTCGGTTTTTAACTTTCTAAAAATATGTCCGGCCGCCAATGACTTGCAACCTTCAATTTTGGCCCGCGAACGACAAACGTTTGCCGACTCCGACTTATGATAGCACCGGTTCTGCATTCAAATATTTTTGTCTACGTTAAGTATGTGCACAAACAATGATTGAGAGTACCCAATGTACCAGAGCAAAGTTATATATACTTTCATTTTTATTGAAAGTTCATATACGGAGTTTTTGTCCACCAATCAACTTGCAAACTACGTTTTTTCTATATTTAGAATGTGCGATGCAACCCCAATGAATTGGACAAATTTTTCTGTGGTCCGTCAGTGTAATATATATATTTGACCCATTGCTAAGAGGTATTCAATGAGCTTATTCGTGGTGCTCTTAAATCAGCCTGAGCCGTATTTCATATTGTGAAAGATTAGAATAGTGTCATACACAGCAACACAGGGCCCCAACATCACCCCGTCGGCCCGTCTCTCTCCTATGCGCACACATTCTTCGCTCAGCAGGCATCATGTGCTAATAAAATCACAAAAAATGTCACTTGGAGGAACTTCTGGCAATCTACGTCTTTAAAAATCCTCTTCTGGCTTGTATTCCATTGTTGCCAATCAAAGCTATTTTTTTGCATGTTTTTCTAGTCAAACGACAGCGATGCCTTGTTTCCACTGTAGTAGGATTGTTGCATTCTGCTAAAAAACTGACAACTGTTGCATGCAACATGGATAAAAGTCAACATGGCCTACAGACAACGAACGCTGTAAAAATTATTTCATATTTAGCTCTTCATTTATTTAGGGCGGAGTAAGTGGCCATTGGGCTTACTGAACTTCAATGGTAATGACACCTTATCGGAAAGGGAAAGTGCCTAATATACTCTTGTATTGAGCTTCGACTTTCAGAAGTGACGGTGGTCAAGCCCGCCGTGCGGGTGTTTTCGTGGCGAACAATATGATGTTGTCCAACTGTAGTGATTTAGACTCGATGAGCTGTAAGTGAATGTTGTAATGGGGATTCTAAGCTCGGGAAATGTTCGGTCAGCTTTGAACAATCACAAATGTGTATTTATAGATTTGGCTTGCGCTCCATTATTGTTTATTGCGACTAGTCATGTCATGGGAGCTTTGCTCATACAAATGCAGACAATATAGTCAATGGAAGCAACTGACAATGAAAAAACTATATATTTCTCCTATATGGGCAACCACATGGCCGAAGTCAGAGTGCAAGTGTGATTTCTTCGCCTGTCAATGTCCAATTGTTTTGTGTTCGACGGTGTGGCTGACGGACAGTGGGTAATCTGATAGACCACATATAGCCAGTCCTTACAAACTATCTGTAAGTAATCTTTCAATTCTTGGTTGATGTCGATGTCTTGTCTTTGTGAAATAGGTGTTTGCCTAATATTTCTCTCGTTGGCTGGCTTAGAACCTGAATAATTCTATTTCATCAACATACGAAGCAAATTTCTGTTGATAAGTTAAATTTTATTCGTAAAATGGAAAAGGCTGTGTCAATTGCGCAGGTCATTTGACATCATATTTAGTATAGATAACAAACATTAGAAACGCACAAGTATCACGGAAAACACAGTTCACATACAGACACACATAAAAGACGACAGAATAGAAAATAGTAAACATAGTATAAAATGGTATTATTCAATTATATATATCAAATTGCCAATTTATGATATTATATCAGTATAAATTATGTAAAACATTGCTTCATATATGGACATTTCAAAAGGCAGATAGTTTGCCGAATTTGAACTTTGTTTTTTACTTTCCAATTTATTCAACTGATTCTGCTAATACAACGACCCTTTTGTTCTGGGATAGCATTACAATAAGTTGAAGAAAATGATTCAAAATTGAAAAACTAACTTTGCTCATTGTTATTAAAAGCACAACTTCTCACCATGTCTAAGAAACACCAGGTGATTGCATAGTTTGGAACTAATGGACAAATAAGAAACAAAAAAGCTCGGAAACAAATTATATCAGAAACAAGTGTTTTGAAATATTGGAACAATTCACGACCACTGCCGAAATAGATTAGTTAAGGTTGCTTTCGTATCAAAATAATATAGGCTATGAGTGAATTTTAGACAGGCAGTATCTATCTATATCAGCAGTACACACTACACAGCATCAATTAGATGATTTACGATTAGACCTTAGATCTTCTGAATTTACTAAAGGGCTTTCCTAGCATCGGTCGTAATCTTAAATTCCATGATGACCCCAAATCAGACGCTTTCTGCAATTTAGTACTTGAAGAGGAAGACGACGTTTTTAAATCAAAGATATCGGAACATGATTTTGCTGGCTTGATTCTTGATTCGTTGAAATCTACATTCAGTGGTGATCGATGCCCTTGACTTACATCTGCGGGAGATGAAGACGGTTCCAGAAACCTTGTCCCAACTGTATTCGTTCGCTGTCTGAAACGAGTTGCTGATTCTTGGGGGAGATGACTAAATCTGTTATTCCGCTTCGTGTGGAGTTTACTCATTTTAACGTACCTGAAAAACAATAAATGAATAATTAGTTATGTAGGATTAGACTTAGACTATGCTATCTAGGGGGTAGCTATATAGCGCTTAACGGAGGATGACATTTAAACAGAAATCAGAGTGCTCCCGAAGTATGTGAACCAAGATGGCGGACATCGCAACGTAACATGGGTAACAGGTTAGGGTTAGGCCATAATTATTTTCCAATTTTCCTTATTTTAGTCCTATTATCAGTTTGAAGACTAGGCAAGAGCCTCCCGTAGTATTTATACCTAAAATTATGGCCTAACCCTAACTTAGTACACATAATACATTCCGATGTCCGCCATCTTGGTTCGCATACTTCGGGAGCCCCGAAATCAGTATATAAATTCGTGTAATGTATTGGTAACAGATATTTTTTTCAAAATTAGTCCAATAATTGTAAACATATATGTACATAGAATTGAAACTTACGATTCACTGTCTGAAGAATCGGTGGCGCTTGACGGAGCATGTGTTGAGTGCTTATTTTTAATTGAAGAGACCAGTTTATCCCAAGATTTCAATAATGTCGGTGGATTTGCGTCTGAAATGGTGTCGTTCTCCTTGAACTTGCTGTGCTCTATATCGCCATCTTGCCTTTGCTTCACTATTGACACAGAACGTAATGTGTAGGCGTGACTTCTTCTCCGGAATCGTTATATGCGAATGTCGGGGCGACGCATCTTGGCAATTTTATCAACCAACGGCTTTTTCATGTCGGTCGGACTTTCATAACCTAAATTGAAAAAATATTATTATTTAATAATTCATTTCCAAGTCAAATTATTAAAATCAATAAATGCAGTGAATTACACTAAGCCTGGTTTTTACATCGCAATTATTAATATATATATTACAAAAATATATTTTACCTCTGTATGATGGTCGACCATAAATGAAACCAGCCTCATCGCAATAGCTCGTCTAAGTAAAACTTCTTCGTTACATGAATAGAATGTGTCGCGAAAACTTTTGAAGTAATAGAGATCTAAATTATAACCAAAAAAGAGGTGTTAGCAATCGATATTGTGCTTCCAATTTTTTTTATTGTTTATTATTTTTATTAAATTAAAAATAGAATTTTACCTGGTACTTGTTGTGACCAACCCAGTTTACTAATGTGGATTGCTGCACATTTTTGACATCCAGTCGCAAGAGTAAATGAAGTTTTCTTCTGTTTGATGAGTAAATGAGCAAGGCAAGACGCAATGATTCGATAGCGACCTTCTCCATGTCCGGTTGTATGAGACACACAATATTTGTAAAAAAGTTCATAGTGTTCATAAGTGAGCAGTGGTTCTGGCTGGAGAACTGGTTGCGAGCTCATTGCTTGTCGTCTTTTTGTTGTGCCGAAATTTTCGAAGGAGTGTTGGCCAGACTGCATACCACAATAGTAGTCGCACACCGCTTTGAAAACGTCTTTTTCAAAACCTGGATAGCAGGGTAGGGCCTAAAATGTAAAAGGGTTGTTACATGCAATGTCTAATTGATTTAATGTGATGTGAGTCGATTTGATTACTTTTACAAAGTTAGTATTCCGTAAGATTGCATACAAAAGTCAGCCTACCTGTATCTTTGCCATTAGGCCAGTTTAGCAAGACATGTCCATTGCGCTCAGTGCCCAGTATGGAATATCCTCTCCCTTCTCGACTTGAACAACACCTGACCTTCCCTATTTTCGTTGAGTTGTGTCGAATATCTTCGCCTGTAGAAAAATAAACAACAAAAGCATTATAAAACGACCCAAGTTAGAATCTTGCTACGTCCGCATCGCTTATATATACATACCGCTTATTTCATTTTCATTAAGAATTTCGTCCAGTGTGTCGAGTTTAAGTGCTCCTTGAAGTCTACATAATAATTCCTTTTTCCATGCGTCTTGTACATCGGCTTCTGTTATTGTCTGTGAGAGGACCCGGCATTTTGGAATTACTGGCACCGGTGGCAACGGCCGTTTTAGGCGGTCATTTGACGAAGTTGACGACGTCGAAGAACTTTTAATTGCTGTTACTTTTTCGGTTTCTGAAGTACAAAATTATTTCTGATTATAAGAATTTAATGACCACCCTTAGGTCAGCATTACATTATCATAGATAAAAAAGATGAGCTATTGGCTAACTCGTACTCAACCTATACTGCGAAAATGGCTTAATTACCGTGATAATTGTTACATTCAAAGAGAATGTTTTTTCTTTTTGTTAGATTATCGCGCCTAGAAATGTCACATTTACAATGCATAAAACGCTTGCGCGATTGAAGTTAATGCTGTAATGTGGGGTAATTTAAATATATGATTGTTTACGAAACGCTTTTTGCGCCCCAATGTCAAATATGGAATCGATATATATTGACCGAATATATATCAAAAGACTGATGTTTATGACACTAATATATTTAATCAATATGACTGGTTATTATAACCTATAACACAAGCATATTACTACGCTAAGTTGTAATAAATCTGTTTATCAAAACCGTTCCAACATTCATAATTCAAATCATACCTTCTTGTTTATTTTCTGTTTCTATTACGTTATTGTTTTCAAATCCGACCGAGATTTTGCTTTTTCTTTTCATCTTTTTTGACGTGTTTGCTTTCCTTGTATGTTTAGGCACGTTGTCGTCTAGTGTTCCCAAAGGATGGCGAAGGGTTTGCTCCAATGATACATCGAGCGGAAATCTGTAATTTTATACCAAAATTAGAAATATTTTGCGGTCAACTTCAAGGTGAGAAAAGTTAAATGGTTATTTAAAACAGCGATGCTTGATTTGCGTAATGATTATATTCGCCTTTTATGTAGCCTACATGAAAAGCCATTAATGGTTTAAAATAGAACATACCTGAAAAGTCGTCCGTCATCTTCGAAATTCTCGTTTCCCCATCGACCTTGTACGTCTTCGATGACGTGATTTTTCAAAAATTTACGTAAGAGTTGAACAGTCTGAAAATTGAAGGTAAATTATTAACTTCTGTTAAATTCTACGTTAGCGAGGAAACCGGCTCGTCTCCTTTTAAGTAATGTAGTAAAGGTCGATAAGTCGATACGCAATTTTTGAGTTAATCAATGAGTCATGTTTTGATCGCTGACAAAGTATATAATATGCCAAATACTGTATACTATTTTACTATTATCGGCAATTTGAATATTAAAAAAATGAATTTAAAATTGAACACCTTAAAAAATGTACATTTGAATTTGTTATGCTTCAATTAATTTTCATACCTGGTGCCTGGCCACATCGTTTCCGATGTTACAGTTTTTCTTCAAAAGATCATGCAAAAAGTCAGTAGCTTCGCTTGCTGAAAAACATGCATTGTAAGTCTCAAATGTCTGCGATGTTTTTTGCATTGCATTTCTTCCGAAATTTTTTTACTATTCCATTCCATAATTTTGTGGCTCTATAAGGTCCCGGTGTCAGTTTTTTGCTGTTGCTCATAATGCTTGTATTTGGCGTATCTTCGCTGGTCATACCTTGGTATACCATGATTACAAAAAGGCAATACAGAATTGCAGTAATTGAAAGAGTATTATGTTCTGTTATTTTATGTACTCTGTAAAAATATGCAAATAGTTAGAAATAGCACTCCTATCTTAGTATAATGTGTTCTTTCAAATTCTTTTCCATGTACTATCACTCACTACTGCCAGACTGTATAGCCTGACTAAAATTTCTCGACTATTGCCGTGACCCTTTCTTTGAAAAACCTGTACCAAATGAGTCATTCTCAATCGACTCTCTTCGATTTAACTTTCTGGGCAACATCTGTCAAATCCTCTTCTATCTATCAGCTGCGTTATTGATCGTGTAATAATTTTATGAATTATGCCTCTCTAGACCTACGTGGGGTACAAAACCATCGGATTACATTTACAACGGCGGCCGACAAGCGACGAACAGTTGCGGATGAGCGAATGTGTGTATGAATAGGGCGATTTAAAACCCCGCCAGAGGTGCGGAATGGCTGACTGCAGACAGCGACGTGACGCCTTTGTTTGACATGATTGGACGAATATTCTCTCGTATTATTCTTTGAATTCTTTAAACAATGTAGCTCCCACGAGTTAAGTAGGTATCCATGCGTTGAAAGAATTGAAGTAATGTAACAAGAATACAGTGCACCAAGTCCCACTTGACAAAATTTGAACAAAAATTTATACACGCGATTTCGGTAAAGTTTCCGGCTTTGGGCTTACACGTTATAATTACATCACCCATGTGAGTCACGCCCTAAACTCTCTATACATTCATCCCAAATAAATACAAAATAAACTCATTGTTGTGTAAAGCAAGTCTCATTGTCAATTTTAGTAGCGAAATGAACAGCTGCATGTATTGAAACCTATTTCTACTTATTAACAATACATCTAATATTGTCACCTTGATACAAGAACGTAATTTAGTAGAGGGATAGATAACAGCTGATAGAAACCGCTTAAGATGTTACCAAATCGACGCTACTTTCGAAAATGATCAAATGTTTCTTATCAAGAAAAATTATACTCGTACCTTCATTAGAATGAATTAAGCATTTTAGAATGAATGTTTTTTCGCTATCAAATCTCATTAACCGTCTAGCGAAAAACCTTCTAAGACATTCCTATTTCTTTGAAATCGTTACTTAATTCTATTATACTTGTCTGTATTTACTGATATTGTAAGAGATTACGAATCAAGAGATGGCGGCTTGAGATTTTAATATTTAAACTCAATTTAATCTTTGATCAAACAATGCGTACACGCGTTTTCAAAGATACATATATAAGACTAATTTGTGAGCAACCATCAGACTAATAAATAAAAATAATATTAAAATTGAGACAAACAGCACTTTTAACTTAATTAGCCAACTGGACCTGGAATAAAACTAACAGTACTATGCTTTTCGTTTTTTCTCTTTTACGCCAAGCTCCTTCATCTACCACATCTCGATGGTGAATGATCCGCCTAACCAATATTCTAGGCTATAAGTACGCGCGCTAAAACGATCAATGGCGTGAAAAAGCGTGTAAACGCACCAACGTGCTAATTAGAAAAAACTTCCTCGCCAGCATTACACGTATATACACTTAAACAAACACGAAATGTGCATATTCCCCGCTTTTGCTTCGCTACAGGTGAATCTAGGGACGTACGTGATTGATTTTGCCGAAATTAAACAAACTTGCGCGTGCGTGCAAAACGTAAACAAACATGCATATCCGTTCGGATATTTGCTCTTGTGCGTGAACTTCATCATATGCGCACAAGAAGCTTAAAGCCAGCTAACAGCAACATCCGAGCAAGGCAAATGTTGCTTCTCACATTAGGAAATGAAATTGTAAAAACAAATAGTTTGCATAAGGAAGATCATCAGAAATGAAAACTAAATGACCGGATTTTTAGACATCAGTAATATAATTTTGATTAATGAGCTTGTGAACATAATTTTAATAAACGTTTTATTGCCATTTGAACTTATAATAAATGATAATAAGTAGGTAGTAAATTACCCTAACAAGTCAATACACAGCTAATAAAATAGAAACATTTAGACCCCGAATGCCCTCGTTGTATCTGTACTGTACCAATTACACCTTGATTCATTCAAAAGATGCGGTGATTAGGGAAAACGAACATCAATAAGAAACATGATTAGTTCCAGAATTTGTAAATGGCCCTCTATTATGCAATCATTATTTGCTTAAGAATTGAAAATACAGTCGTATTTCGCCCAATTAACGTACAGAACGAACAATCAATTTTGGCAACAGTTTCTTATAAAAGCCTTATAAGGATGTATTTTCGTCCTCAAAACATTTATACAATATTATATTAATTGAGAATGCATCTTGGCCCAAAATGTCTACAGAGCAATTCCAAAGAGTCTAGCCTCAATATTTTCTCAAATAACATTTTAATGCAAATAATACTGAAAACAATATTTATTGATATGTTCCACAATATATCTTGGGTAAAAAAACTGGTTGTTTGCGTATATAGACCATAAATAGCCTTTCGTCTTTTTCCATGGCTATAATATATGTTGCTTTCGGCTATCGATTTCAAAATTACTTCAAAATAACGATTTTGTCTTGTTGTTATACACCTTAAATTATACTGATTGGGACGCTGTAAAACGCATTAATTTATTCAAACAACGCGTTTCTGTTGGTATCTTTATTCAAGTTACTTGTTATGATGGAAAGGTTATTAGGCACGAATTTATGATATGGAGGCCAAATATTGTTAGTCAATTAGCAATCGTAGCCCTCGGACGTGAGGCCTGCACGATTTTACACGCTTTTTACAAAATATACTTTTTCCCCAAAATTATGTTCATATTATGGAAGTATTATTAATCGACCTGCAGTCTGGTGCTAATTATAGAAAATTTCTCATATTTCTGCATGGTTTATAACTGCTGTGGTACATAAGCGCAAAAATCTTTCATCACGTGACCAATTAATTTCATGGAATAGCGAAAGTTTGCTAAATAAAACGTGACAAAAATTTGGGCAACTTATGTAATCCTATACAAAGTATACCATAATGACATAATCTTTCACCGCGATAACGTATTAAGATTTCTACTTATCGATACAAGTAAGCCAACATGGAATGCATTGGAAGACTTCAACGAAGTTATCATGTCATAGATATCTTAACTTTATTCAATCCTCAGTTGATTTTACTCAAAAAGTTAACAACAAACATGCACTCTGAAGTAATGGATGTAATTAAATTCTAAATTAATTTTTGTCGCGCCACGATTAACGATCATCAATCATTTTGACATATACGCAAGCAGTAAACAATATTTGAGTTTATCATTCGTCACTATTTAAAATTAAACTATTCTAAATTATTGAATTGGCTTATTACAAGATATTTAACCACCCAAAACAGTATCTCAATATGTTAATAAGCACAGTCTTTTCCGAGTGACTCATACTGTATAAATCTAGGTGGTTGGCTTGGAATTATTGCCAAAGAAAGTTGTTGACTATGTTTTACGCACGCATGGTGACTTGGATCTCACGTTACGCATCTTAAAATAAGTGACGCATCACTGAATATACATAATCGTGATCACGTACCTGCACAGTCAACCTTCCTTCCGTTTAATTTTAAAAATAAGTTTCGAGATTAAAATAAACAATAATTCAGAGGAAGAGGAAATGCTTGCCCTGTCACTCAAGGAAATGCAACAAATAAGCTAGACTGATATAAGAAGAAATCTGTCTTCAATATTTTGCAGAAAAATCTATTTATTAACTCGGATTCTAAGATATTGTACACAGTATTGCATCTCGCCTTGTTTAAAAGCAAAAGACTTCCAAACTATAAAGATAGAATTTCTGGTAATCCGCTTTCACTAGGAAACATATTTATGTCCTTCGATTAAAAACAGAATGGGTTAAATGTCATCTCTTCACAGATACCGGTAAGTTCGTTCATGACCAACCAGTTGCAATAACTTCAGTTATGTTCCGAATTGCACCACGTACACCTTTTACACTATTTCCCATACACTGACTTTAAACGCGAGGCAACACGTCTATAAGAAATACTTTGGTCATTCATATGTAACAATGAACGTGATACATATAGCTAAAGTATTATTCCTTCTTATTGTTACAAATAAATCGATAAAATATAGTTCCCTGATTATAGTTGATGATAACGAAACAAAACAAAAGACTTATCAACGACCTAAATTGCCCAATTGTTGCAACCCATTCACAGGATTAGCGTATTGCGTAATTTATTAAGCCTGTGCACATTGTCCATGCCCCTAATTAGGGTTAATGAGCACGTGTTTAGTGGTCAGCAACATTGGCAAACACAAAATTTTTGATATCGCGATATATTCGATTATAGACTTATGAATACGTTTGACCTATATCGCATGACACATAATATTAATAAGCCTTCAATACTATGATATTCGATTCTAATTTTATGACAGACAAAACGTAGGTTGTGATAAGAATCACACTAAAATCATAACGCACCTTTGTGATTAAATTTCGCAACTATGTTTACGATTCTTCATCAAAAATTCGCAAAAACTGCTTCTACATTTTCCATCCTGCGTTATAATTTGGCACGAAAACAATTCCAGAAAAATGTTAGTGAATTTGTTTTAAATAGTAGCATTGCAAAACTGCGACATCGAACGAAATATCTGAATTAGTGCCATACCTTCTCATAATCTGATACCGACAAAACCGAACATAGTTTCAAAATTGGAAATATTGCTCAAACGCACATGAATAAAAATATGAGAATGTGCATACCAGCGTTCTTTTTACCGATTTGAACGCTTCATGTTTGAGGTTACGTAACGTACGTACAATTTTACAAGAGCCTTAAATGGTTGTAAGTGCCTATTAGTTCAACTTAATCGATCTGCTGGTTCGTTGCTAGAGATTCGTCATTACCAAATAAAAAATTGACGTAATGCGAAAACTGCTTTGGTCACTCAAAGTACACTTTTAAGTTATTCAGCAATGGAGCAATAAATTTTGTAGTAAAGTTTCTTTTAATTTATTTAACTGATTGCTTATAATTTTTAACACGATGTAACATGTGGATAAAAGTATTTTAAAAAATTTTGCCTCATTCGTAAGTGTCCGTATACAACTTTAGATAATGATTTGTATAAACCATGAGTTGAAGTCTTGACATAAGTTGTATTTTATACTGCAATAAAATCGTTCTCAATTTTATTTTTCTCGATATAAGAAAAGGAAAAATGTGATATGCAAGTTATGCAACCGAAAAATATATAAGGTCATATTACTATTGAAATTTTAGACGTCCAGACAACATTACTGCTCAATTATTATACAAACCAATGAATATTTCGTGGAAAAAATATTTTTCTACGACAACACCTTTATGCTATTATATATATATATGCTTTTTCGGTCATGACTCTTTTCATTTTATTGCAATGATAACGCAAAATGAATAACCTGTATAATTATATTCTAATGTATTTTAGTCACCGTATCGACACAAATGCGGCCGGTGAATTTAGTGATATATTATCCAGTATTTATCCATAATCCATATTCAGACAATGCAACATTTCTGCCCAGACAGTGAAATCGAAAAATACTCGGACGGGCTTCAACTCCAATATTCTACGTACATTGTGGACTTGGTAATTCCCTCTTTTAGATTTCGATTCTAAATTATCTACGTTCGAGCACGCACGTGCCCTAGACGTAGTAAGTTTATAATAATAATGCAATTTCAATAAATGGTATGATTATGTGATAAACACACTACATTGTTTCGTATCACTGTCCTATTTCGACTAGAAATAGATGGAATCGGTCAGTGGAACTGATGCCCGGATAAGCGCTATGATTAGAATTGCCATATTAGCTCTATTAAAATTAAATCATATGGGGAAGTAGAAATCAGATTTTCACCTACCTCCATTTTTCCATATTCCAAAGCTTCGTCACACTGTGAATATTTGAATATTATAGGCGCATTTTTTCTTTTAAAGTATTGCGGAACGTTCACCTGTCTATAAGCAAACAGCATCTAGCTAAACATTCATCAAACATGCTAATTTATCGAATACATAACATAATTACTACCGCATTTTCACAGTATATCAGGGCATGTCATCATCGCGTATTTTGAATCTATTTCAGGCATACGAAGTCTTCATTTTCGAAATACTCCGGTGATTCATGTGATATGCATATGACTATAAAACCAAGTCATATTTTTATGTTACGGAACAAAAATGGGTCGATCTAGGTCCTAGGATATGATTGCAAAATAGGTCAGTTCAAATCATTTATTCTAACTGTTTTACCATTCAAAAATTGTGTGTGATAGGTCAAGTTGCAAACAAATTCGCCAACCTTTTTTTATTGGAAAAACAACAATTCAACTTTATGTATATAAATAAAACATACCATCATTAAACACTCCTGCAAAAATTAGCCTGTAACACGAGAACCAGGGTTTAGAAAAGGTTGGGATAGCATTAAATGATTTAATCACGTTTTTTTTATATCTATATGTCTTGTGTACCGATGGTAAATACCTCTCTCAAAGAGATTATATCGGTATGGACACATGTGACCCTAACTTTTATTTACTTTCAATGTACAATTAGGTCGCACTCTTTTTTTGCAATTTGTAATTAAGACAAATCGATAGTCGAGCATTGTGACTTTTTGTTGAAAGCGTCGTATACAAATTCTTATTAATATTATCACTATAAATTGTAAGCATTTGTCATCATTGACGTAAATGTTTGCGAACGCGTCATAAATGAGCAAGCGTGAAGCATAAAATGTCTACTAAAGGGTGTGACATTTTTATATTTGAGATTTTTGCAGAATAAATTTGCATTTCATATCTCATGCAATTGGACATTGATGAAATAAATGAGAAAAAAATATTATTTTTGAAATGGCGATTCTGAGAAATAAAATCGGTGCCATATTTCTGGTAATTCGACCATACCATGTCACCATAAAACATAATAACATATTATATGGTGACTTTCAAATGTGTTGAATATTTAAATTGAAAAGCTCGTCAAATCCTGTTTTTCGAAATATTCCTTTTTTTTTTTATTTCATATGCGATTTGCTAAAATTCAAATAGGAAGTTTTTAGGTCTTTACTTTTCTGGAAATAAACAAAAAAACAAATGGTAATAAAATTTTGACATAAGATAGCTAGACCTGATTTTCACCGATTTTTTACCTAAACAATGCCTAGAGTTTTGACAATAGATGTTTTGTTTATGTTATACCTCAAGAAAGTCCTTTAGGTCTCAAAGACCCAAAATATCCCGCCCTATTCGTTCAAACTATGTATTTTTAGAAGAACTTGGCAAATTTGATTTGACAATTAGAAAATATTAGATCCTTTTATATTCTTACTGTCGACAATTTTATTTCTTGGGTGTCAGAGGCATCAGTGGAATTTAAACATATACGAAACAAGTTATTTCATTCAGCAGGATGTACAGTTTCGTTCATAGTATATGGGAATAGAAAACGATTATCATACACCAAGAGTGAAAATTAAGCTGGTGAAAAAGGAAATGGTGGTTAAACATGATTATAAAATCTAAAATATGTTAACAAGTAATGTTATATAGATTTCTGCAAATTTAAATAAATCGAAGTCAAATCTGACTCGGCAAAATTGACATTCTCTCACGAGTAAGTCTAACTTCGCAAATTGGATCAAAAGTACCGATACCGTCTTTAGACTTGGTAAATTGATTTTCAGTCAGCAAGTACATTTGTGGCTACTACCGTGTTTCCCCGAAAATAAGACCTAGTCTGTATTTTAAAAATGATTTTAATATACGCCTTCCCCTTAAGACATAGTCGATGGCGAGTATCATTTTGACCTAAACGTGTTATTTTTAAATAAATGGATATTTCATATTTTGTGTATGTGATAATCTCGTAATTCTCTACTTTACGATTTTGTTGATTAATCAAAATGAAGACATCCCCATAAAATAAGCCCTAGTGTTATTTTTCGAAAGAAAATTGAAATAAGACCTTGTTTTATTTTCGGGGAAATACGGTACATACATAACATTCAGGTTGAAAAGTGGCGTTGAACATGCGAAATGTCTGATAATTGTAAGATGTTTCGATTGTCTGATCTTGTATCGCTGTCACGCAATGTACGGAGCATAAAGGCAATTTGCCGCACGCGAATACTGATAATTGCCGATGGTAATTACATGTTCATCTGTAGAAAAGCATGGTAATTACAATCAAGTGTCTGCTCAGCATGTTCTCTGTGCGTCACTGCAGTCTTGATTTTTCTAATAACTGTTGCTTCTGCATAGCTTAACGTATGACAAGTTTAATGATTTGCCCTCTCGGCCACATAATCCGTCACCCATATTATGTCATATTAATACATGTATACGCTAGTAATGTTTGCACCTGCAAATTTTTTGATTACAATGTTTCAAATTTGATGTTCATTTTCTTCATCACTTTTTCAGTTTGGGTTCGGGCTAAAAGGTTATGATTACAGATTGCGATGGAAATCTTCCCTAACCGATACTCTAACTGGATAATTACTCATTTTTTATTTTAAAACCTGGCGGGAGTATTTTTATCAAATCTCACTCTTTTGTCTCAATGGAGGGGGCTTTCAACAAAAGATTCCCGAAAAATTGCCATTTCTGCGAATATGGAATAGGGCTCTTGCTAAAGTTATGTTCAATGAAAAGACGTAAAAAGCCTCATAAACAACGCATCACAGTCGAAAGAAAAGGATATCACACGATAAAATTACAAAATAAGAATTAGTATAAATAAAATTTACTTATATATATATATCATGTTCATTTATTCAATAGCGATATGTAAGACATATACACCCTTCGAACTGCGTGCAAGGGTGTACCTTCTCTGGTTGGCATATTTTATGAACACTACGTAGTTTTCAGTAAGAAAAGAAGAAAATGAAGTAAATTATGGCGTCGTATTACCTGATCTGTATGGCCGCGTGATCGGAATCATTATCAAGTGACCCGGACATGTAACTATGAATGTCACTGCCATATTGTCTGGTATAATAACCTTAACGGCGCTCCAGAAGTATGTGAACCAAGATGGCGCACAACCTGATAACCCTAACCTGGTACACAATACAAATACTAAGTTCAGGTTGTGCGCCATCTTTGTGCACATACCTCGGGAGTACCATCTTGACTTCATATAGCCGCGATAAAAGATAAAAAATATTTGTTGAGACAAAACCTGATATGATATAGATTATATAGTTGGCGTATAGTAAAAGTAACATTTTACCACAAATACCGTAAAATTAGTCTACCAGTTAAAATGTAAATCCAAATTAGGTAATTTTAATATACATGCTGTGGATGGTATAGCTTGCCTATACGGATGCGTCATCATGCTGCGACATAAAATCGTAATGGATAAATTTCTATTTTAAGAGTTTGTTAATTTAATATAAGTATCTGTGGGACACTAGAAGAAATGTATCTTAACCGTGTTCTCGAAGTGATGCGCCTCTTCTAGACCGTCGTGTACGTCGTGAAATAAATTCATGGTTTAAGTTAAGATTATGCTTTATAACCCATCGGGTATGCGATAGTAACCGAAGAACTCCATTTTGTTTCCATCCAGGTATTATAATAATACCGGGCTAATCCATTAATTGGATTCCTTGTATTAAACATTTCACATTGCATGTATGTGGTACGTGCTCTTTGAGTGAAATAATCACCGCGGTTGGCCACAAATTCGTTTTGTTAGGTGTTTTAATAAGGTTCCAGTCCACGCCATAGTTTCCAACCGTTTTGCTTTTATACAAAAGCTTATTGTACAGGGTGTCTCAAACGTAGGTATACACTTTTAATTTTGATTTGCTCTTCAGGCACTCATCGTAGAGCGTTCATTTCTTCAGAAAACATAGTATGGTTAAGTTAATGAAATTTAGGTATTGTTTTCACGTTTCATCAACCCACAAAACGACAAGGAGATTAAACTAAGAATGAGGTGGTAAACTGCTGTTTGGCAAGAAGCATATGAATCAGTAAGACAAACTTAGCGCCTCTTTAACAGAGAATTTGGAATTAATTCGGCTCCTACACGACGAACAATTTATGAAATTCATCATAGATCTGTTGTCGATGCACAAAGATCATCGAACCAAGGAGCGGACGCTTCAAGGAAAACATTCACAACCGAATTAATTCAAAATTCTCTGCTAAAGAGGCGCTGAGTTTGCCTTACTGATTTATAGGCTTCTTGCCAAACAGCAATTTTACACCTCATTTTTTGATTTATTCTCCTTGTCATTCTGCGGGTTGGGAAAAATGCAAACAATACCTAATTTTTTATACTTATCCATATTATGTTTTCTGAAGAAATAAACGCTCTATGTTTAGTACCTGAAAAGCAAATCAAAATTAAATATGTATAATTACTTTTAGGACACCCTATATAAGAACTATTGTATACTATTATTGGACACCAAGTGGGCCTATAGATCGTTTTGCTAGTATGTTGTTGTTCTTGTTGGTATTATTTTCTTCTTGTTGTTATGAAAAAAAATCGCTTTTTTCATTCACTTATGGACCAATTGCTTTGTAATTTTCACTGGTTAAAGATTGTATTTTTTGCTAGAAGAGTATTACTTTCTTTTATTCTTAAATTTTCTATGAATCCTACGAGATCTGATATTTTATTCAAAATTTTCTATATTTCTGTTTTTCATGAGATGACGGTATTTATTTAATCCGCTAAGCGAGACGACCGTTTTCGATTTTCGCGACGCTACGATATATTCAAAAGATAATGTTAACAATATACCAACCCAGAATACATCACCGAATGAAACCCACGCAAGTGCATAAATGCATTGTGCGTGCTACTGTTTGACATAAACCTACATACGCCTTCGCCCGATTCCCCAACAACACCAAT